AACCTTGAGAATGGCATGACACTTCAGTCTGCAATTGCTGCATTTTAATCAATAGAAGACTGTGCTGTATTTGGGTGATTATTAGCACATTAAGGAGTTCAGGTCATGGACATTTTAATACATTGTTACTGAGGTCTTACAACAGTATGTGATGGCTTTCCTGTCTCCTGGTACGCATAATGAGAATTACGTTTGGCAGCAATGGATTTTAAATTAGACTGCTTTCCTGTTTTTCCTACAGAGTCTGTGCTTGTATTCAAACCGTCTAAAGTTCAAAAAAAGACCAAGACCATCTAGCACCATCATCAGGTCAAAATTTTTAATTTTCAGTATCCAGTACTTTGGTTTATGATCAAATACCTGTAGTTCCCATCAGCCTCAGCTGTACTTTGTATTTAGTACTAATTACCAAATGTTGGCACGCTAACACTAAACTAATATGGTGAACATGGAAAACATTATACATGCCAAACATCAGCATATTAGCATTTCCATTGTAAGCATGTTAGCATTTACTGCACCACTGTGTCATAGTACAGGTACCGTCTATTTTATAAATCTGTATATCTGCTGGTCAGGTTGAGGTATACAGTCCACATTATAGGAAAAATGAGCTCAGTTGTTTTGTTGTTTCCGCTCTTATGTTTTTGCAAATTATATTGTGTAAACTTACACAGCTTTCCAACAGAAAGTACTTTTGCATTAGATACAGTATATTTGGCTTACTACTAATGTTTTGATGCAAATCTCTGTCTCCTGCACACACATGCTATTACACAACTCACAGCATACAACACAAAAAAAGCAGAGCAGTGGAAAGATAACCAATACTTTCCAAACAAATTAACCATCCACACATTTAAGGGTACAATAATTATTTTAATGACCATTCCCTGGAAAGGCCATGTGAAAACATGTTTTTTTTATGTTCCTGACAAGTCCTCTGCCTGGAGGAATAGCATCTCTGGAGACATATGAATTTCCCAGCCAGTCAGCTGACTTTAAAAAAAGAACAGTACATAGTGTGCTTGTACAACAACTCCAAAGTTTGCTTTATTTTAAAAACTGTTTCTGTTTATGTACTTAAGCAGAGCAGTACAAGCACTGTTTATCAGACATATCCGGTTTCACAGGCACAAAGTTACACACAATCAGTCACACCAGGTTTCAGGAGGAGGTCTTTTATTTAGTGACCAGTGAAGCACTTAGGGGTTAACTGCTTTCACAGGTAAATTGACAGTAGTGCTGTACAGAGTCAGGGGAATTATTCATTCAATTTTCACTTTCACAACTTCACACCTTCTCTAGGACAACAGTCTTGATGCTTAAAAACAATGTTCTCTTGGGTAAATACCATCTGTCATTTTGTCAAAGCAAGATGCACCCTGTCCGAGTGAACTTTAAATTTATTTAGAACAATGCTTCTTCTAGTACAACATGTCAGTTTTTAGCTTGGCTTTAAATCAGACCTATTCTTTTAAATCTAATTACAGAGTTTTATAAAAAAAAATGTTCAAGTTTTTTTTTTAGACCTCCTCAAGTGATTATTTATGTGCACAGTAAATTTAGCAGCGCTATTAAATATTGTTGTTTTTCAGACAGTCATAATTAGACACAGATGCACATATCTTGTAGATACACTACTCATACTTACAATAACATCAATCAATAAGTAAAATCTAATCAAATTAAATAAAATACAGCTTAAAAAAAGCCCACATTATTTACTTTAGGAGGGACGCAAAGATGAAACCAAGTTGTTCTTTCAGTGGGCAAACAGAAAAAAATGTTTTGTTTGAGATGAGTCACCTTGTCAGTTGTGTACCTGCACACCTGAAGACAATAGGAGGATTGCAGTGAATCACTTCTTTCAGTCATCATATTTGATGTCTAATGTTTTACACGCTCTATTTCCATGGGTTGCTTCTTCCTCACAGATTCATGTTGTGAGAAAGATGAGGTTAAATTTAACTTTATTAAATGGCAACACTTTGATTAAAAGCAGTCAACCCAGTGGGAGATCTTCCTCTCTTAAAGTCAACATTTTGAAGTTTGTTTGTCTCTTTTTATGGAACATGGTATTCCAAAGAGAGGCATATATATGATGTGCTAATGTATACATTTCAGACTTATCAGTCATAGCATTTTTTTTTTCATTTAATGCAGAAAACTAACTAGCACAAACACTTGGGTAAATAAATGCCTCCCTCGCTTTGCAGGCTCAGCGATTGGATTGTCCTCTTTTAAACAGATTGGTTGAATCAGGTGCAAACAATTATAACAAACTACTAGCCAATCAGAAGCAGAGAAGGGCGGGTCGTAAGAAACAAGGTAGTGTGATCCAAATCAAAGCCGCTTCAGACTGTAACCGTAACCTAGCAGATGGTATAAGTTACTCACAAGTCCACAACATCATTGTTCCACATCTTACCATCAGGACTAAACGTTGAACTGTTCTGACGATCTGTGCTGCCTTGCCGAAAAATGCTACCATAGCGCAAATCGATAGACTCGACTCTACTCGGCCCTGCTCCGTTTTCCATTGCAGTTAGTACCCAGAGATAGTACGTAGCTTGTCGTCATAGCGACGCCACACACAACTGCCGCGACATAATGTTCAATGCGACACACACACCAGCGATCCACACAGCTTTCTTTTTTTTTAGTTAAAACATTTAAATATTACTCAGAATGTAAAGACAGATAAGCGGTATGAAAACCTTCCAGCTGTGTTTTCCTCTACAGTTGTTGCTGCAGCGGTCTGTGTGACGGCGGGAGCAGAGGGCTCTGTGAGCGGGCGGCTGGCCGGCCTTACATGCTCCTCCTGCGGGTTGGCACAGGCTTCCCCCCGCAGCCACTTGCGGAGCTCCTCAACTCCGAAAATATTCAAGCACATTGTTGTTCCGCCATCACTTCCCGTAAAACTGTCAATATTCGAAATCTACACAGCTGATTTCTCACCTCAAAACTTCTCAGAAGTGGATTTAGAGATGAAATTCAATACGGAAACTGTAAAATATAAAACTTTCTGTTGCTGGCCTCTGTCTGGCGCACGCAATGATGATGCAGTGAAAAGTGAATATTCTCAGCAGTCTGTCGTGTTTTCACGTTAAATTTCAGTATCCCTCAGCTCGCTTGGAACCTCGATGGTGAGGTGATAGGAAAAAAAGTACCTGGAAGCAGGTACAGGTGCAACATTTCTACAATGGAAAACCAAACAAAGGCGAGTCGAGCCAAAGGGCCTCCGCTCAGACTAGCTTGGTTTGAGGGCGTGCCTGTCCCCGCTAGCCGCTTGGCAAGCTTTATGACGCGGTTTCATTGTGACGTCACAAGTAAAGGAAGTGAAGGTCGGGACTACAAACGAGCTGTTTTCAGTTCAGAGCAGAGCTTTCTGTGGGAGATGGGAACTCGATTTGGGCTGGACTTTGGGCTTTTTCACTTTGCAAACCTGTTACATGCACAAAAAAGATATATAACTCAATAGAGGAGAGGGAAAAAGCCAAAAAGCATAATACCACCTCTTTAAATCTACCAATTAGTAGTAGCAGCACCTTTAGCAGTTTGTGGTAACATACATGAATGTGTCGACATGCTTGTCTACAGAACAAGATGCTTGTGTGTACCAGCTTGACATCTAAATGAGACTTGTGCTTAATGGTGTAGGACATGAAAAATAAAACATCAGCCTGTGCTAATCGGTGACATCCATCAGTGCTGAATCTCTCACAGGAAGTGCGTCAGCACTCTCAGCAGATCCAGTGAGAGGAGGGAAAAACTGAAGTGTACAGCACTAACCTTATTTTACAATGAATCACAGATTGGGGGGGTTCAATTACCCAAAATTTCCTTCAGGATAGACGAACACTGACACTGCAGTCCTGTTCTTCCCGGATCTGGGCCCCAAGGGAAAACTTTTCAACCCCCTAACTGGTTACATATGAGCAGAGTTTAAGATGAAGTAGTAGTGAACAGCAGCATTGTAATGCAGCACATTGTTACTCTATTGTCATTACCATCAGTGTTGAAATGCTGCGCCTCCACTGAAAGGGATTATCTTCAACATTAAATCACTGTATTGTATCACTGATAGAAAAAGCAAAGCAGGCATTTTTACATGAAAAGGTTGTCACATTGATTCTAGAAATTTAGGAAAAAACTTTTTTTATATTCCTGGATGATATTAATAGCTGTTGATTTATTAAGCACCCTCAGAGTTGGGAAGTACAGTAATATTTAATCAAGTACTGTAATGTGATTATTTCTATCTTGCACTACTTTATATTTTTACCCCTTTACAGTTGAGTAGTTACTTATCAGCTTAAGATAACATGCTTTATTTTATAAGCTTACATTTAAACATGTAAGCTTATAAAATAAAATGTATTGGAAAATATTATACCTCCCAATCTTTTTGGCTTATGATCATTTACAAAAATGCATGTTTCAGATGTCTATGAGTTAGCAGTTCCACTAAAGTGGGATTTCCCCTCTGAAATCAGATGGTGTCATTCAAATAACTATTTGAGGCCTAAAGAGGTAAAATTATTCAGTGTTTTGCAAAAAAAAGCAACAAATTGGAGAAGATTTCAAAATATGAATATAAATAACTGTAAATGTGATCATTGTATTTTTTTCTTTCCTACCCCATTTATCATCTCATTTATTTAGATTTATGTTGGGAACCACTCGACTAAAATACCTAGCAGTATAAAGTTATAATTAATACCACCTCCACCTGAACCAGCTACAATAATAAATTGAAACTTAAGCCTTAATCCATCACTAACAATCTAATAATGCAATATATGATAGTAAATCAGGGTCATTTTTCTGTAGCACAAGTACTTTTACTTGAGTACTTGTTCCACAACCACCAAGTACACTGCACGCCATTTATGGTGGCAATGTTGTACTTCATGTGTTATACACTGCTACCCTCTAGTGATCAAAAAGAGAAACACCAAGACACACATAACCTGATGAATGCTGCACACAATGTCTGTTTTCTGTTTACTATTTATTTTTTGTGCACTGCACTTGATCATTATGTACATCCTGTAATGGTAAACAGAACTGAAAAGGAGCACATGAACAGAATTTTTACACAATTTAGTAATACTTGAACAGCAGACAAGCAAACACATAACATACAGTAGTCTGTATCCAAATCTGATCACTTCCATACATACCACAACTTCAAACAACACACATCCATTGACTACACTATAGAGGTTAGCTTTTAAACATAGCTGTAAGATTGCAGATAGAGAATTCAGTCAGAGAGGGAGCTAATGAGGGTTATTATACATATAGGTCTTCTGTAAATAGAGCACAGAAGCACATACTACACACCTCCTGTGTCTAGTAAGTCGCCAAAGAAAGCAGTAACCTCTAGATCAGAGTTTTTTCAGACCCAGTGTCTTGTGATCCATTCTGGGTCCCAAACCAGTTGAAGAAACAGCGCTTTATAGCAGTCATTCTCTTTTTCCACTGATCAGTATACAGTAAACATCCTCAACGTAGATGAACAATCTGGAAATCCTGGGCAATGATGAAGTCCAATAAAGGAAAGAAAAAACATTATGATGTTTAACCAGGATTGATGACAACCAAAAAATGATCTCCAAATCTTAAACATCTGAAGGCTAATATTATACTCAATGTGCATATGTTGAAATTGATTTAAAACATATTTTTGAACTGATCACAGATGTCTAACATTAAAATAACAGTCTGTAAGTAACACAAAGCTGGAAGGTGAGGATGGTATAGTATCATGTTAGTGTCCTGTGAAAACCGAAAAACCCAAAATGAAATTGAGAATTGCTTCAGTTTCTGCTTGCTAATAAGTAAATACATACATTTTGTTTTTGCATATGTTTCTTATTGGCCCATGGACTTCATCCCAGGACTATGGAATATTTTTTACACAAGAAGATAATGTCAAAAGTCAATTTCCATCATACATAGGAAAAATCACACATCACATTAGTGAAATTATATATATGGAGAGAATTGACATCTTTTCTGGATTCAAACTATTAGAAATGGTACCTGCAACATGAACAGCTCCTGAAAAAAGATTGATATTTTGAGCCATTTGCGTTGTACCTCACGGCTGATATGAAATAGTGTCAATGTTATTCATCCAGACAAAAAGCTGCTTGATAGTTATAAATAAAAGTGTCAGTGGTGTGACAGAAATGTCTCACAAATGTAAACAAAGTAAATGAAGTAATTAAAAAAAACATGTTGCAATTGCTGTAAATCTGTGTTTTGATAAAAGTGCTGTAATGACAGCAGATATAAGTAGGATCAGAGTGAAATTAGGAATTGCAGATATATAGCAGTGCGATACAGTAAAGCACATTATTTAACTCATCAGTCTGACATTTCTCTGCAAAATCAACCCATGACTCAATTTAGCGTTGTAGTCAGATAAGCATTACTACAGTGTTTAAACACACAAGAGCCATTTCTGTAGCTATGAAAAAGATTCTGCAGACTCAAACAGGCTATACACACAGAAACTGTGATATATTCTTACAAATTAGTCCCATGTTTTCCTTTTGATGAGTTAAAGATAATGGCCTATAAATCCCAAACATGACCTTTACATACAGTACATTAGCTGATGACATGTGCAGTTAATTTAAACCAATATGCAGCAGGTCTGCTACACAAAACAACATGAAGATGAACAAAATGAACTAATAAATAAATAACAATGGCTTTCCTTCAAAGCTGCGCCAAGTAAAGTTGTCAGTTTGTGCTTTCACAGAGCTCCCTTGCAAAAATACATGTTACTGTATGAGTGAGAAAGCATGATGCCTCAAATTGCTTCATGTATGGAACTGTACATGTGCGAATCCCTTAAATACAATATACAATCCCCAGTTCCCTGCAAACATGGAAACACACAGGGATTACATCGGACACACCAATGATAAATCATTCTCCTACAGTACTTGTTATCAGCCCCTGGGCTCTGTAATAAACGCACAATGAAATATTAATCATACAAAGGGAATGAAATACCTTTTTTTTAATCTGTCAAATGAATATTAAGTCTAGAATTTAAATTGTAGCAGCCTTCTGACTTGTTTTTATTGTAGAACGTTTTTTTTTCATTTAATTTAGTTTTTTGTTTTCAATTATCTTCAGCAGACTAAATTTTGAAGAGATAAAAACCGAACCTATAACCAGAGTTAATGTAAAAAGACCGATAGATTGTTAATTTGTACTACCAAAAAACCTATTTCAATCAGGTTTGGCTTAAGTTCAGTTTCACTTCAGTTAAAAATGTATAATGACGTTTAGCCGCTGTTCTTCGCTGCATTTCTAGGAACATTTAAATGCATGAAAAACTGTGGCTTTGATATGACAGAACGTACAAATTTACTTCCCCATCGGAATGTTTTATGACTACATGGCTTGAGTGATGTGTGATGTAAATGCTTTCGGGGCCTTGCACACTATCTGGTGCTCTCAATCCCTTATTTAGAGCAGTCTGTGACATGCTTGCTCAGTTTACTCCTTGCTGTGATTTTCTTATCTTGTGTGTCCATCGTCTCTGCTTTGATTGGTGGCTCGATTCAGGGCTAACGACACTCGACAAGGAAGAACAATGTTGCACCACATACATACAGTAGGTAGGTTGATTTGAGCTACAGGGAGTTATTTGTTCAGTTACACTGTTAGTCTGGGCGCTGAAGTTCCATTTTGCAGTCTTTGCAGATCAACTGGATGTTCTGTGTTCTGTGTGTGTGGTAAGAAGAGAAGTACGGGTCAAAGCACAGGTATAAAGGCAGACGTTGTAGGGTGCGGTTGTAGTATGTTAACCAGAGATGGTGACACATTTTTAGGATTAGATGACAGAATCAGCAAGGACATCTTCTCCTTGCTCATTTCCTCTAACTACTTGTTCAGTAGAGGGGTTTTTGTCCTTGGCTTTCAAATTCTGACCAGGCGTCATTTAGTTCCATGAAAATCATCTTGGCATATTGTTCATAGGGCTGTCCTGTCGCCTGTGAGGGAAGACAGAGAAGCACATTGCAGTTACACCAGTAGGAAAATTGGCCTAAAATATTATGCACTTCTGGCCAGGATCATAATGGTACTCTTAAAATTGAACAGCTGCTCATGACTCAAGCCATGTGTGATTAGGTTTTGATTTACTTCATGGCTGCAGTCAAAAAAGGAATTGACATACACACACACACACACACACACACACACACACACACACACACACACACACACACACACACACACACACACACACACAATATCAATGAATTCACACAGAGGTGAGGAACCCTGGGGGATGAAGGATGGTGACAAATAAATAAATAATTTAATTCAAACAACTCAAAGACATTGTCCAATGTGTGGTTCAACCATACAACAGGTCTGAAAAATTTACTCTAAAGCAAACAAACACAAAACACCCCAAATGCTGTTCAATAAAAACTTGCTTAAAACTATTAAACAAAGATGCTCATCCTCCAAATGCTGTTCTTGATACCTTCTATTGTGTTCATCAATGGGAAAGTAGACTCTTCAGTTCAAATAAGTCACCACCGTTATGTATTGTTATCTGCTTTATTTGTCACTTTTATGTTGTTTCTGTTTTATCTTACTTTTGACTTTTATTGTGAAGCTTCTGTAGATTGATTTAGGTCCATTGCATGAACAAGTCCTATTTTTCCTCTTAATAAAAATCAACATGTTTAAATGTTTGGGGTCTGGAAATACATCCATGCACCTTTGTGTGTTTATGCACTGTACTGTATATGTGTGTACATCCATGTGTCCATCTCTCCAGATAAGTCTGCTTTTATGTACTATGATGTCCTTCATTTTGGGTTGTGCCTATGCTCTTGTTTTGATAAAGAGGAGCATGAATAGATGGGGGAGAAGTCTTGTAGTTTCTCCTTGCATGCATGCTGGTGATGTCTACCTGAAATGATCTCACAACAGATCTTAAAGCCATGACTTGAACTTGAAGTATTCCTGACAGCAAAAAGAAAAAGGCTGTCTAACTGTACGGTAATTTTACGGGTTGCTGTTATGATTGGCTTTCACTCTGATGGACTTAACTGCCTCTGACTGTGCCACCTGCCACCCGATGCATAATCCTTTGTCTCAGTCTTATTCTCACCCTGATTGTGGCAGTCTCCACAATGAGACCACTTGAGTGTTCTGGAGGACATGCAAACTGCAATAGATGTCTCACAACCCCCAAAGCTGTTCGCATACTGCTGAGTCCTGAGCCATTCCCTTGGTGTCTCCAGAATGACGGCAAGACACCTATAGGACAATCTGATGGCCTGCATACATTTAAATGGAACCCAGAACAAACCAATATTGGCTTTAAATCCCTGGATTCTGCACCTCAGCACTGTTTGGAAGCAGCAGGCCAGGCTCACCTCAGTGTCCTAGCTCACCACAGTGCTCGCTGCTCCATCTCCTCTCCTGTAGGAATGTACTGGGTATGTGTAAACCATGCATACCCACATCTTCCTGTGGGTTACAAAGGATGCTGTGGTTTGGCATATGTCGTCCCGGCTATGAGAGTGGCTCACTCCCTGCCCCAGAAACCTCTTTCTAAATGAATACGACGTGGAGTTTCAGATATCTTTGGGACTCATCATCAATCATCTTTCAAGAATGTACTTGGTCCCCTCCTTACTTTTTATGGAATTTTGTCTGCGTTAGATCAAATTGCCAATCTGTCTCACTCTATTGAAGTTAGCTAATGAAACTGTGAAAGCTCTTCTAGCTTTACAAAACAGAGCAGCTTTGGATTTTTTTTTAGCAGCCCAAGGAGGAACTTGAGCTGTTATTGGTTCTGATGTTGTACCTTTGTACCCAATTATAATGCTACGATTGGTGATATAATTAATCACCTTCATGATACTGCTAGATCTGTTCAACAAGATGGTAGTTCTTTATCTGCTTGGTTTAGAACTGCTTTTGGATCAGTGAGTTATCCCATTGTTAAGGTGATGATTATTTTGGTTGTTTTCATGTTACTACTGCCTTTTTTATATCATGTGTAAAGAAGTTCTTGTTCAATATTAGTTAAACACAAACAAGTCCTCCAGCAAAAGCATTTTTCTATTAACTTTGCCGATATTTTTAGATTACAGTAAAATTGTAACAATGTGCTTCACAACACTGCATGACTTTTCCAAATTTTCCGAGAATTGCTTATAAACATGTGTCAGAAGTCTGACATTAAAATTATATATTATTTAACAGACTTTCCTTTGCTCTATGTCTGCAATTGATGTTGACAGAACGTTTTGCTCCACACAACCCCACTGTTATTGATGTTTTGGAGTAGTTTGTCAGTTTGTCCACTTCTTTGTGAAATTCTTTTTTGTAAAGAAAATGATTGCTTCAATACTTCTTTACATGTTGGGTGTTAATAATGAGAGCAGAAGAAAAACAATATTCTTACTGTCTTTTACTCATTCTGCATACATAAAGATACTGTAAAGACCTTGACTTTATTATTATTGTTGTTGTTGTTGTTGTTGTTGTTGTTGTTGTTGTTGTTGTTGTTGTTGTTGTTATTAAGACCACCAGTGATCATCTGTCTCACCTTATCTGGGTGGACAACCAGGACTGCTTTGCGGTAGACCTTCTTGACCTGTTCTGGAGTAACCAGGTCAGCCATGCCCACAGGCTTCCAGCGTGTCTCTCCCTCCCACAGCACAGTATGCATGGTGGACAGCAGAGCACGGATGTTCCGCTCCTTCCCCTCAATCCAGTCCAGAATCTGGGTCACACACAGGAGAGGAAGAGAAAGAGAGCCATTAAGACAGTGATGACCAGATTTGGACCAATAATTAGCAGAAATGCTTTCAGTGATTTTGGCTCTGGTAACTCCTTTTCAAAGGAGTAATTAGAGGAACCAATGTATGGACATGGGAAACACACACTGGTCACTTCATTAATTCTGGAATAAACAGAAAGGCTTTAACAGCCAACGGTTTTTGAGTACACTATCCTACTTGTGGGAATCACTGAATTGCTTCTATTGTGCTACACAGGACAAACAGATGACAAAACCCCAGTGAACAAATGTCAAACTGTAATTCTACTCAGATGTAGTGATGCAAGAGCCAGGGGACTTCCTGGTGTTTCTCACAGAAACTTAAACAGCGAATAAGAACAACAAACTACTCCTTATTTTTTATCAGTCCTCTGATGTTGCTCAAAATCACATCAGAAATATTGCCCCTGCCTTTAGTTTCTCAGGGTCCATCTCTTTGGCCATCTCCTCCTTCCTCATCTCCGCTATAGTCCTGGGCCCTTTCTTCTCTTTGGTCCCTGCAAAGCCCTGACCAGACAGCAGGTCATCAAAGTTGGCATGCGAGGCCTTGGGCTTAGAACCTGGCAGAGAATGATACAAACACAAAGGGAAAAAACATGCTGTTCACCCATTTGTTGTCCTGCAATGCACCATGAACTGACTGAGTGACAGATCCATTCCCACAAAAGAATGTATGTGCACACAGTATCAAAATGTTAATGTATTAAAATATGTTTTACAACTACCTATTTTTTTTATAATATATATTATTTGACAAGTGAATGCATTTTGAAATTAATTCAGTGTTTACATCTTATTAAATTAAATATCAAATAAATAAATATTTAAAAACATGCAGTTAGGGTAAGGGTTAGATTTTCATAGCAGCAGCCGATAATCCTGTTTCTGTCATGTCATGAGCAGCCATTTTTAAAAACTGTGCCACAACAAGCACTCAGACGGCGCATACAGTTCCTTTACCAAACCCATAGAGTCCTCTTAATTCAGTTTAATAAAATGTTTAGAGATTTCTTCTAATCTGCATCTGAATCTGCATCAAAGTAAATATAGTGATGGAAGTGAAGATAATATGAGGATTTTGCAGAACAATAAATTGAAACGACTGAATCATGGTCATTTAAATTTATTATGTTGCTTTATTATGTGTCAGCTAAATGCAAATATGTTGCATGGTCACAATGAGTAAAAATTTTGTTTTCACAAATTATGATAATTTATGAATATATAAAAAAATTTAAAAATACATCACGGCTACCAGAATGAACAAATTCACAACCTGATCTCTACATTTTCATTTTAACAGACAACATCAAATCCAATTCAACATCTCCTGCTCACCCATGCCAGCCTGTGCTTTGCCCCCTGCGCTTGGCGAACCCCCTCCCATTGCAGAGAAGCTGACATTGTAGTTGGGTCGGTTCTGGGGCGATGTGTGAGGCATGGGGGTGTGGCTGGGGCTGGGCTTTGGCTGTGGGGCAGGGCCCTGTCCTTGGGGTTGCCATCCTCCACAACTTCCAGCACCCGGCTGCCACGAGGGGAAGCCAGGTGCGTGCTGGGGAGATGGAGGAGGTCGCGATGGGGAGCCCATGGGAGGGAGGGAAGGGGTAGTTCCAGTAGGGGTGGTGGGTTTGCTGGAGAAGCCAGAACCTGTTAAAGGAAAGGACAGAGATTGTGGCACAAGACATAGTGGCAAAGAAAACACACACTCAGTTCATGTAAATTTCCAGTGACTAACCTCCAAGGTTTCCCCCGAGGTTACCTATGTCAGCAAACGGGTCCAAGGTATTTGGCTTGGTTTGGTGGGTGGGAGTGCTGTGGACCGAGCCTGTGGGGCTAGTAGTGGCTGACCGACTGCCCATACCAAAGCCTCCTGGATAAATCAACAAACAGTGCTGGAGACTGGTACTCACAAATATTTTTGAGCCTTGCGATTTGCAGTTTTTTTAATCTCTTTTTTAAATAGCATTCAGTTCCACCAGCTCCCACGAATGTAAATACATACAAAAATATTGTTGTTGGCTTCCCCAATTCAAGTATTTAACAATGAGTGCTGTCCATGTCTATGTACATGTGTGTGTGGTTGGGTTACTGGTTTCTACCTGTGCTTGTGGTAACGGGTCTATTCCAGTCCCATCCTCCCTTGGCGTTTTGCTGCTGAATGTTGACGGTTGGGGTGGTAGGCGGGACAGGTGAACTCCGACCTATTCGAGAACATAAAAGTTTGTCACAGACTGAACACACAGTGAATGAGAACCAAGCAACTTGCTTTAAAATGCCCAAAAACTCTCATGGCACACTGCGGAGACCAAATACAAATTATTTGTAATAGACCTGACTTCAAAAGCATTACTGTGATTTCAGGCTGGGTTCAGGCCTGCAATATATATTAAATGTTTCTGTCAATTTCAAAACGATAGACTGATTAAAGGCACACTGGACATTTTGTTGTTATCTTGCCTCATCATGCACACACTGCTCTGTAAAGGTGTGAAGTCTAAAGAAATAAATCTAGAGTAGCAGAATTGCCCTACCATGTTTAAAGTTCAGGCTGAAAATCATTGTAGGGAATGATTCGTGCTGGGGATGAAATATTAACTATGATCTCTTTGCAATACTAATCAGACAGGCTGCAAATGATTATCATCCAGCATGCAAACCCATTCAATGCCAAACATACAGCAGCAATATAAAAAATCTTTTGCAAAGCATTAGTGTGTTAGTAAGCAATATATAGAGCAAAGCCAAGAAAAATATATGAAAAACCTGGTGCATTAATCCTGGAGAAAATTAATAAATAAGCAGCATGGTGGTGCAGTGGTTAACACTGTTGCCTCACAGCAAGAAGGTTGTGGGTTCAAATCCCCAGTTGCCCCAGCCTTTCTGTGTTTGCATGTTGTCTGAGTGGGTTCTCTCTGGGTTCCTCCCACCATCCAAAGACGCTAGGTTAATTGGTGTCTCTAAAATTGTCCTTAGGTGTGAATGTGAGTGGTTGTTTATCTATGTGTGGCCCTGCAATGGACTGTCAACCTGTCCAGGGTGTACCCCGCCTTTTGCCCAATGTCAACTGGGATTGGCTCCAGCCCCCCGCGACCCTGTACGCAGGATAAGCAGTTGACGATGGATGGATAAAACATGTTTTAATGCCAGTTTTAAGCAGAGTTGACACACACGATTTGTGTTTATGTGTTATGGTGTAGCAGCAGACCTGAAGACACTGTAAAACATCCCTTACCCTGATGTGGACTCTTTTATTACATCCAAAATTGTGCAGCAGAGCAGCAGAGGCATGCCTTACCCAAGCTTGTAGGCTGCAGGGTGGGTGATGGAGAGCGAGCAGCATGCAGGAAGGGGTCTGGCTGCACCACGTTACCTGGTCCAAGGAATGAACCCATCATGTCCTGAGGCTTAGGCATGGGACCTGTCCCAAAGGGATCAAACGCTGAGGGGAAAAAACATACCCACCATTGTTATTGTCTAAAATTGTTGTTAACATTGTTGATATCTTTTTTCACTTTTGCATTACAGAATGCTTAGTGCCCCTGGGTTTCTTTGTATAATATATTTTCACATAATCCTAGCTGGTTTTTCACATAGTTGAAATTAAATCTACTTTAACTTAAGATGTTACTGTCTAGTATTCTTATTTCACAATTTAGGTTTCTTCTAGTAATGGCATTACATAGTGTGAAATATCAAAAATGATATTCTTCTTACTTTCTTTACAGACTATTATTATATTATTATTATTTCTTTTAGAAGCAAAATGAACTCATCAACAATTAATGTGAAAGTATTTTTTCTGACCTGTGACACATTTTCATCTCTAGATTTACATGACACAGGTATGAGAATTTGAGTATAGGATATATTACTTGACGTAATTACAGTATTTATTCATTTTATGCATTCATATTTTATCATAATATTAAATATATTTGACAAAATAATCTTAACTAATCTTGGCTTCTGATCTAATAATGGGATGTAGAGATTTAACCACACATCATCTGATGAAAACTGTGACATACAGTTGAAAGGGAGAGAAAAAGCTAATATGTGGACTTTAAACGTAGTCTGACAAAATAGTTTTAACTTAAAGTTCTAGGTGTCAAATGTCATTTCAAACTTGGTATCTTACCTGGTGGCGCAGGGGAGTGACATGGCGAGGCAGTATTTGGGACTACTTTATGTGGTGTGGACTGGGCAGATGATGGCCCACTGGTTGGCTGGGGTGGAGCTGCAAACAAGTCCCCTAGCAGGTCAGTGGTTGCAGCTGCAGTAGATGGCTGAGATGAAGGACACGGGCGGTTGATCTCCCCATCGAGGCCAAGAAGATCTACTTCTTCAGCGGGTGCAGGGGCTGCAGGCATTGGAGCTGGGGGATCAGGTCTCTGAGGGGCCGAGCTGGCGCTGCTGCGCTGGCTGGAGAGCGAGAGCATCTCATCATCCGAGGGCTCGCTCTCCTCGCCAAGGCCCCGACCCTCTAGACCCCCATGGGGCCGACTTGGCTCTGCAGGGAGATGAGACAGAAATAGAAGAAAAGAAGTAGAGAAAGAACAGACAGACAGAGATAAAAATGCAGTGAATTACCAAATGAGACAGGCATGCAAAGTGGAGAAAGTAGAACGTGGAAGAAATAACAAAATAGGTAATTAATTGGGGTAAAGCATATAGAAATAATAAGAGTATGTTAAGAGAAAAGGGGACAAGAGCAAAGTAATAGGCAACTACACAGATCATCTCCACTACAAGCATCAGCTATTCTCCTTATACTGTGTGCTATGTGCTATAATACACTATGCTGCACACTTTGCACTAGCTACCTTTTGGCTACAGTAATTGGAGGATATAGTTTCTAAAACAACATGATACATCTTTATTTACAGGAATCCGATCCATATAATATATATAATATACAGTATACCAAGGGATGGGATGTACCTCAGCTAGTACTAATTTAGAGCAATATTTCACTTTGGTAGAACATTTTTTAATTTGTACCACTTACAGCAGCACAGTTTTTCCCTTAGCTTCCTTTAGCTATTGTCACTGGGATCACATGTTTTCACTAGTGCCATAAAAATATTTCTGTGGATAAAGGGAAAAAATACATTGTATCATGCTGTAGGATATTGTGGGATTTGTTTTAAGATAATGACTTACATTTATTCAGGTCCCCAGCTGATTAGCATTTATGCCAGAAACAGATTAGACTCATCCACCAAATTGATATATCACCCTAACAAGATCGGGGTTGATTTCAATTCAATCAATACAGATGGACACAGCCAAGTGATATCCAACAGAAGTTTTGTTTGTCAATAGGGTCAGTGCTCTCATATATTTGTGGGGAGAGTATGATTGAATTGAACCAAGCCCTGGTGAACTAATGTCACTGTACTGAACAGTTTCTCACAGTTATATGGTCTCCCATACTGTCTTACCCTCCAGATCCAATCCCTCCATCTCATCTTGTAGGGATAAAAATGAGAGTTGGTTCATTAGTTTGTTCATGTGTCTGCATGTTAACATATGTCAATGTGTTTCTGAATACTGTATTACAGTACCTTAATAGTTTTCTGTTGCAGTTGTGCACCATCTTTTTGTACAACATTTGAACATAGCAATTTGTGTATGAGTGTCCATGCATAATGGATTTGTGAGTGTGTGTGTGGATGTGTATTGTTCACTTGTTTCTAACCTTGTGAGAACAACATAAGAATGATGAGTAATTTTTAGCTAGGTCTGATTTTTTGTTAAATTAGTGTAAGATTTAGGGTTAGAACATATGTTTAGGGTTACTTTAGGTTTAGGTTTGAAGTAAGGCTAAATAGTTAGCGGTTAACGAAAAAAGAACAAACAACAGGTAACAATTAGCCATTTTGAATTTATATGACATTCAGGTTGAGAGGCTTTACCCAGCTAAACTAGGAAAGACAAAAAAATTCCTAATGTTGTGTATAACAAGATGCAACACTTTCCCTATTGAGCTGAAAACTTGATACAGGGCTTTTCTGTCCATATTTATCGCTCAGCTACATTACTACTGCCTCTAATGTAGCTGGTGGTGAAAATTTGACGTTGTTGTCATTTTAATAAAGATCGAACAGATAGCATACCTTTCAACATCTACAGCTTCCGTAGGGCTTTGGCAAGCATTTAGTAGCCAGTATGGTAGTGGATACCTATTTTGCTATGAACAGAAAACCCTGGTGTTGTGATTGAGCATAGACAAAAGCTTATAGATCAGAAGCTATAACATAGAGCTTCCAACCTTAAGTGTGATGTGCAGTCTGTATTTGTCCCCAGTGTACCCATCCTCACAGTACCAGCAATAGCCAGCGCGTCCTGATGCTCCTGGTGGCAGGAGAAGAGCACGTTGGGGCTGAGATCTTTACAGGGGAACTGCTCCCACGGCGGCGTCAGGTCTTTCTGCTTGTCTACCTCCTCCACCTCCACATCCAGTATCACATGGAAAAGCTGGGGATACTTCTCAGGAGAGTCACATGCATCCAGCTCTGGTCTGAGAGGAAAAATTGGGTGTATGAGAAAAAAAATGTATGTGTGTTATAATGAGAGGTAGAGGGAGGAAAAACAGATTTAAATTAATAGGATTGTTTTTTTTTCTAAATATGTACTTCTGAAAATCACGATTTCATCTTCATTTTCACGTTTTTGGGGAGCGTTTTAGTCATGTATTTGTTGTGTGCTCATACAGTAGCCTAAAAGTGATTAACATAGAAGAAATAGTACTTACTTGTTAAACTTTAACATGGTGGTACCAGGAGCAATGAAGCCAGTGTGGAACTGGATCTGGAAGATTTGGGTGTTGGACACCTAACAACAGTAGAACAAACGTAAGTTTGGACCATGTGATATTTTAGTGTAGCCTATCATACCAAATTGCATCAATAGTCAGATGTACTGTAGTCTACCCCTGCATAAATATCCCAACTATAAGCACAACGTTATCTTTGTTAAAGTGCATTTAGTAGCCATTATGGTAGTGGATACCTATTTAGCTATGGACAGAAAACCCTGGTATCATGATTGAGCTTTTCAGACAGGCTGATGAAAGAGAAAATACACAAAAGCTGTTGGATTATAAGAATTGCTGGAATACAGATTTGAGATCTGGGGAGTTTCAGGGGTATCAAAATCAGGATCAAACTACAGCCAGTCAACTTCATCCCATTTACCTGAATGGATGTAGAGTTGAAAAAGTAGTTTAACTGTTAAGTTATTCCCAAAACACTCTGCTGTAAGGCAGAGCTTCTTTCTAGGAAGTGTTGACTTGACTGTAAAAGCTCTAGTTGCATGCACATGCTCGTTTACAATGCTATTAAAACCTATAAAGGAAATGTTGGGGGTCGTACAACTTTAAACAATATATCAACAAATATACTTTTAAAAGTAAAATCATATGATAACCAGAAGAAATGATGGACAAAACTAGGCCCAGGTTGTTATAAAAAATTTAGTTTTCATTTTAATGTCAATCACTATACAATGTCTAATGTTTCTCCCTGTGCTACTGTTGGAGGAAAGCAACACATTTCCATGAACTGAGTGTGTCAGCAAATTTAAAACCTGTCTGCAACATGTCACTTCTTGCTACTTCTTTCCTCCTGACATTTTGTGGGTTCATGTTTGGATCAAGATGCACAGATATTCAGGTTAAGTTGCAGCTACATCCTGAGACTTTGTTTGATGGCAATATGATCTTGTACCAAACTTTTGCTATATTGCCTAACATGTTGTTTTGTCAAGTTTGATTAAGCCGTTGACTTCATCGGTGCAAAGACATGGTTTGTAGTTTGCTCTGTCAACAATTGCTGGCTCTTACAATAAAAAGACTAGGATAAAGCGTATAGCACATCGAGTTTACCTTGGCCTGCAGGCGTCCTCCAATGGTCGACCTCATGTGATACACTGAAACGACGACGTCTCCTTGCACACTCACACCCAGAGGGAAAACTACTTTACCCTCTTGGACCCTGTGCTCTCTGGACATGCAAAGTGTGAAAGAGGGAGAAGCATGGAGAATTGAGAACAGAGGAGGACAATGTGTTTCAGACTCTTTGATCATATCTTCATATATACAATTCATTGCATACTAATTTGATTTCTATTTTTATATATATGGATTTCTATTTTCACTGTGCAATTCCAGATGTGCTCAATTATAATGCTCTTACTCCTTTCAGAAAGCTCACTCTAATTCAGTTTGTATGAAAATGATTGTTAGCAGCTGTTAACCCTTGTGGACTGAGCGTTTTAAATCTTATATAAGCATCGGTCACAGCCCTACCTCATCCTCTCGTAGTCCTGTGCAGTGGTGAAGATCTTTGTCTCTCCTAGGAGGACGTCGCAGAAAGGTCGACAGCCACTACGCTGCTTGTTGAAGCAGGGGACCGGAATCATGTTGAGGGCCTTGATAACCAAAGGCTTTGAGTGGGGTAGACTGGGCTTCTCCGATACCATACTACATACATACCCTATGTACCTGCATGGAGAGAAGACAAGATATTAATTTGTATTTTTCTTTTTTCATTGTCTAATGCATCTCTCACTGTTATGTCCACATGTAAGTAGCAACTTTGGTGATATGTATCATCAGTCATTCACAAACTGACAAATGCTATGCATACAGTAGGGGGCTCATTATACCGGGTGGTGATGGTGCATCGAATAAGACACATGCCTTTGGTGTGAGAGACCCGGTTTTGAATCCACTGTGAAACACCAATGTCTCCCTGAGCAAGACACTTAACCCCTAGTTGCTCCAGAGGCGTGCAACCTATATATATATATATATATATATAGCAATTGTAAGTCGCTTTGGATAAAAGCGTCAGCTAAATAAATAAACGTAGTAATGTAATGTAGTAATTATACTCTGCGGCACCAAACGCTGTATCCAGCCAACAAGTAGAGGCACAGCACCGTTAGAGGAAGGTGAAACACAGTGATCCGTGCAGGCAAATCAATTTAAGGACTTTGAGGATTGTCCAGAATGTTTATTGCAGCCATTTCCATAAAGTCCATAAAGTCTTGTCAACTTGCACTAAAACTTATGAGGGAGCTCTTGCTCAAGCATTGACTGATAAATACTACAGCCATTGGCTGGCAGGGTAACACAATGTCCATCCTTGAGGGTCTGCTAGCTCTGCAGCCTAAGATTCATGCTTAGGAAGAGAAAACTGAAGACTGTTTGCTGTACTATTGAGCTATTACATGTTTTCTACTTATTTTCAGCTACCACCAACAGCAAATTGTCTGAAAGTATGCTATTATGATAGAATCTTAAAATGCATTGCCTTCTAAAGAGCTAGATAAACATAGCTAACAGTGGAACAATTTGATGATGTGAAAGTGTTTCAAACCACTTCAAAACAAGTGTTTTTTCTTGGAAGCTGTAAAACATTCAGTAACCCAGCAAAGCTTGCATACATGTACACAGACAAGTGTTAAGAAGAGTAAAAATAAATAAATTAGTGTATTATTAGATAGCTACATTTAGTCATTTCAACAGCTGAGAAATATCAAATCTGCATTACCTGACATAACTGATTACCTGAAGCAGTGATGCTTTCAGGTCATCAGTCATGTCCACTCCCAACACACACATAAAGTCTGACCATGATATGTGATAGTTCCAAAGTGATTTTGGCAGCTTTGATATTTGGTAAACAATTGAATTAACAGCAGAGAAAAGACAGGCAAGAAAATGTGTAAGAGGTGTTATAAAATATGTGTACTGTAGATGTAATTTTCCTGTCCTTTCTTTCTCTTTCACTTCCCTTCTTATCTTTCTCATTCTCTATCATGCACAAACAAACACACACATGTTAAGGGATGCAAACCTGCGGTGTGAAGGCCAGAGACCAGAGCCTGGTCTCTTGGCGCTGAGCAGCTGCATGGCAGGAACTGGATTGTTGAAGAGGTGGCAGAAGCAGAACATGGCACAAACCAAAACACCTGAGGGAGAAGGACCATCCTAAAAACAAACAAAGGTGACACTGAGACACTTTACAAAATGGTGGGCAAATAGGCTATTGTATTTTAAAGTTTCGCTACTTTTTGGTCTTGTCTGCCATGCATGTTAACCCCTGCACTGCTTCCATTTACATCTTAGCATTGCAGCAATAACAGTATCTCGTGTGAACATGTATAGATCAAGCCACTGAACACAATGACACAAACCTTCTGAATGCTTAATGTAGATCTGTAATTAAAAAACACATAGGCCAACACTAAATGTAATGGTAGTAGAGATTTTTGTTCCTTGAGTGTGTTCACACAAACATTCTTGTGATCTGAAGCAGAGAAAACAAAATGAAAAAGGTTTTAGAAAGGAACCGTTTGGTGGAGGTTACGCAAGGCGGAGCCGTTTGCCAAGCCACAGCCAAACCGCAGTAACTTGGCAATAACATGCTCTACCACATGCCAGTGTACAGTACTGCTGTCACTGAATTAGAATAGACAGAAAGGCCAGTTTCACTGAATACTTCAGTGGTGCCTGTATTGCAAACATTTGCATTGTCAAGTATTTAGGGTTTTAGCTGTGCCTGAAATATGCCTGACAGTATCAAAGTTTTAATATATTATCATAGGTGTACTAAAAAGTGCAACTGGTTGATGAGGTAAGGTTATTGGGTTTTCCAACGTGATCTCTGTCGAGCATAATACATACACTATGGATGAGAAGAATTTTCTTTATCAATTAATTTCAATTCAGTGGATTTTTATTGGTATGGGTTTATGGTACAGACGTTTACAGTGTGAAATAAAAACGTGTACATAAACAGAATAATTAATAATAATAAATGTAAACTTGCAGTTATTATTAACTATTATAAACACTGCACTGTTCTTTATTTCATTGAATGTTTTACATTGAAGGAGAAAGTGCATCTCTGTCTTAGCCTCACCTATTGAACACATGGCCACATATTCTGTTTTGGTTACCATGATATTTTGTGTCTTCCTTTTTCTAATGCCAGTTTGTTGTCACTGAGCCTGTACTTGGTTAGAATCCGTCTATGCTTTCTATCTCTGAAAGTAGAGAGATATTCTGCCAAATCTTAATCTATTTTTAGAGCCAGATAATTTTTTAAATCTACTTTGGCTTTGAGTTTCTTCTTTCAAATGTTTCTAGCCATTGCATTATTATTTTTTTACTCTAATTTGTGTTTGGACAGCACCAATCAAACACATAAACCTAAAGAAGAGATTTAAGAATACATCAGAGTGTACCCATTTATCCACTCCAATCCAATGACCAACATATTAAAACATGACTAACATCCACACTTAAAATGAATATGATGAAGGTACTATATGTGAGCGTCTTCTTACCGAGCAGGTGATGACACACACATTCTTGGGATTCTGTTTGATCCAGTTGTGCATGTTCTTACACACTGCAAACAAGTTGTGAAGGCTGGGAGCCTGGCGAGAAGGCCAGTTACACTCTGAAACCTGGAAAGGAGTTGGTGCAAGAAATAAAACAGGGAGTAAGAATGAGGGAAAACAGATAGAGACACAGAAACAGACAGACGTGGACATAGGCCAATAACATAAAAAAAGCAAAGGAAGGCAGAGATAAAGGGAAGAGAAGAGGGAAGAAGAAAGGTAAAGTAATAGAGGAAGAGTTCAAAAAACAAAAAAAAAGACATTTAATCAGAAGGGGTGGAGAGAGGAGAGGTAGAGGTTAGCAACAGTGCTGCAGCAGCAGAACAACATCACACAGCACACACAACCTCTTGCCATGATGAGTCATCTGCAAAAGATACAGCCACAAGCAGACAGGGGGCCATCTTGGCCATGTAAACTCCACAGCTTGACTCCTCAGCTTTGGATGTTTCTGCAGGAGGGTGGCAGTCTTTCATTTATAGAGATCCCACATGCGCCTTCACTTGAATCCAAATCCACATTAATTCTGGTGTTTCAATAGTAGTTCAGCTTGGACAATTGGATTAGTGAATTATACATTTTGGAGACATCTGTGGTCACAAGTGGTTAATGCTGTGGTAAAGGTTTTAAAAGATACACTACATGTTGAATCTCTGATGTGTTACATCTCTTTAAAATTAGAATAGCAAAAAAGACTACTTCTGCAAAAACATAGCAGCAGTAGAAACAAGCTGTAAACACTACAACATGTTATCAACTTTTAGGTTGAAATTAAAATCAGCATTAACACAACATTATAAAATATTACATAAAAAGATGATATTACAGACGTGTTGGCAAACAGCTGCCTAATTACACATTCAGCAGACACAAAGCAACATTGGCATTCATTTGCAATTGTGTTTTTGGCCACTTGATATGTGTAAGTCCAACATTCACTTTCCTTTTAGCTATGTTAATGGTCTCCGCCAACTTCTCAGGGAAATATCTGTCTTCAGATGCTAAATGCTCCATTATGTTCTCCAGCTAGGCCCTTTGTCTGTTTAGCGTTGGACAAGTAGCAGCAAAGTTTATCACAGCTTCATCGAGCTGCTGAAAACTGCTGCCTGCTGCGACTGGAAGCGATACAGATTACAGCAGTGAAGGTAATCCAAAACTAAAGTTGCAGGCCATAAAACGGAAACAATAACAAAGATGTTAAAAAGCTATGTGGAGCAGTGGATAACTCTCTCTGGGTTTGTTACTACAAGCTTGCTCAATGAGATTTAATGACACAGGAGTGGAAAGCAATGATAGGCCCGACTGGGGAAATGTAATTAGAGGTTTCAGTCTGGGTGATTCCATAGTTCCACAGTCCCCACTTTAAAACACTGGCAGACCAAAGATAGCCAGCAAAGTGTAATGTAAGTCCTCACATCACACTCTGATGTTGTAATAATCCAGGGTTTGAAAATGGTGCAGCAACCACTAGCAACAAGGTAATAAATATGTAATGGCTTCATCTGTAGTTTCATAGTGGAGTATCACACTCACCCTGTTGGAGAATTTGGCGCCACGATAGTTGCGCTGCGATAGATTGAAGACAGTGTAGTGGTCGGCATGGCGACTGTCGAGGAAGGAGCGAATGTCCTCTACATGGTTCTGGTAGCCAATCTGGACTGACTCCGCTGGGTAGGTCATCACTGAAAAACAATCCATTCAAATGTTGGATGAGATTCTTTGAAGAATTTCATGCACTGTTGGTGCAGATGTTTCCAAACACAATGTACAATAGGCTCACCCTCTTATAATGTCCTAATATGAAGAGTAGGTCCACATTCAAACATGACTATCAACATTTGCACAGAAAGCATTATGGGATAGAAGCTCTAAGTTGACAAATGCTTAGCTGACTGTGTTCTCTAATAGACACAAGTGATATGGTATGTAAAAGATACCCTGCATGTTGAGCCACTGCTATTTTACATCTCTTGAAGATTAAAATAGCAAAAAAGACTATCTCTACAAACATTTACTACATCACTCAATAAAGTATTCTGATTCTGAGGATTGCTGCTCCACACACATGTGAAGCTGTAAGCAATTAGAGAATAAGAGAGGAAGACATAGGGAAAGCAGACCAACTCAAGCAGACCAAACCAAATTATCAACAAGCTGAAAGAAAAATATATTCAATACTGGAAAGAAACGACCAAAGCACAAAGTAAATTACAATGTTATCTGATCCAAAAAAGAGAAATCACACTGGAAAATTACCTGAGCACAATAAAATGTCCTAAACTAAGAAAAATTTTGACAACATACAGACAGAGTGAACACAGCCTGGCCATAGAAAAGGGTCGCCACAGACAGAGCTGACTAAGAGGAGAGACTCTGCTCCCAGTGTGACACAGGACAGGTAGCGACAGAGCTGCACTTTCTAACTTCATGCCCTAAATATAAAACACTAAGACAAAAAAACTTTGCAAACATTTCCCAATATACCATCAGACACACAGAAACTCCCCTATTTACAGGGAGAAATGCCCAATTGTGAAATAATTGCTGCAAAATATGTCTCCTCATGCCATGAAGTGAGGACAACCAGTGGAAACTCAGACTGATAAATAATTGTAAAAATTGTCAAATTATTATTATTTTGATTGTTTGATATTTTAGTAATTGTTTTGTTTTTACATTTGAAACTGTTATAATAATACACACACATTACTGTTTCATTTATTTATTTAACTTAAATTCTTAATATTTTTTTTATTTTTTTTAACACACACACACACGCTTACTGTTTTATTTATTTTATTTTTAATATATTTTAATTTTTTTAACACACACACTTACTGTTTTATTTATTTATTTTATTTTAATTTTTAATATATTTTAATTTTTAGAACACACACACACAAACACACATACTCTTTAATTACTTTGCGCTTTAATTACTTGTTTAATGAAATGTATGGGGTTGATTGTTCTTATGTAGTTTGAATGATGCTTTGGCAATATTGTTGTTATACATTCATACCAATAAAGCTAATTTGAATTGAACTGAATTGAAAGCTGAGCATGTAGGTGTCTATTAATGTCTAGGTGTTTATGATTATGTGTATGTGTATGTTAATACTGTCTTCGGGTCATACATGAACGACTTTAATAGTATGCAGATATAATACAATTTAACATTCTTATATTTAAAGTAGGGTTTTCTTCATTGTAAGTTTAAAGCCCCTGAAAGCTATTTCCTCAGCTTCATCAGCTTCTAATCAGGATTCAGCAACATTTGAATCTAATGATAGTTGTTGGGTTGTTTGGTCACTGTCAATCAAATCTGATCAAACCAAACAAACACAATCCTAAAAAAAGCTGATTAACTGAGTTTTTGATTGTTGAATTCTGAATAAAAAATAACTTAATACATGTTTTACTTTTATTGTTGCTTATTTGATCATTTGTGCATCTATGCGCACAGCTGACACATGCACATAAAGTCCATTAGCAACAACTAAATGTGTTTACCTATGATCCGGGATGTGATGTACGCAATGTCCAGTTCCCCTTTAGTGTACCTGTAACAAAGAAAGTAACCTTTGAAGATTATTTTAAACATGCATTTTTCATGCAATTTCCATGACACAGACAAAAAGAGGAAGGGAAGAGAATAAGATTACAATCATTTGAATGGATTACATTTATATAGCACTTTATCTTGATTCTCAAAGCTTCACAGTGAAGAGAAACTCACATCAACCACCACCAATGTGTAGCACCCACTTGGGTAATTCACATCAGCCATTTTGCACCAGAACACTCACCACACATCAGCTTTAGGTGGAGAGGGGGAAAAACTTACAGCCAATTACACTGGGGGATGAATAGGTGGCCAGATGGAATAAGCCAGGTTGGGAATTTTCTCTGGGGAACCCCCTACTCTTTGTGATAAATGCCATGTGATCTTTAATAATGAGCACAAGGACTACTTCTCTGACAGCACAGCATCCCCTGGGTTTAAAATTACATCCAGAGGGAAAACTGCCCATTACAGGCCCACCAACACCACTTCGAGCAGTCACTCAGTTTTTCCAGGAGGTCTCACATCAAAGTACAAGCAAAGCCCACACCTGCTTAGCTTCAGTCATTCAGCAGAAACACAGTACTTCTTGGTATGGCTGTTGGCCAACAGTGCTAACAACCTTCAGCAATATTACAAGCACAAAGAATCCACTGACACTCGAGAAATCTCCCAGATTTGCACAGTATTTGTGAAATTTGTTGTATTACAGTTGTTGTTGTATACTGTTATATCAGATGCAGCAGTCACATGTGTTTTCAGACAACTTAAGCATTTGGTCAGGAGGAGGGTCAAAAGATGCCCTGCTCTTTATAAATATCAAATAATTAAAAAGAGATGAATGCATAACTGTCCAGCATCCATAAGGTTAATCAACCTCTCTGCCTCTCGCTGTCAGTGCATCCGGCTGCATGTAATGCATACCCAAGTAATTATACCCAACAGGCTTTAGAGCAGAAGCTTCCATGTGTTTGGTTGTGTGGAATTTGTCTTTTCAGGCTCAACACACTAGGCTGAACTACTCGAGATTAAAAGAACACCATATGTGAATTCTTCAATTGAGCATCATTGCCTTTCATTGCCAAATTTAGCTATTCCATATGGAGATTTTTTAAACTCTGAGAGCAGCTGCAGTGCACACACATACAGGAAATTCACTACTTCTACGCCATGGAAGTGATGGAAAGCAGTGCTTATGAAACCCTATGAAGCAGGTGCAGTGTGGGGGAATGTGCTTTAATGAACTACAGACTCACAAAAAAAGTGTTTTTTTCTTCTTGAAATAAACAACCAATTTAGTTTTCTCTTAATAGATATCAGGTGTGAGTGTGGCAATTATACAGTCCATGCTTCGTCTGACGTCTTTGTCAGCTGTAATATCTTAATGTCTATGAAGTTACCTAGAAACAGATTTAATGATCTAAAGAAAACAGTGCTTCACAAGATTATTTATCTTTGATAAGAAAAATGTGACTTTATCATCCTAAAATAAGAGTTATATTGAAAAAAGAAAATGTTTTCACCCACAGCAAGCAACAGCAAAAGACAGCTCGACTTCCCACTGTACTGCAATTATCATGCAAAACTCATTAGTAGGCTAATGTGTATCAGATTGAGTTGAGTTGTTGCCTACTGTGAAAATCCTCCAAGCAGGGCTGATCTGGGGCCGTCATCTCTGTGTGGTCATGGAGGAGTGCCATATGGCGCTGATGCAATCCAAGACCTGTTTATGTAATGCCCTGCTATTCAACTAGACTGCTTCGAGGTGAAAGTAGGCTAAGTGTGTCTCAGGATTTTCTGTAGTGTTTCACAGAAATGCATTTTTGCAAATTTGTAATTCATCTTACAGCGTCATATATGGCAATTCCAAAAAACTATTTAATTGTTGTGTGGCATAGCCATGAAAAAGCTAATGTAACAGACAAACAACCATAACTAACTCCACCAGAGAAAAAGGTGGGAAAAGATGGCTGTTTGTTTGCTGCTGTGTCTTTCAGCCCTGGATAATGAAGTAATTGGACCACAGTTCATGTTTCTATTTTCATCCAATTTTGTGTGTTTATCCCAGAGAGTGACACAAAAGATGAAGATCTGGACTACATACTCCTATTTAAACCAGTACAGATTTTCTTAACAATAATGTGAGGTTGAGCACAAATTGTTAATTACCTTGCAAAAAAAAAAAGCAATGTCTGAAATTAAAAAATATATATTTTAAGTAACTGAACTGCATTAATTTCATGTCATCTTGACCTTTATTTTAGTCCCAGAGATATATTGCACACATGTGATCAACATCGGAGCAATGAGATATACAATGGAAATCTGTGGTTTTACTTGCTTCTCTCCTGAAATAGCTGCTTGGCTATTACAGGAGGAAAGCAGGTCAGGTGTCTGGTTTAAAAGGTCATGGCCAATAGCCACGGAGTATGCAAATGACAGTCTCCCTGACCTCTTGAGTTAGAACTACAGTCAATTAAAACGCACTGCACAGTGTGGTGAAATGGATGAAATAGGGGGAAGGGCACAGCAGACACTGGAGAATTTTCTTTCATTTATAGAAATTGGTCAACATATGTTCTACACCTTCAGTATGATAGATACATTGTAGTATCATGACTACATGTAAGCTGCAGAATTCTTACTAGTTTTCTATAGGCTGTGTACCTGGATTTCAATGGATAAACTCTCAGAAGTAAGATAAACAACCAGCAATATTGATCCAACCATTTTAAATGTATGTGCAAATGAGCAATAATAGCTCCACTTCACTGAATGAACATTGGAAGATCAGTAAGACTAAGATTCCTAAATATTGACACAACTCTTTTGATTCATCAAATAATGAAATAATTTTTTGTTAGCTGAAAAATCCTCATGTGTTCTGGCTACAGTTTGGCTCCTATTCCCTAGATCTATTTCTATGAATTACTTGAGCATTATGAAATAAACAAAATTATGAAAGAAACATTGACACATACCTCTCAAGTTTTGATAGAGCAAAGCAAAACAATGGAAAGCAAGTTAGTTGTGATGGTCATTACATATAGCTTACTAGCTGGCTAACAGGCAAATGCTTTGAAGGACACATTTTGTAGCATAATACATTTTTTCCCCACATCGTTGTTTGGAAAGTTCTATGTATGTACAGTACACAGGAAATGAAATAGTACGAAGTGCTGGATAAAAAGCATCTAGTATTCAAAATTTTGAGAACCAGAATCAATTGACTTTCTGTGTTTATGCAGTTGTGTGATTATTCTGACACAAACAGCTGATTTCAGTAAAAACATTATGTTGCAGTTTAGAGCTAGAGTGCAGGACTTCTGCATATAAATATAAGCACTGGAGAAAATAGAGTTAAAGTTTGGAGTATAGAGTATGGAGTTTATGAGAATTGTTTATTTTGTTTATTATGAGTACAGTGTTTGTTAACATGCTTGGCAACGTTGTGCATTGTATGCTGGCTACAGCAACTAGGAGTATGGCAGAGCCTATGGTGGAAATACTCAAGAGGTATTCAAGAAACGTTAATGATGCTCCAGATAAAAAAGAAACTCAGCATTCAGAGGAAGGAATACAGTCAAAAAAAGAAACAGACAAACACAGATAACTATTGGTATATATTTTCCTCAATGGAGAGAGCTGAAAGAAGAGAAAGGAATAAAGGCAGACACGGATGTCGTGTCTTGGACAGGTTGGTATTTGTTAAATATTTGTGCAGCTCTTACAATTTCTCTACATAAATAATGGATTTTTGTCTTGGACCTGGAAACTTCTCTGTATTTCTGAAGTACATTATGAGCATGCATCGTCTCCAAAGGCCCTTGTCTGAGTTTACTATTTTATAACTGTTTTGTGATTGTTGATTTATTAGAATTTAGTTTTTCTGTGATTACTTTACTGCTAACCTAGCCACGCTTTTTACTTTTACTGTTGTGGACTGTGTGTGTATTTACTATATTAACTGTACTATTAATTAATAACTATAAAAACTTTTAACTATTAAGTATTAATTATACTTCTATGGGGATTCAATGTTGATCTTTCACAGGTGATACTTTAGGCATTAGGGGCAATATTAATTTGACAGTCTATACTTTAGTGAATCTAGTTCTCTTGTTACTGTAGTAATTCATTTTTGCAATACCTTTGGCTGCATAGCTGCATTCGTACACACACAGGGAGGGCAGAAGAGACACACAGACACCGACAAGCACCAGCACCACAGTGCCCGTTGTTTATGTTTCCTCCTGGAAGATAAACATCAGGCGCACGAAAGCCATTTTAGGTCAAATTATATCAGTGGAGATATGCTCTAACTATAAACACACACACACACACACACAATCAAACAAACACAGTGTAAGTGGGTTGGATCCAAGTGGATATTACATTTGGTTTTTCTACATTCCCTCCATGCTTCTCTCCAAAATTGTCTATTTGAAAGCTTTTTTATTTTTTGAACAGCATTGCTACCACCTATCTGCTTCCTACTGGCTTTTCTAGTTGATTTCATCCCAATTCTTTCAACTTGTTCAGCCTAAATTATCTAGCAAGAAGTACCTTGATATTGTGATTTATATATTTTGGCTACTAGAAAGGAAAACCATTGTTTAGTGAAGAAAGAATTACAGAGACAAAGGGAGATGTCAGCTGAGTTTAGTGTTAATGAAATGGGGACAAATACCAAGCAAAAATAAGCCAGAGAGGATGGATGAAATCCAGTGACAGAGAGAGAGACTAAGCAGAAAGGAGAGAGAGATGAATGTGTGTCTGGTGGGGGGGTTGGGGGGCGGTCTGGGTGCAGACCAAGGACACTGTGCCTTTCACAAACCCAGATCCCTCCATTGCCATTGTGTTTCTCACAGACAGAGGAACGCACAGTTGAGCATTGTTGCCAGATTGGTTTCCCAAAATTTCTCTTCAGCCAGGTAAACAAACAGCAGGCTGCTTTGAATAATTCAGCAACAGCCTTTGGCCTTGAATATAGATCAGACAGAGGCAGAGTGGAACCAATCCAGTCTAGTTAGGGGTGTTAAAAGAGGGCCTGGTTCACAATTGTGCTCGCATGGGTTTTGCCTTATGTCATGCATGTTCAGAGGAAGTGTTCCAACAGTCAATACAATACATTTTTTACTTGATTCTTTTTGCACCTGATTTATTTAAGTCCAATATTCACTCTCCTTTTAGCTCTCCACCAACTCTTGAGGGAATAATCGGTCTCTTTAGCTGTTAGATGCTCCACTATATTCACCAGCCTCTAACTTTGCTGTTTGGTGTTTGGTCCTGCACAGATTGCATAGAGTGTTTTTTTTCACTGAAAGTGAATCAAAACAGTAAAGCTGCAGACTGTAAAACCAAAACAATGAGCTAAAAGACACTAAATGCCCCTTGGACCTGAGTGGAACTGCTAAATCGGATGATAATTCTCTGTGGTTTTGTCACTTTAAGCAACCCCTTTAACATTGATGAGAGCAGCTTTAACCAATTGTACAAATAAAATATTTCCAATGCTGTTTCTGTTTTGCCTAGGTTTTACACTGGTCTGAGCCTTGAAATAAACATCTAATTTTCTCCTAATAGATGTCCAGGATTTGAGAGTGACAATTATACAATCCATGCTTGTGCTGTCAGTCCTAGCACAAAAATATTGAATATCTTATTATGAACAATCAAGAGCAGTTAACTTGAAGGTACTGGACTAACTAAAGGTGCTGGACAGGATTATCCATCTTGGATAAGAAAAATCTGACATTATCATCTTAAAATCAGATATTATGACTTCCTTGAATTGCTTTTTTTGCAGGGTGAATGAGAGCAGCTTACCTCTCAAGAATACATAATTAGATCCTGCAGCTCTTTATTTTATCACTCTAATTAACTGTTGACTTTGTTTCACCCTCATGGAGCAATACATGTAAACAACCAATGACAGTCAATGGGTAGGACCCAGAAAATCATGATACTATATCTATATAATCCTTCCATCATGCTTGAAACTGCTCTGTACATCATACTGCATGGTAAGCTGTATAGCTCAGTTCACAGTTTGTTTATTTATTCATGAGGGTAATAAACCATCGAGTACACCCTCAGCCTTGGGAAATTACTTGTGTTCTCACAGTCACTTTTTCTGTCCTTCCATTTCTAAATAAAGCTATTAAATGTAACACATACAACAGCGCAATTAACTCTTCAGTGTGCCAGATCCCAGCATGATAATTAATGTTGACACATCATAGACTCATCAAAGAAACCTGCAAAGCTGTTATATATTTCAAGAGTCAGTACTAACTCTGCCCATCTACCTTTCCTTTCTGTGGCTTTCAGTCGGTTGCCATAGTAGCCTGCCTCCCACCGCCCCATTATCTCAACCACCCACTCACACATATATATACAGTCCACACAAACACACACCACCACACACAGGGCCCTGATGAAATGAATCCTTCTGTATCAGCAGTGCACTGGCCATTTGGCACAATGAACTGTCATGAATAATTCAGCCAGGAGAGACAGCAAAGAGAGGAGAGGAGGGAAGGTGGAGCCGAGATGAGAGGCAAGAGGTGGCCGAAAACACGAGGGAACGACGGGACAGGAGAGTGGGAGTTTGCCAAGAAGTGAGCAGCAGAGGAGGGGGAGACACAAGAGAAGAATAATCCCGATCAAACTTGCTGAGTCAATAGTGAGAGAGGAGCTGTGAGTGTGTGTGTTTCTGACAATACAGAGGCCCCTTTGTGCTGCCCTGTGCAGATGCCTGTGCACAAACACATTGGGACGACCGAGCCGTGCCAGACTCTGCTACCTCTCTCTTCCCTCCCTCCATTCGCACTGCTCTGTTTCACATCTAAAGATACAGGGGACTCACTTTACATTGTAATCAACAGTTGAAACAGCATTAAATCAAAATAAACATTACATTTGATATTATTGAACTATTTTAATATTTGAGCTAAGTTTCTAACTAGCATGCACCGTAACTATTCATGATGGTAATCTCTTGTTAGGGATCTTCAAAATTATAGTCACGGGTGTTTAAATATGCAGTGTGATCAGGTCTATGCAGTGTGAAAAAATTCATGCTGCCATGAAACTTTTGCATTACTTTAAAAACTGCTCCAAATGCTATAATATAATTTGTCATATGAGGGTTCATGCTATAATTTAATTTAATGTCACACTGTGAAAGATGGGTCCAATAAAGTATTACAAACTAAGAAATTAGTATTAAGGCATTTCAAATGCAATGAATGCCTGCTAATCTATTATTGTAAAAAGAAACAAAATAGAGAGACAACTCACTCAATTTATCAGCACTGCTCTCATGTTTTGAAAATGTTGAAAAGTTGCTCATAGCGCCTAAGCAGAAGAGGAGTTGGAGAGTGTATGAATGAAGAGGTAACTTACGTGGCAACCTGATGCATGACCTTAGTGGAGGTGTCTTTCAGCGTGTCCTTCAAGTTGTCCTTGAAGTTGCTGAAGAACTTCCCAGCTCCTCCCTTCACCATGTCCAACAGTCCTCCGCCATAACTGGCATCCATATCTGGGGACAGAGAACCTTTAGTCAATCAGAAGGAAACAAAAGAGAGGGAAACAAAATATGCACATACTTTGAGGATGCCTACAGAGAGGCTCACTTCCATGTAAAAAAGAAACCTCCTTCCTTACTTTTTCAACCGATATATAATGGCCATTTTGATGCAGATGATGTATTTGAAAAATGTATACAGTGTGTACTAAATAAACATGATCCTTCAATTACAAATTGGAGTTAAGAGGCTTTCATTTGACTTTAGTGATGAACATATGAGTCACTGCACAACACACCGAGTAAACACATGTGTAGGTGTAAAGGAATGATGAAGAAGGACACACAATACAATAAAATGCATACCATCTGGAGCTGTGAAATGCTGTGTGTGTGTGCGGGGTTGGGGGGGGGGGACACTGAACACAGACAGAACACTGTCTGTTTTGTCTGTTAGAACAGACTCAAATGTCATATTTTTTTATTAATTTGCCTCCCTCCTCTCTCCTCCTCTCTCTATGTCTCCCCTTTATCTATATCCACACATAGCAACCGCAGTGGCATCACTTGAGGTGTAACTTGGCAGTGCTGAAAAAACTGCATTATGCAGCAGAAAATCTCCCTCAACAAGGATTTCCAACATTTTCAGCTGGAGTCTCTTCTATGCACCTTGGTTGATCAAAATAAAATCTTGTAGTCTTGTCCACAGGAAACTATATACAGACAGACCAGCAATCATTTTCATTTTATAATTTATTTTATGGAGATAGCTGCCAGTGTTACCCAGTTGGCTAATTTGGGCCTATGATGGTTGAAATTTACAGACAGAAGACGTCATAAAAACAAACGCATTTTCATAATTTTGTGTTCCAGCTTATCATCTGACATGGGGCAACTTGCTACAACCTTGAGTGTAGTCCTACTACGCGCCAAAGCAGGTCCCGGAAAAGTGTTAAGTTTCGGGTTGGGCTTGGAGTATGATATCTAGGTGAGGCAGATGGATCATTGTGATAAGATACTACAATGTCAGGAGCTGGTACTTGGCTGAAATTTGTGTGATGTTATTGCCACTATAAACATAACCTTAGATGAAAAGCTAATTTGCTTTTACTGGCCACTTTTGCGAAATGATGGTGTGCTGCTGTGCCTTATTCTATCTAGACCCATTAGTTATATTATGGCCACTTCCAGAGTAGTTGTTCTTCATATGTGAGAAAACCAGTCTGTGCATCCAAACCAATCATATCTCTTCCTCTCTGATTAAGAAATAACAAAATTGCATGAAGCTCAGGTCATACAGATGTGGGTGCAGACCAGGTTCCGGTCACCATGCCATACATAGTATCTCCTCACATACAGTTCTGATGTTATCACATTAATTGTCACTGAAAATCATTTGAGATATCCCAGTTTCTTTTTCTAGTAACATTCGTGGTGCCATGGAGGGGCACAATGACTGATTTTGACAGCAGACTTTCACACATATTCAGACAAGACAAGACATTACCAACACTGTCTCTGAGGAAATCTAGGGAGAAAGTCTGGCTGCTGAGACAAAGTGTCCTGATTAATCACAAACAGTAACTGCTTTAAAGTCTTTCACTCTGTCCCCTTACTCTATCAAAAACATTGCTTGTCTCCTTCAGATCTCTTCATTCCTCTCTCTTTCTGTGTCTGGTTCTCCCCATCCTGTCCTTCACCACATTCCACGATTCTTCACTAAATTCTAAATTTAGACTTTTCATCTCTGACTGCACATAGGCCTGAAATGTGTGACAGGGATTTTTTCTGAAGAATAAAGCTCCTGCTTGTTGAACTCCTACAGCATATGATCCACAGAAATTTCACAAACATAAATGGAACTTTGCCTATGGCAATCAAACCACTGCTGTTAAATCAGACTTGGCCAACTGAATTACACAAAATGTTTTAACTGAATGGGCATGCACATAGTGACAGTAGTGCAGTAATAGCTGCTTTAAAAAAAGCACAAACAAATAGAGTACCTCAAATTGTATATATATACTGTGAAATATTGCATTATGGGAATTGAAGACTCAAGTGTATTTGGAGCAAGACCCATACTATGGGCCAAATATCAAGATATATCTTTGTTTTGAAAGTGCAATGGAGTACCAGTTTAACTGACTCATACATGTATTATATTAAAAGAACAAGTAAATGACAAGAATAGCCTTATTTTCATCTTACTGATCTGATTTTTTAGCGCAGAGTTTGGGTGAGATCCTGCATTTCAGTCCAGTGCACTCTCACACTACAAACCTTCTTGCCATTCTACTTCTTTAGTTTATTCACTTGTTTGTCTCCCTCAGGTGACACAAAATGACGCCAAGGGTCAGCAATGTCAGTCGCAAATATTAGACTTCCACAAAGAGTAATATATGCGACTAACATCACAAAAAAATGCTTTTGACAAAGACTGGCTGCGACTGGATCTGAGGACTTAAGATTAGAATCTTAACGTACCGCAAACTTTATGATTGCATCTGCTGACTGTCAGTACCAACTGACACAAACTGAAACAAGTCCAGGCAAACTTGTTCCTATCAGTCGTCATGCCCAAATCATATTCATAATCAGCTACACAGCTGTAATGTGTGTCCCCATCTTGAGCCAAAAGTTATACATTTTCTTCAACTGAAATGGATGGCAAAACAACACAAAAACTGGAGTTATGGAGTTTTTATATGAAAACACAACATAAAAGGCCCAAAACAGAATTAAAGCCTAGTACTGCACCATTGACATTATCACATCTGTGCCTTTAAACCTTTCAACCTTCAGCTGACAGCGGGCCTCGTTTTTTTACATCCTGATGTACTGTCCTCAGGTTTTTGAGGTGAAAATTTTGAGTGCTTGGGGCATTTCATCTGTATTTATCTGTACAGCAGAGTTACAACACTTGGTAGGAAAAAAAGAGGCGATAACATGGAGCAAAGACTGAGCTCTTCAAAAAAACATGTTCTCATACACTAAACGACAGAATATGTCGTTTGCCAATGACCAAAACATAATGACCATTGGAGAGTAGGTTACCAGTAACAGGAGTACCAGGCCTTCATCATCATGGCAACAAGAATAAACACATGGTTAATGTAGTTAATGTACTTAACTTATGTCACATGACATGACATGAACAGCGGTCTCCTGAGGGAATGTCCTCTGTGACCCATTCACCATCCTCATACAGCCACTAGAGGTTAACAATAAACATAAATATGGGTCGTAATAAGCGGCTTGCACAGACAACCTATACTGTATTTTTGGGGAGGACGGTCTGAATAAAAATCATGTTGTGCCTAAAACACAGAGAATTCCTCTGTTAATGCTAGTGATCACTGAATTAACTTACAATCCTGCATCCTGTATTGTTATTGACCTTCATTTAAAGGGATAGCTACATTTCGGGAAGTAGCCTTATTTGTTTTCTTGCAGTGGGTTAGATTAGCAGATCAATATCACTCTGGTGTCTGAGAGTGGTATCAGTGTTCTCATCTAACCCTCAGCAAGAAAGCGAGTAAGCATATATCCCAAAATGTTGAATTATTCCTTTAATATGTCATTTTGAGCATGTCTGTGTCTTGAGGGATACAAATTATACATATTCCCCCGTTAGATTGTTCAGGACACACTTTTTACCAGTAAATGTTGGTCTGTTTTTAAGTTCATTACCATGCAAATTTCTCAACCAGTGAGCATGACAGGATGTATTAGGAAAAACAAGGATCCTGCTCCGCCTTCAAATCAATACCTACAGTATATGAGTTTAATCTGCCACTCATGTTTAGATACATGCACAGGTAAAGAGGCATCTGTAAAGATGATGGAAAAAAACATGCTTGAAAGAAATCTCTCTACGGGAAGAGCTGTTCCACAAAAACAGGACCAGGCCAATAGCTCACCCCTCCGCCTTCCTGAACCTCCTCCTATTGCTTTCACAGAGTGGACTAATAGAAACAGATAGAGCGAGAGAGGGAGAGAGAGAGATGCCTAAAGGAGATGAAAAGAAAAGAGAAAGACAGTTCTAGTTATGTCCAGGGGGATCAGTGGGCTGTCTGAATATGCCTCCCTCCTCCTACAGACCTAAACCTTTCTCCCTCAATATCCGGCTTGGTGTGAATAACACAGACGGACACATACACATAACAATAAAGCTTGACAAACACACTGCACTGCACTCGATCTCAGTGCTAGACTGTGCTGGGCCTTGTTGTGCCCTGGACCTGAATTACCCGGCGTCAACCCGGAGTCTAATCTGCTTAATTATAGAAGCTGCTGATGAGACAAGGACTTTATTTCCAATACTTTGAATGGCATACCAGCTCTTACGGCATGTCACTTTGGTAAAAGCTGCAACAAACTGCAAATGCAAGGTGCAAGCTGACAGTAAAACAAAATGTTTGTATAAAAGGTCTGCAATTCTTAACTAACTCAGTACCTTCAAAGAGTTTCACATTGATTTCAAAATTCTTGGCCTGGTTGTTCTTACCATCAAATGTGACAGGACTGATTAATCTGTGTTGATAAAGTGACAGTAAGATGACAGAGAATGAGGGGAGAGAGAGACGGAGAACGATATGCAATAAAGGCTCCCAGATTCGAATCACAAATGTTGTGGTTCATTGTCAGCGCCTTAACCAATTTACCACCAGGGTCCCCCCAAACTGCAGTCAGGGTATGACAATTGCTGTATAACAAACTGAATCTATCACTTTGAGAGTCAAGCTGGTTATACTACTATCAATCAAAACAAAAACAAGGTCAGTGAGAGGGGAGACACCTGCCTTATTGTCAGCAAAATATGTATAGTAACATTGTTGAGAAATGAGCAGTGATAGAGATCATGTGGTTTCTCTCATACTGCACATTGCTAATGCATTTTTTTTCACCCTGTGGATTGAATGCTCTTTTTTAACTACAAAGTGAGGCTACTAACCAATCAGAAGCAGAGTAGGGCGGGTCCTGACAAGCACGGTAGTGTGATCCAAAAATAAATATGCTTCAGTAATCACAGCAGGTTAGTGTGTTTCTCCACCAGTGATTTTGAGGGCATGTCACACTAGCCACTAGGCGAGCTAATAGGCTACAATTGCTAATGCAACGAAGATCACAACTTTTCATGTTTCATTTTTGGCGCTAAAACCATCAGTTATCCTCAGCCTTAATCTTTAAAATAGAGTATTTCATAATACAGTAATGGATCCTGAATGTTACTCCTCTTTGGACTGGCAAACACACACCAAATGACAATTTTGTTTGGTGACCCTTTAAAATTAAGCAGTGTCTTCTTGGGATCCATACCCAAATTTGAATACTGCTATGAGTTGTGAGCAGTTTAACCAAAGTGTAATTTTCTCCTCTAAACCTGTCAGACACTTACTAGAATAACTGTTAAGAGGGCCAGAGAGGTAAAACTTTCCAATAGCTCACAAGAAATAAGAAATGATTAGAGAAAGGAAAGAAAGAAAGAAAAGAAAATCAAAATCTGAATGATATTTTTTATCTTTGCTGTCCCATTAATCACCTTGTGACTAATCAGATTGATCATGCGACTCCTTGGAGGGGTCTATACTGGTCTATACAGAGTTAGACCTAGCTTGTTTGCAGACACTAGCATAGCTAGCATTCATATATGCAAAAATACTGATTATATCGTCAACATAATTAATGTTTCCTTCAGTCCCATTGCCCAAGTGGGTTTAATAACTGCTTTCCATTTGATCATCTCTAAACAATATCAAACATTAATTTAGCTGTTTGTTTATTTACTTTTTATTGTCCAACTGGGTCTACTTTGTTGTGTCATCTCCTTTTATATCTTCCCTGTGTTGTGTCCCATCCTGAGTATGATGCTGAATAAATGTATTTTATCCACAGAGTGAATGAACCATATATTTGCCTCTTAAATTTCTGTTCTCCTGTACATCATCTGCTTTGTCTCTATTTTATGTTGTATCTATTTCTCTGCATATTTGTGAATCTGCCCACTGCTTGCCTAACTGTCAGTTAGCTGGTCTATGTGACTCTCTCTCTCTCTCTGTGGCCAGATGGATGTGGGAGTGTGCAGACTGGTGAGCTAGTTACAGTGACAAACCTTCCTAATACAGACAACATGGGAGGCTCTTGATACAGGCTCCATCAGCTAACACAGCAGCAGAGAGCACAGCCACTCTCAGGAACACAGAGCAGGACATCAACAGAACAGCTCTTGGCATTGCCATAAAGATCAATGGCTTGTTTGAATGTGTCTCCCTCCTTCAGGGGTGCTTTTGTGTCAATGGGACAGATGGATACATAGACACACACAGACAGGGACGGGCACACACACATACATAAAAGAGACCATCCGTAAGCGTGGCAGGCAGGCAGGCAGGCAGTCCAGACAGACATCTGACACTGGAGCCCACCACCCCACCCCCACCACACCCTCACCATCACCAACCACAATCCCTCATTGACCCTCCTCATTCGGCTTCTTTTGTTTCACTCAAGTGTTCACCCCTGGAAGCTAGCTTACTCCACATAGCACTGCAGTGAGGCGAACACAGGGCATGCTCTGCAGACTTTAACTTATTGGCATTAATAGTTGTCATAGTAGTAATTTTATTAGACCATTGTCCTTTTTACTGCAAAATGCTACAAACAGAATTGACGATTTCGTAAACATGGATGATGCACAACACTGAGTTGGCTGTTCATTTATGAAACATTTAAATAGCCAGTTACTTGGGAATAACCCTTTATCAGGATAAAAAAACTTTAGGCTTGTAACATTGTTTTTCATTCTTCTGCTATGCAGTGTTAAAATCACATACAGATGCTATCTGACCCTATATAGATGCACATGCTGTACATAATGATAATGATTGATTTATTTTGATATTTAGTGGCATCTTGTAATCCCATATGGGCCAAGTGTTTGGCACGACACATAAATAAAAACTAAATAGTGATAGTAGTTGCAGTTATAGCAGTAGTGGTTGTAGTAGTGGTAGCAGAAATAACATCAGCTATCATCATAAAACTTTATTCTTCTCAAGAGGCTCCTTTACAGACAACAGATTTGATCTCAGTGACAAAATAAATGAGTTATTATGCCTGAATTCAATAAAGCATGTCAGTGATTTGTTGTCAGCTTAATGATAAACAAATGGGTTTCAACATAAGTTTTTATCATTCAAGATCATGTTTTATAGTTTTAATTGGTTACATCAGATTTACAATCCATCATTCATGGCCAACTGACTAAACTTTTAAACTGAGAGTATGTCTTGCTTCAGCTAAAGCAGGTCTTATTCTACTGAGTAATATGTAATTCTACATTTAACATATTAAGGACACTGACTATTGTGTACTACTGTATGTATGCATTGCATATGATCTGATCTAATTTAAGAAAATGAATGTCTGCATAGATATTTGAATACATTATACATCTAAAGCTTCTAAACCTTTAAGTCTAGTCTGATTGTGGTGTATTAGTAGCTACTAGCCTATTAGTTGCCCTTATAGGAAGATGTAGCCTATAGGACTGGGCAGCACCTCATGTAAGAGCTCACATAATGCAGATGATTTTACAGAAAACCAATGGTAGGCCTACTAGTCGTGTCCTAATCTGGCCTGTATACAATAGCCCAATATGGCTATTTAGGTGGGGTCTGGGAGACACTATGAACCCCGGAGGAGGTACATAGCATCATTGAGTTGGCTACTTTCACTATTGTTAGGCCACGTTAATATTGCGTAAAGTCATCACATCATTCTTAAGCACCCTCCACGTCAGCGTAAGATCGCCATCGCCTTGCCGGAGGCGGCGAGGGCTCTTACCTGAGCTGTCCATGGTGCTGCAGTCCTCCTCTCTCAGCGGGCCTGTCTTCGGTCCAAGGGTGGCCGCTATGGAACCTGCGAGTGTAGTGCTTCCGCTGCTGCTCCCTCTGCCGATACCGAAGCTATCTCCGCCGCTATCGACCAACTGCAAAGATTCATAGCCATCATAACTGGTCTTTTTCTTATAGGCCCCCAGCAAGCTCATTACCGATGGACAAATATAAATTAAAGACAAAAGAAGCCCCAAAGACGTAGTAGGCTACGCCGCGCTGTCGCCGCCACAGCCGCCGCTGCCTGTGCTGTTACTGCTGCTTCTGCTTCTGAGTGCACCACATGTCCGAGGAGGAGAGGACGACCGGTCTCCTCTGTATTCAGTAGAAAGAAATATTCTGCCGGATGCGCTCTCTCTCTCTCTCTCTCTCTCTCTCTCTCTCTCTCTCTGTGTTTCTGTCTATCGACTTCTTTTCTCAGCAGCCCAGCATTTTACTACGACGCTCTGCTGTTGCTGCTGCTTCTCTAGCTGTAGTCCCCGACTGAGTGAAAGGGAAATCCACCCCAACACACAATCTTCAACTGTTATTACTGCATCTATTATTCACACTCACTATGTGAATACGACTATATGCATATATTTTGTAAAGCTGACCAATACAGGAAATTTCATGTAAAAAAAATACTATAATAATACAGTCCTATTAGGATATTATAAAGTTAAAAATGTTCCCGGAAAAAATGTTATTGAGCAGCACTGACATTCCCCATCAGGAAATCTATGTATGTAGCCTAAAATGATCCCAATTTTGTGAACAATGTCACAGTTCCTATACTGGGTGGATTTCCCTTTAAAGGCACAACGTGTCTGTGGGCTATGTAGGTGTGGTAGATGACAAGTGTTCCTCTGTCCATCTTATATGCTGAATCTTGCTTGCATTAATTACACCATTTGAAGAATTGAGTAAGCTATGACAATTCTTTTCATAATCGTTTTTGACCTGAGCGTTATTTTCTGGATTAATCAATTAATTCTTGTGCCTATAAACTGTCAGAAAATTAGGAAGAATGCTCATCACAAAGTCACATAGATCAGGTCTTTAAGTTGCTAATTTTGTCTCAATCGAAAAATATATTCACTTTACAAGAAGACAGAATCTGGTGCCAGCAAATGTTTTAGTTGCAGCTTGATCTTCCATTAACAAATCATTTCATTTTTAAAGTAGACCAAAATAACTGCTCCACAAACATATGCAAGACAGACACATCATAAATGTTGTTGGATGTCTGCTGCACAAAACTTGTAGCACTTAAATTGTGCTAAAAAAGTAAAATTTGCAGTGTCATCTATTAAAATAGAGATTATATATCCTCTGGGAGAAAGTATAGAGAAATAAAAGCATCTCTTGCTATTACCTGTTTTCTTGAGAATAAATGAGGTACAAATTAAGAGTCTGGGCCCATAATAGAGTCCTGTGCTGAAAATTAACGTGGACCCTTTGACCGTGCCATAATAAAATATTAAAATACGAGAAGCCTTGTAGTCAACAATGCAGGACAACAGCACCATGCTTTGTCAGAAAAAGGAAACTCACTCTGCATAACAGGGAGTTTTCTCAGCCCCTGCTGGACTAGTAGTGGTCTTGAATGTTAATAGGCTCTTTGTAATGTAATTTAAATCTAATAGATTTTTAATTTTAGCTCCAAATTTGTAATTTTAGCTCCAGTTTTTGTGTAATGACCCTGGATCCATGCAGGACAAAATGCTGACCACTGATGGCATGGCATGCTTCCTTCCTTGGCCTTGTCCCCTGGCAACGGAAACCCTGCATGGTTCTGAAAAGAGGACATGAGCCTGGGAAACTCTTTTAGGAGAGGAGACGGGAGCTCAAAGCACAGCGGGAACGGAATGTCCGAAAGGGAGGAACGATATCCCCGCCATAACCGGACGCAAAGTGCTGCCGCTACATTGTTGCAACGGAGCTTCCTGTCATGTTCCTAACCATGCCTACCAATATTTACCCTTTGATTCCCTTATGAGCGCAACTGTTTAAGATACAGCGTGGAGCTTTTTTAAAGACATCACAATCTCTGCCACAGTCAGAGGTTTACACATGAAGACATGCACAAACCCAATCATAAACATTAATAGGCCTTGACACAATTAGTGTATTAACTGTTTAGTCCATCAACAGAAAATGTATGATTAATTATTATGCTAATTGATTAATCATTCCAGTAATTTTTCAAGCAAAACTGCCAAACATTCATGAGTTCCAGCAAGATTTCCTGCCTTTCTTTGTCATATATGACAGTAAATTGAATATCTTTTGGTTTTAGACAACACAAGTCACAATGTCTCCTTAGGCTCTGGGAAATTATTGAAGCCATTTTTTCTGTTGGATATTTTATACAGAAAAAGATTTATCATTTAATTGAGAATAAAATTAGCAGATAAATCAATAATGTCAATAACCATTAGTTGGAGCCCTGAAAAATGAAATCTTCCAACTTGAACACCATTGAAGTTTTTGCAAAAATAGTACTTCATAGAATATTATTTTGGACTATATCAGACCTCTGATATTAACAACATTTCTAAGCATTGCACTATGGATCCTAGTTTAACCCTAATGGGCATTGAACAACCATAAATTTGGGCAACTGGCTCACAACAAAAAATAAATACTAGTCCTAACTAATGACCTGTAGTGATATCAGGGATGCTGTAAGACAGGTTTTCTAAGTTGCTCTTTTGTACAAAACAAAGGCTACAATAACTTTTGAAGCATTCATTTATATTCCTCTTCAAAGAATTCCTGAAAATTCTTTAAATGCAATGCTCAGTGCCATTTTTACTGCTTTATGACGTTGCTGTTACATAATAGTATGACCTTGTATCTTTAAAAAGGCAGTGTCACTATTTCATTGGGTTTTTTTTTTTTACCACCATTCTAAATGGTAAATTGAGGATTAATGATTATCCCCATAGCAGTTAAAGCAGAATCCAAGAATCTGCTGGATCAGCTGTAGGAATCACTTGACAGGACAGGATGGTGGACTTGGTGGTGATGGTACATTTACTTGATGGTAAACATGGCTGCTGTGTGTCTTTATAGAAAAACTATGGCATCCATGCTGCCCTGGTTTGCCACCACCACTGAGCTGGCAGGCGGCCTACTTTAGGAACGGAAAACTGGAGGATCACAGTTTTCATAAACAGTATCTATCCTGTTTAAATTGTGCTGAGCAGAGCACAGATTCTCTACCTGTTCACTTACGCTAAGACCCTGCCTTCAATCATAACAAAGCCTTAAACCCTTTGTACACCTGCTCTTTTAAATGCACCATAAATGGAGGCATTACAAATACAATAATCTATTCATTTAGAAGTCAGATTCTATGCTTTAAGACATGAAAAAGACATTTTCCAGATTCCAATTATGTGTGTTTATAATACAATTATCTCTTGTTACATGCTAAAAAGTTTTGTCAAAAATATATTTGACACATATTTCATCAAGTAAAACACAAAATATTTTAGATGACTCATCTTGAACTCAGGGCAGTTACATGAATGGATCCAATCAAATGGGATTTGGGGTGTCTAGTTAATCCCACCCATAATAGAAAACCAGTAGGCTAGTGGAAGGTAACTGAGTAGCATACACTTTTGAGGTACTTGTATTTTACTTGAGTAGTTACACTTTCTGCTACTTTACACTTCTACTCTACTACAATACAGTGGCAAATATTGTGCATTTTACTACATTACATTTATTTGACAACTTCAGCTACTAGTTGCTTTGGAGATTCAGATACAAAATGGAAACACCAAAATAAATCAGGTGGTTGTTGGGATATTTAGCTGGCAAATGTAATTTATTAATTTAACCCTCCTCCAGATAACCCAGGTGAGGGAGGTGTGGGCATAGGGGAACAGCGCTGTAGCTAGATGCTCCATGTCGCGCCCAGTCACGCCCACTGTTGAGCGATCCAATAGGATCTGTAGATTCTGATCTACTCGTAACTAAACCCCAATCGCATATTGTGTGTGCTAGACACTCTAACACCTGTCTCACTCTGGCTTCAAAATCATGTGTCCCATCTGTCCGTGTTTGTAATGCACCGAAGCCTGAAGGCAGCAAACGGTGACTCTCAGTGTGTGATGATCCGAAGATGAAATCACACCAAGCCGTGTTTCAGCTGCTCGCGTGACGAGCTTGACGCTGATGGTGACGTGACGGTGGCGATTAGACAAGGAAGGAGCTGTCCTCTCAATGTAGCCTACAGAGCTATCCCTAGATGATAAAGATGGTGATTCTGATTATAGTGATGATCAAGATACAAGATACATCGATCGCGTCCATATGCCATAATAACCTACGGAGGCTATGCAATTTAAAAAGAAAGACCTGTCCTCTTAAAATGTTAAATCGATTTGCGGACAGAGTGCTGTGCCTTTAACTGGTGTCCTGAAATGCCGTTACCGAAATCATCAGCTGACAGAAAAATCCAGCTGAAGAGGCAGCCTTCACACTGTTAATTCAATTTATTCTGGGAATGTTAGCTATTTATCATGAGTAGGCCTATAGAGCATATAGAGGAAAAATAGCATTACACAGGCTATGTGAGATAAAATGGACACCTCCTGAACCAAAATAAACCAAATGATGTCATTCATGATGCTCCTGTGCACATCAATCCCCATAGAGGCCCTGAGAGACAATCTGTGATTTTAGATGAATTTGTCTCCTAAGTGAGACCAAATGGAGTGTACTTGTTCCACGGGGAAACATATTTCCCCGTGTAAAAAATGCGTGATGCTGATAACCTCTGTGTCCACCGAGCAGAGATGCACTCTGGAGGGGAGGGGGGGATTTCCGGAGGTAGCAAGGTATTATGTAACATCCACACACAGATCATGATGATCTCGCTCTCCTTCTCTGCATGATTGGAGATGTTATAAAAAAAGAGGCCAACCCATTAAAACGTGTCTCATGAGTCACATCAAATGAATAAAAATGGAGAATTCTGCAGGTGACTTTACCTTTCAGACCGCTTTCTACCATTCTCCAGGGAGCGCCGTCCTGTGCGGTGGTGGAGATGCGATCTGTACCCCGGCTCCGCTCACAGACACCAACCTTTGATTTGTCATTCGCTGTCAGTGAAAGGTCAAAAGCGTTAAACGTCCTGTGAGACACACTGTCCCTCAAGGGTTCCCCGGTAGCTCCCAATTAACCTATCAATAATTCTAGCCTATACAGGCAGCGCCAGGATACGGCATCATCATATAATCTCATATTGGCATATGAGCAACAAACAAGGTCCTGCGATGGCGTTGGGTAGATCTGTAGATACTGTGGATGAGCCTTATCGAAATAGCACAAGCGGGAGGGGATGTTGGTGAATCTGTACAGTAGAAACTGCGCCGCTCAGCGTATAATGCCGGAGCTGTCAGCGAGCCTGAGCCAGCCTGGTAAAACCAGGGATGGACTTGTGCATTTGCTGTAGGAACAAGGATCGTGAGGCGATTAAAAAAAAAACGTTAAATACAGCACCAACTGTGCAGCATTTCAGGTTTTGGACACCAAGATCTGCAAAACCGCATCACGGTTCATGCGTGCACAAACAGCGCGGTGCCTTCTGTTCAAGGTAAACGCAGCATACGAGACTAATCCGTACAGTAGCAGGAGTGTCACCCAAACTCTAACGCACATGGGGTTTATTTACAGAGAGGATTAGAGAGGAGGAGTCATAGGCTACAGTACTCCTATATGTGCATGCGTTTTAAATATCCACGATAGCATTAGTGTTGAGTGAAGTTAGCACGCCCTCCTGCTGCTTCCTGTTTTTCTCACATGATATGAAAGATCAAGGAGCAAAGGGAGGAGCAAAGCCATTTTATGTTTATGTTTTGTTTGGTAGTGATTATCCAGAGATTCTTCAGAGTTGTAAAAGTAACATTTGTGTAGTTTCAACCAGGCAGACCACCTCTAAATATCTAACCTTGACATATCAAAATAATGTTTTTTTTTAATTATTATTGAAAACGCAAAGAGCTTTTGTGTATAAAACATGCCTGAGTTTCATGTTTTTGACTTTGTGGCTACACTGTCCTCTTGCTTACAGTATGTTCAGAGCAAGAAACACATGTTAAAAGCATCTACAAATAAATCTGTCTACACCCAACCAAATTAGTATGAACCAGCTGATCGTCTCCCACTTAATATTAGCTGATAATCAGACCCAGTAAATGAACAGTACAGATGTGTACTTACAGTAGGCACATTTGCAGAACAAGTATTGAATTAATCATAAACAAAGACCACAGGAAATTGTTTGATTGTTCTTTGAATGTAACATGTTTGGACAGCATAGCTTACAAATAGGGAAGAAAAGAATCCACTGTGGTGTTACTCAACAGCAGTAGGGTGTGGTCATATATAACTTAACACACTAAGCCCATTCATTCAGCAACACACACTGAGCATCCAGGCATTAGTTGCTCCACAACAGGAAATCAAAGTGTAAATCAAATGCTCACAACTCCTACAGACTCCTCCTTTTTAGTCACACCCCCACATTATCAAACTAAAAACTACAGTTTTCATACTTTAGCTGAGGCCACTAAGACACTGACAAGTTGCTGACATTTTGAAAACATTATAGCCTACATCTTGTCCTTTTCACTCAACATAGTGAGTAAAGGAGCCAGTGTTTCCTTTTGTATCTTTGGACTTCAATCAGTACAACACCTACTATCCTTAAACCATAGATAAGTAAAACAAGAACTCCATTGGAAAAAAAAATAAAAATACTCAAGGCAAATTTTTTGCATGTGTGGCCATCCCTGAATTTGCGCACATTGCTATTTTGAGGCTTCATAATGAATTCAGGTTACAACATTTTCCTATACAGTTTCAAGTCTGCCAAGCCAGCATTAACAGTGCTGGAAAATACAATTAAAACCTATTCCTTGGTCTTTTTTGTACAGGTAAGTCACTATATGTTGAAGTTATTGTAAAGGGCTAACTCATATGTTGTTCTATTGGGTGAAAATATGACATCTTTAATTTTTTATTTAAAAAAAAAACCAATTTAAAAATGTTAACATTTTACAAGTTGTTCACTCAGTAACACAGATTTATATATTCCAACATTCTGAAAAACAAGACCTTTACATATCATGTAAATCATAAAAGTGACCTGTTACTGATTAAAGCTATATCCAGCAGTATTTAAAAGTTGAACAAACACTGCAAAACATTTCATTTGAAAAACGCTAATGTGTGACATTTTGATGTTTCGAATCTCAAGGCAACATTGTATATTTAATTAAAAGGAATGTAACAACATCAGAGGCACTCTATATTTGGTCTTCATCCCAGCCACAGAGTGTGCTGTAGAGTGATTCTCCCCAGTAGATTATCCTGCATGTTAACAGTTGCAGATTGCATAATATTCTGCAGCATTCCAGTACAAAAGTCAAGAGCAGTTTATGCAGTGCACATTGTTTGCATATTTGATGGATGTATCCTCGAAACACTGAGCTGAAGAAGCCAACAAATTAAAAAAAAAAAAAAAAAAAAAAGGATTCTGCAGGGTAGTTACATATCGTAATTGTTAAAGACTGCATTTATATAGTGCTTTTCTATTCTACCAACCAAAGTGCTTCACAGCACATGCCAACATTCACCCAATCACACACACACAAACACACATTCATACACTGATGGCAGAGGCTGCCATGCAAGGTGCCATCCTGCTCAGAAGCAGTTAGGGGTTCAGCGTCTTGCTTAAGGACACTTCAACACTCTCTGGAGTAACCAGGGATCGAACGGATTACTAGACAACTGCTCTACCTCCTGAGCCATGCTGCCCCTTATATGTAACAGCTGACTTTCAGGCATTTTATACAGCATATTACACAGCATGTTTTTCAACTTTTCCAAAAATAGAGACCTTTAGATACAACGCAATGCATAGTGTCTGTATTGCCCTCAGTGAATCTGTCAATTAAGCCTGTAGTGAGACCAAATGTAATAAAAATGTAATGTGTATCTTGCTCAATGGAAATGGCAGTATTACAATATCATGAAGTACTTAAAGGGAAACTGAATGGTTTCAGTCTTATCCTTTACAAAATAATACAATTTAAAGTGCAATTAATTAAATCTATATTATTTTAGAAATATTTCCTATGTCTGCTTTCATTAAAGTTTTCATAACAATAATCTTGTAATTTAGTATCACATGTTTAATGTTGGAGTAAGATACTTACTGTAATATATTTTAGTGATATTCATGGTTATCTCTGTTGTTGGTTTGGTTTGAGAGCTGCAATAACGGGAATCCTTCCTTCTCTATTTACTTTTACTTCTGCTTAAAACCTTCTAACAGGTTCTACCACAGCTTCCCTGAATGAGCTATGACTTAAATTTAATGTATGGGAACTGGAACAATTGCAGATTTAAAAAAACAATTACTTGATTGAGTGCTTGTGTAAAATTATGATTTACAAAAAGGATAAGTTTTGATATTGCCTTAAAGGAACTGAACATTTCAACACAATCAATAAAGCTCTTGAAATAGTTGCTTACAACTTATTCATTTGAAAAATTGACAACAGTTTTGATCAGTGTCCTTCTCTCTAAACTTCACTATTAATGAGGAAACTGAAAGCTGAGGCTAGCAAGTAACATCACCACACTTCCTCTGGCTGCTTCCTGATGTTTCCCTGTGGTCTTTTCATTCAGAGTAGTGTCAGGGTGTTTCTGTTTGGACGGCATCGGTTATCTGTGTGTGCATCTTGGTGCTGAGGAGAGAGTTGATATATGGCCAGATCCGGTCTGTCTCTGTACCCGAAAATGAGTGCAGGATTCCCTGTGACCTGAGTGAAGAAATAAATGAACAAATAAGAAGGAAAGCTGGGTAAAAATAAAATAAATTATTGACTGAATGACAGAATGTTGCCAATTAGTTGCTTAATGTTAAGGAGTACACCACCAATTTAGCATTGCACTCCTATAACAGTATCTATTTTATTACTCACTTCTTCTTGTCAAAAACTGGCATCTACATTACCCACAATGCAACGCAACCACCAACAGTTCAGTTCAGTGCTACGTTAGAAGCAGCTAATGTAGCCTTGAGCTGCTAGCCTCAAGCAGAGATTAGGAGAGGGCTACACAGGCCTGGAAAACTCACTTCTTAGTTATAAAATGAGAAAATACTGATCACAGAAAAACATCCAAGCATTTTTAATGCAAGAAAAAACAAAATTCACAATACTTTTTTCCATGTTTTGTTATTGTTTGACATCTGAGTTTGATTTTCTGTCTGCAACAGTGTATGTGAATGCACTTCTTGTCAGCGTCCAACTCTTAATTCTGTGTAATGATGATGTTACTGTGATAGTATGACAATGATAATGTTAGAAAAACTAAAAACACCTTAATGTTTGTTTTGATGGATTATATTTCTTAATCAATCTGATTTTCATATGTTAATGGAAAGAACTGACACTACTGGCTGTCTGGAGAAAGAACATCACTGTTAAGAAGTGTAGCTTGTCCCTTGAAAGAGAAGTATTTACTGACTTGTATAAGTCTATGACAGGCTTGGCCACATCTTTGTAGTGTCTCAGTCTGTACATCAAGGCTTCTGGTTTGTCATCATCATGCTGAACCAGTGGCTCCCCAGTGATGTCATCCTTACCCTGAGGAAGGCAACACAAGGTCACACATGCAACAAAGGTCAACTCAAGACAATGCACTGGAATCTCATAGCACAGGGGATTACAACATAATGCAGTAAATCACACTGCATTGAGTCAGTTCTGTCTTAATATCAGGATCATTTCGTTCATACTGTAAATTATAAAAGATATCCATAACATAAACACTGGTCATAACATTTGGTAAAGATTTGCAGTCGCTACTTGAACTTGATCTTTCCGGTCATTGTTATTGCAAAAAACATAAGCATAACCCTAATGATTCCCATATCACCTAAAATTACCTCCATTTTGTCCCTTTTTTCTTTGTGCATTTGTTTTAATAAAATAAAATGCTGCAAAACAATATTATTATGTGACTAATTTCCTGTAGTTAGGCCATGCAAACTGATGCCAATGGTACATGACCTCATAGTCAAGTAGCAAATAAGTGGCAATTAGAGACAGACATTAAATCCCTACAAGCTTCAAAACACACTGACGCAAATCATATGGGGAAGTATCTGAAGGCCAAAATTGTTCTCCAGAAAAATCAATAAAGTGCTGCAAAAATGCCATGAGATTTGTTTTAAGCACTGTAACTATAATGTCACTTTTGGGACCTGCACTCGAGGCGGGTTGAAGCCCATGTTGTAGACTCTGCCACTGGCTGGATGGATCCAGCGGTCGCTCAGCCTCTCCTTCAGAGTCTCGTAGGGGATGTTTAGGCTGATGACCAGGTCCAGCTGATACAAATTGTTCAAAGCTTGGGCCTGCGCCAGAGTCCGGGGAAAACCTAGACAGAAATTAGAAGGAGGGATGTGTGAGGCATCGTCAACCAGGAATCATTTATTTTAAGTTTAAATTTTTTATTTTAATTTTCAAATTGATGAACTTTATTTCCATCAATAGTTCTTGAGACATTTCACACAAACAACAAATGTCAACTTCCTGGTGGCACAAGAGATTAGTTTTGGTTTTGAGAAACACCCAAAGTCACATATTTAGATTTACTAGATAAGTGAAGATTTTGACCTCATGGTGGCACTACAGGAAAAGTGAGGTGATCACTAAAGTCAGTATCATTCATTCTGTAGGAACCATGAAGGTCTGTACTAAATTATGTGGCAATTCATCAAGTAGTTGCTGAAATATTTCATTATTGACTGACAGACCAACATTTCCATCCCTAGAGCAAGGGTATAAAGCAGTAGTAGATTCGACCTTCCCTCAGGTCATAGAGATTTAGAGTTCCACGATTCAAGTGCAATAGGAGCAAAAACTCCTTTGTTCCCTGTGCAATAACACTGCTAAATCGTCTCAGGTAATTTCATATTTAGAGATTGTTTTATGTTTTTATGGTAGGCTTACTTATAGTGTACTGTATGTACTGGTAACATTTTATATTATTTTCGTGTGTGTATCTTTTGTGTATTTGTGTTGTTTATTCTGATCCTTGTGTGCATGTTTTATCTTGTGCCCTGACTGCAAGTCAAGTTTCCCACTTGGAATAATAATAAATGAACTGAACAGAAGCATTGTAGTACTTCTATTCCACTTTTGTCACGAGACTTGTACATTCAGTTTGTGATTGATTTACATTTCTGTGGTCTCTACAGAGTCAGAGGTCATGTGACCTACAGGACAGCACCGCACCAGTGGGATTGTAGGTATTCATTGCCTTGCTCAAGAACATTTCATCATGATGGGTGTTCACATGGCAAGTTTACTATAAATGTAGTTCCTCTGGTTTTAAGACCACTGTCTCCCTCAAACCACAAAACATTTTTCTCTTTTTGTTTTAGCATGCTTTGGTATACAAACATTTGGGCTTGTCTTCAGTTTATTGCTTACTTATGTGTTACAGCAGAAACTGGCAGTCGCTCTGTATGTGCCTTTGTTTGTTCAATAAAGAGCTGTCAAATCTCTAACCTCCAGAGTATCATGCTGCCCACAAATGAGGGACAGGAAGGCTCCAATCACAAGTTACAAGTGGGAAAGAGACAGGGTTCAAGAAATGTCTATGCAGTACAGTATGTTTGGCTATATATAGTTGATATATACTGTATGTATACATTTAGATGTGTCTGTATTAGTTGTTGATGGTGGTGAAAATGAACATTTACATTTGAAAACTCAAAAATGTGAAGAATACCAAGCAAATCAATATGCTGTGAACACTAATAACTCGACCTATTAGAGTCATGACATACAAACGATGAACTGAAATAAATGAAGGTGTATGTGTGTGCGTGTGTGTAACCTCGATTCGGTTGCCATTTTTCTCTTGCAAAACCACAATTATTTGCTTAGGGATAATGTTCCAAGGTTTAAATTTATACAACAGCAACAAGTTTGTTTCATCAATGTTTGGCATCTCTCTTGAAGGTGGTGGATAATTAACTTGACAAAAGGACTCATCTCATGTCACTGATGGCTCAAACTAAATATGTTACCAGATAACATCTTCCTCTGGAAAAAAAATAACCTACATGCAGTTTTGTTTTTTATAACTTGCTATTCTAAACACACATTTCAGGCCATTTCCAACTAGTTCTTGTACTTTTGTATACATGGAAAATATGAATTATTATGTATCACATATACAAAATTGCAATATATTAACATACAACATTACTACAGTTGTTGTCACTTCATCTCGGCCATAAGGAAAGACATATAAACCCCACGGTTTTAATTGACTTATAAATGATGTAACACAGGTCACTGAGTGAAAGCTTGGCACTGAATGTGAATAAATTATACAATTGTGAATCTAGAGATCAGGAAAGCACAAGGAACTTGGTGGAACCTCCTGATATTAACAGCAAAAATATTTTTAAAGGATTTTTTATTTGAATCATGATTTGAATCTGATGAAAATCCTCTATGACTCCTGTAAGTTGAATAACAGTCGAGAGCATGTACAGACCTGCTGGTACTAGATTTAGTATCTCAGGGTACTAATTACCCACAGATTTAGGATACTGTAGAACATATTTTTCCACTTACTTACTCGCCAGACTCAAGTAGAGGAGGCACTGCATATGGCACTTTGGGGCCATGTTCCTGAACATACAAAGGGGTAAAAAAATGCTTGGCTGATGGCCCTGCCTCTAACATGGCTATCATTCTGGGGATTTTGGGGGTGGCACCTGGGGTGGCCAACCAGATTTAAGGGGTGGCTGGCAATTCCCACCACTGCTGATGATGCTGCATTATGGAGAGCATATTCCTTCACTACAAATTATCAAAACAAAGGATGGAGGCTGCTGGAAGATAAAGTATGCAAAGCTGGTGTACCATAGTACATCAGTAGAATAAAGTAAAGACCATGCACTGTTTGTATAAAAAACAAAAAAACTATTCTTACCGTCCAGCAGCCAGCTGTTATTGCTGAGCTGTTCTAGTCTGGGCAGCATCAGTCTGGTCATCACATGATCAGGCACCAGCATGCTTCTTTCTACGTATGTCTTCACCAGCACACCTGCCTCTGATACACAACAGACAAAGGTAAAGACAGTCAATGCATGTCTGTTTCTGCACATTTCTGCAAGTTCTGAAATTCAAAAGTAAAACAGGTCAGAGCCTGTTTAACTTATCCAGGTCTTCATACAAAAAACACTCTTGGTAGCGCTGAAGAGCATCTTGTTAATGTAACTATCCAACCAGAGAAGGTAAATGGTTAAAACTTTCACTGCAAACTCCTACCTGGAACCTCTCCTACCTTTATTCATTTAAAATTGCTCTGGAATCTGGAGCATGTTGTGGAGAATTTAATCAACAGTCATGCAAAGCCACTATTAAACAACACACTAACTGAACTTACCGGTTAGTAAAACCCAAAACCTGTTTTAAAAGCAAAAAAGGCTTAATTAGCATAATGTAGCAGGTCACAAATGTACTGAAACAATTCAGTTATGGCAACCAAGCACACATGTTTTTACTTAAGCTCTCTGAACTGAACTCCAATTTTATTATCAGTATATGCGAGCTTGTCACATGCTGTGAATTTAATTAATTCCAGTTGGGAAGTTAAAATAAGGAAATTTTAAAGAGACACAATCAATGTTTAAGGTGTGTAGGTTGGGAAAATAATTGTAACACTGAGTCATTGTGGGGTTGGGCATTTGGACAAGTTAAGTCTCTAGACTGAAATCAAGATACAGAGAAACCACCAGAAAATGCAGGCATCTCACTTCCTTCTGCAAAGTAACCATTGTTTTTCAGCTGTGATTTCATTTTTGTGTCAATTATGATATTAGGGGAAGAAAATTAAACAATTGTCAAATTCATACAGCTTAGAAAATGACGCGTTTGATCAACTGCTTTTCTGCAGACTGGTTCTTTGTGTTGGCACCACTACTGACGTTTGGGCTACAGTACTTTGGCAGATATATCCTACCTGTATTTGCCGTTATGCTTTCTCGTAGATAGTGGCCACTGGACAGATATTGCAGGCCAAAGCTTTGCGCAATCCTCTTGGATATCGTTCCTTTCCCTGATCCTGGTGGACCCATGATAGCAGCTCGGAATAACTTGGCCATGTCTTCCTCAAACACAGGCTGCAACTGTAAAACCTCTGTGAGGCACAAATAGTCTAATGTTGTTCCTGTTTGTGCGCAAGATGACGAAGTAAATTGCCTCTTAATTAAACTCCTAATCAGCTGAGCATGAGCGATCAAAAAGGTCCAAACACTGGATGGCTTATAAACTTCTCTTGCCAGTTTAAATGTCTGCTTTGCTCTGGAGTCTCCGGTTCTTTACGCAGAGCCCACTCTCTGCGCACATTGGGGCTATCCAGCTCTATTACTCGCATCAAGTAGTCAAAACGCCTTTTTCATTTTTTTTCCTTCAGCTCTCTATGAATACATTACGCTCATCTACGCCTTTAAGGACAGAACCTTTTCTCTGCGAATGAATGAGGGAGTCGCCACAACGCCCTATTTTTATGCGCACATCATCCAGAAAAAATGCGGATGACTGACTCGCACGAACTTTGCGGGGTAACCTGGTTAGTGTAGTTTTTATATACAAGTGCAGTTCCGCAACAACAACTGTAAAGCAAAGTCCCTGGTTTATCTATCTATTCAGTTAAATTAAGTTCAAACGGGCTGAATTGGCATGGAAAGCAGACGTTTACATTGCCAAAGCAAATGTGTGTCTATAGCATACACATTTGCTTTGTATATATACGCTCATTTGCTATAAATATATATACAGATAGGTAAAAGAGAACGTACAATCAAATAATAAAATAGAAAAGAATGTAGACCTTTAGTTAAAATTAATTAAAATAAATACAAATACAAATAAGTGAGAACTAGCCTATTAAAACACTGCAACATTTTTCATGGTTAAATGAATGTATTTAAAGATATAGGCTATGTTCTGTATTTAGCCTATGTACAGTAAGTATGTCTATGTACAGAGATCAGCATTGTCATGCTGGAATACACAGATGATTGACAGTCTTCATGGTGGTTGCATTCCATTGGATGCCCTTTTCCTGTCCTTACAGTTCACAAAACTTGCTTCAGCATTGTTGTATTTCGCCCAGCAGATATGGAGTTTGTTTTGTTATTAACCATGTTGTTATCTGTGGGTAGTAAATGTCTTGGTACAGTTGGTAGGTGGTTGAATAGTGCAGCTCGGTTGGTTTCAGCCTCCTGCTCTGTGCACAGTCTTTCTTCACTGGTGAGCCAGGTGTGCCTGTGAAGACCTCTCTCCATGGCAAGCCTGTTGCTCACTGAGTCTGTACATGGTGAAGGACTTCCTTAGTTTTGGATTGGTTAGAGTGGTCAGGTAATATGCCAGCATATTCTCTGTTTAGGGCCAAATAGCATTCCAGTTTGCTCTGGTTTTTGTTTGATTCTTTCCAATATGTAAAATTTCCTTTTTGTTTTCTTATCATTTTCTCTGGCTCTGCTTCTGTTTATGAGTCCCAGAACCAGCAGGCTGAGGCAGCTTTTTTCTAGGGTCTCTCTGGCTAGGGCTTTGTTATATTGTGTGACAGGGTCACTTTCTTTTAGGTGATTATAAAATTGAAATGCTCTCTTTTTTAAATTTTATAATTAGTGAGTATCGTCCAAATTCTTCAAGCCAGATTTTAAAATTGGATGTACAACTTGAGGTTCCTTCTGATGGTGTAAAAAGCCCTTCTTGCCCTGTCTCTCAAGTCATTCTTTGTGGAAATTACCTGTGGTGCTGATGTTTAGGCCAGGGTAGGTATAGTTGTTTCTAGAGCAATGATATCTAGAAAGAATTTATATTTGTTGTTTTGTTTTTTTTTTGGAATGTCATAATTTCTGTCTTGGTTAGGTTCAGGGAATGCCTTTCTGTAAAACAGGGCAAGGCTAAATATGTCCAGTGTAGCCTTTATGGGAAGCTTTATAGCCAAAAGTTATTTTGATCTGCAACTGCAACGATTTCTGTGAGAAATCAAACCACCCTCAACACAAGTTGGGGCTTGTTGCAAGGATTTTTTTGTTGACATTAAGCCATGCCTCAAATGTATCAGGCCTACAAGTGAGAGAAAAGGCAGGGCAACCAATTTAATGTCACCTGACCCATAAAAATACCGATGTTTGTTTGGTTTGCAATAAAAAATATAGTTAGATTATAGTGTTTATCCCTCAATAGTAATCAACTTTTCAAATTATTTAAGAAAAGATGACATTTCGAGACTCAGTTCTGCCATGAATAAATTAATGACTGCATATCATTAATGTGTCCCCCCTTATTCATAAAGTGGGCTATTCTTGAATTCCACCACTTGTTGACAGCATTTCTCTCGCATCAGAGCTAGTTATTTCTTATGGGGTTGTTATTTCTTATGTTTTTGCATTGCTGGCAGCGGGTGCACAAAAGCACATGAGTCGCTGTCATTCCGCGCAACGTTTGCGGACAGGAGGAATCGAGTGAGTACTTGTTGCGAGCCATACGGCGGCGGCAGCGTCCCGGAGCTGTCAAATGTTGCGCACAGCCTTCTGTCTTCAGTCAGTGGAGTAACCAGACTAATCCACCAGACAAACAACTCAGAAGATTAACCTTTTTTAGCCTCGCGAAACAATTTTTTGTCTCCACACCCGGAAGCCTGTTTTTAAAACAATTATCAATTTGTCACATGGCTTTGGAGAATTCAATAACAACAAAAAATGGCGACAATCACGTTGCTCAGTGTGGTCTTGCTGCGTCATTAAAAATATTCATGTAAACACGGGGAATTAAACGGGGAAATTGCAGGTAAGTGAACCAAATAGTTGTTATATATTTAATGTAGACTGAATGTCGTTTAGAATAAATGATTATATTTGGATCCCAGAGCACGCTGTTTGTTTTTGGCTAGGAAAGGGGTGTGTAAGCAATGCTGGGGCGTTAACGTGTGGCTGCACAATATTCAATACGAACATTGCATTCATAGTTTCGCTTTTTAAAAAGCATATTTTGCTTAATTAAAGCAGGCATGTAGCCTATGTAATGGCAAAAAAACCCAACGGCATTGGTTTAAAATTGGTCAACTTTTGTTTATTTGTAGAAAACAGCAACAAGCGTTGGCACAGCTTTCAGTTCTCGATGTTGTCCTTATTCCCCGACATTAGTATCGGAGCCATTTAAATGTAGGCCTAGGCCTATGGCTGCCTGTTACCTTGTCTGTTAATAAAACATTCCCCAGTTATTTACACTGAGGGTTTGTGCAATATGGACGCGCTGTCTTTACAGGGTCTCTTTTTTTACAGACACCGATGACAACAAACGGAGTACCTATTCAGCCCTGACGATGTGTTTGTCCTCTGCCCTGTTTAGTTATTGCACATGTTGCTTTGCTTTCTACGTCTGACATGAACATTTTTGGCCAGTGCCCTGTACAGTGGGGCTAATGGAGTTGTTTACATGAAGTGCGTAGGGCGGACTGACTAGGAGGAGGAGCCGCTACGTCGGCGAGCGACGCCACCGGACTGCTCGAGAGGCTGCTCGCGCCGAAGGGTGGGCGGAGCCCGCGAGGAGAATCATAACAAGTCTGACGTCACTCCCTCGGCCTTGTGGTTGGTTTTAATAATATACCGAAGTTTGTCTCTACAAAGTCCTAGCAGAAAAGGGGGGGTAAAACTTTGCTAATTTTTTAAAGAGATAAAACATTAACGAGCCCTCTGTTCAAAGGGCAGAATAGAAACAAAGAAATAATTATTCTGTGTCTGAAACCTTAATAATAATGACATACTTCCATATGGAAAGAAATTGTGAAATAGTGATAAACGTGCATCATGACAAAATACATAAATAATTTAAATAAACAACATTATCCTCCCATTTCCAAGAATTGTACACTGTTGTTTATTATCACATATTTATATCCAGTAGGTCAAATTGCATGTGCAGGTTTGTGCATTATTAACTGTCCAGCCTTAAGACACTGGTAGAAGTTTCATTGTATAATGGACAACATAGTCTTTTGCATTGCAGAATCAATTTTTGTACCACTTTGGCTGTGCTAATAGCAAGGCCTAGACAAATTAATAAAATACATCAGCATTGTTTTGATTTAACTGCAAATAGGAGCTTACTCTGTATAACTTCCTAAACATACTGCTGAGCCACTTTCACCAAATCTAGACTTTTCTGACCTGCAAGGAAAGCTGGATTATCAGGATTGTATGAGCTCGTTGCAGTATATAAGGACTGATTTATTGTTGTTCCCCTAATCACACCATCAAATACAGTTTATGTTTTGTAGCTTTTTTTTTTTTAGGTTACATGACTGTATTATGCTGTAGCTGAATCTCTTTTTGGTATTATTATGTTATGGATGTCACTTAAAATTATTCATATGGAAACCAATGTTTTTGAGACAACTTGCATATGTTTTGTATGAGATACCAGCTAATGAGCTGCAGAAATACAAATGAAAAACTTTTTCTTTGCACCTGTTGACCTAGAGCATGGATATAATGGGTGGATGACGAATGGAGCGAAGCCCCGGACTGCTAGATTTGACAGGCTGCCCTGGTTCAGTTATCACAGTGCTGATGCTGTCCCCATCGAAGGTACAGTACTGTGATAACTGAAGGATGGCTGCCAACTTGACACGATTGCAGTGAATCAAAGCACGTTTGGCTAACGAGCCAGAAGACCAAAGAGAAGAAAGAAATTATTGTGTTATGCTGATTTTGAAAAGTTTAATGGGGTATCCAAAAGTTTGGATTTTTAAAACATTCATCTCAAATCCTTAACCTAAAAGTTAATGTTATCTGCACTTCTTAATGTCTTTAAGAAATAAAGGGATTTTTTTTCTATTTAAATGTGACATTCTCATGCTTTTGAAAGTTTAGTGGATCTTAAATACAAAATGTTGCAGCCATGAAACAGTTAACTATTGAGTGGCTGAAGTTTCATCTGATCTTTTTTAAGATTAAATTGAATACTTTCTTACAGCTTTCTTAATACCATTGGCAATTAAGTTACATTTAACATTAAAACTAATGTACACAATGCAAACTTGAAGAAAACTGCCCACCTTTGTTTCCAGTCTGATTAATGCTGATGAACCTTGCATTTCAACATAGTTCCTAACACCTTTATAAATATAACTTTTTCAACACTTTGTTCTTCAAATTTAGCCGTAACAAAATTTAAGGAATTAGGGTCTACACTGGGCTACAGGCTGAGGCATAAGGTAGTCCTAACTGCTTGTTCCACATTGTTGTCAACAGAGGGAGCTGAAGATCTATTATTGATGTGCTTTGGGGTCTACAGGGAACAGGGAATATATCTCTGTTTCACTGTGTAATATGTTACCTTGAAACCTTAATAATGAATATGTTGTTGTTGTTGTTGTTGTAAAAACAAATTAAGTGTTCATTTCTCAGACATGTTAAATGGAGCCCGAAGATTTGGATGAATCCAGTTTTGAAAACACAACAAACAAGTTCTTGTTCCATTTCTAGGTGAGATTTTTTCCCCCTAACTTAACAGTTGAACATGATCCAAGACGCCTACAGTGTTGACGATTCAAACCAATGACAGTCTCCATTTTGGTATAAATTGCCGTGTCATTGTTGTTAAAGTGAATCTTAGATAATGTTCAGTATGTAATATCAACATATCAGATCAAAACATGACTTGTCGTGTGATTTATGATGTCAATACTCTGAAATTAATCATATTTTTCAGAACAGTGTTTTGAATAATACATGCTCTGTTTGAGTCATGTCTGATAAACCACAGGTCACTCTGCACCTGTCCTTAGAATGTTTTATTCAAAGGGTACATACTGTAGCTACCGTGGAAATCCCCTAAGAGTCATGATACATGTTTTGTTTTTGTCTCACTCTAACCTCAATTTGCTCAACTCGCCTTGATTCACATGTTTTTCTGACTCACCGTGTGATAGCTTGATACTTTGTGGTAAAGCATATTTCTTGATAATAAAGCATGAAAAGTCAAGGGAGGTTCCCATTTTTTGACTGAGTGCAATAAATTCAAATCTACTAAATTTCATGATAGTATACTCATCTACCGTTTTCGCAAACATCCAAAACTCTATGGACGGCCGTGATCATGGGGAATTTCTGTCACACTTCCTTTAATGCAAGAGAATAAGTGATTACTGGGATGTGGCATGGGAAGTCCCTCCCTTAAAATGAACCACCCAAAATTTATGTCTCACAGAAACCTTCACATCCGTGTTCTTTCATTGAGGAAGTAAGAATTTTCCCACTTTTTTACACAGTTCCTTGTCTATTCCCTAAGCTGCTGGAACAATAGACCAAGTGATTAACAGTTGATAAGTGCTGCAGTGATGTAATTTGGTGTTGAAAGCCAACCCCTCTGTTGAAGCATGTGAGAAAAAAAGGGAAAATACACAAATACCAATGCCAATTTAGGAACACCTTACAGTAAGTAAAGTATGTATTTACCATTCATAACCAGTATGTAAACATTTGATAAATACCTTACATGCTGTAATGTAGCTGTAGAGCAGATATTATTGTATATGTGAACAACTATAACTGCTCTTGTGGGCACTCATAAGGAGAGCCTTAAAACAACAACAAACAACATTTGAGCATTTCTGGCAAATACACATTTAAAAAGGTCCTTAAAACTGCCTACAAATACATGACTGTGTTGTTCGCAACTATTTATTTTATGGTTTTTATTTATATTTTATTCACTGTCCATAAATCCTATATAAGTAAATTGTTAGCCTAAATTTTAACATTTAAAAGATGCCAATATGTACACCTTGATTCCACTACCTTCAAACTCCATTGTTTGTTTTGTTTTTGTGTTTGTTTCATCCAGAGAGTTAAGGAGAGCAAGAGTCATGATTTCCTCCTTGTTACAAATTAAGTTTTATAAGGGGAAACGGATGTATTACATAACTTGGAGCAGAATCTCACAGTATGGATATGAAGTGTTGTATGCCTAAAAACATTTAGGATGTAGGCACTGCTTTGCTAGTGGAATGTAGTCTCAGATTTTCCATTAAAAAAAGAACACATCCAAAAGGACAGTTATGCAAAAGAGATGGGGCCCCCTGCAGTAGTTATTTCAAACACAGGGTATTGCTACATGTTATCAGGTTTGGAAACACAATAGCGCAAACAAAGATCTGGAAGGAACTACCTACATTTTTGCCACCCACAGAATGGCAAATATGAACGATGAACGATGATCCCCCCGCTACAGTGTTCGGAAGGTGTGCACTGTGTAGTCCATGAAAGTGAAATACCCTTATTTGTTCCCCTGTCTTTGTGAGTTGTTTTTGTCACTTAAGAGGACTAGATTGATTTTCATTAAGACTTTCCTTAATCTTTATCATTCTCTTCCACTCAAAAATATGTTTTGTTCATTATTACTGCACTTGGATATTTGACCTCTGTTTGTGTTTTGTGACATCACAACTAGTATGGAAGCAGATCATGGTCCAGCATGGAACATACACACACTTTTATTCAAAGCACATGCTTCTTTATGTCTTCAAATGTGTCTGGAGGGGATCCTTTACTGTAAACATTACATGATTTACACCAACCCTAACCAAAATCCAAGTCTTAACCTTAACATTTTATTGAAACTGTTCTTTATTTATTCATTTATCATTCGTTCATTTACTGAGCTTCCTTGAATCAGATCAAATGGTCTGCCTCAGCAGAGTTGCCCAGTTGTAATGAGAATGTAGAAGTTCAAATTTCCATTTCTTCTGGATGATTTAAATACTTTTCAGTCCCTAACCTTGGAAACAGCAATTGACAATTGTGTTCATATGGGGGCCACCTTTTTGTCTCCAAATGAGTGACTCCCCATTGTGCGAATACATTTCTGTGCCCACAACATAAGTAAAAAGGCAGGCACACTTTCAGTGTCTAGGTCCAGAGTGCAGCAAAGGGTTAATATCGTCATCTTGAGTGACGGGCTAAATAGCCAATCAGTTGCCTCATTTTTTCAGACGGCCACTGCGTTGTTTTCGGGAAAGGGGACGTTACTTGTCAGGAAGGGCTAGCAAGAGCAGACGTTGTCTGCGTTTCAGCTGAAGCGACCAAAAGTCATTAAATTCCGTGGAATAAACCCAACATTTTTTTCCATTTGGATACAGGATATTTTTTTGGGGAAGTTTTGGAATCAAATAACCGACAAGCGATACTAAAAATCCTTCTAGAGAGGAGCTCCAACTTGGTTGAAGCGTTTGACGTTAATGTACTAAACGAAACGGAAGTAACTTGCCAGCTGTCTGGCTGAGCTTGCGAGGTGAGTAAATAACCGTTTATTAAATGTTCCCATCGGGGGAAAAAATGTTTGTCTACTGGTCACGTAAACACATGCACTTGTTTGTCATCTTTCTCCGTTGTTGTCAAGTGGGGAAATGTGCAGCTGCTGGTTGCTTTGAACATATAAGTTAACTGGCTAAACAAGCTAATGTCATCCAGCGTTAGTCTACTTGGCATGATAGCATTGAGACTTCATCCATATTCAGTGGCACAATACAGGCCGATAAATGCTGGGCTAATGTACGGTGTGAAATGTAAGGTAAGTAACCTTAAGAATTCAGTTAGGACTTTATAGACAGAGGACAAAATATTAAGCAGATGTTAGAATATGATGCAATACGATATCCCAGACTACGGCCTACTCTTGTATAAAAAAGTTTGACATCCAACATAGTAAAAATGGAGTTAAGTGGTTAGATTTAAAATATATAACTTATATTATTATTGAATTTTTCTGTTAACTGGAATTTTACACATTAACGTTAACAGTACTAGCAGAGATTGTCTCTTTTGACCGAAGGTGTCACTTTTAATTTAGCCCCCGACGATTGGTCAATTAATCCATTAGCCCACTTTCAGACAGAAAGTAAATGTTAAAGATTTTGATAAGCGATTCAATATTTCAGGCAAACATGGTCAAAATTCACTGGTTCCATCTTAAATGTGAATATTTTCTCTTTTTGTTGCTTGTAAGTTATGTGATAATAAACTGAATATCTACTACTACTTTTGGGTTTGTGATTTTTAGTCTTGACTAATTAACGTTATGATATATTAAACTCATCACCTTGGATTTTTGACATTTCATAGACCATGTAATTAATTAGTTGATAAAATAGTGATACATTAAATACCAATATTGTAATAAATCATACAAAATCGTGACAGCGAAGGGTAAGTAGCTTCACATATTTGAGGTTGAAAAAGTAGGCACTTCCTTCTGAGGACGCGCGCGCACACACACACACACACACACACACACTTTCTGGCTTTACCACTAGTCACTAAAATGTCAAACAATGAAAGAACGTGGTTTCTTGCAGCTCTCCCCTGTTGTACTCTTGACAGAAACTTGGAACTGCCAGACTTTGAACATTTAAAGCACTTTTAACCACACTTTTGTTTGATCACCATTTTATTGATATTAGAATCAACAAGTGGCAGGCTTAATTTCGGAGCTATTTCATTTTTAGTAATTACACTTTCATTAACCAAAATGTGGTTGTGTGTGTTTTAATAACTGAAGATTTTATTTTTCACCCAAACGTAGGCTGTGGCTAAAATTAAGTAAAATGAATTGACATTTGAAATAATGTAGATATGAATTAATAATTTGACATTTTTTAATGTAGGCTTCTTTGAAATGGGCTAGTGATCAAAACTAAACAGTCATAGTAGTTTGAGCTTCTCAGTTTTTAAGCTTTTGAGGTTCATTTCAGTTAAAGAAAAGAAATGGGCCCACCTTTTTGGTATTCCCCATGATAACGTGATATTTAACATCAAAGAGTACTAAATTCACTTACTTGACCTTTTCTTGTAATAATCAAGTGGCCTCTGTGACGTTTTTGCTTTACCAGCCTCTTGTCTGCCCACTGTATTTTCATTTCAGGCTCATTGGTTTTTCAGATTTCAAGTGAGCCATGGTGTAGCACATTTTGCTGAAATGAAAAAAAATTGCTCCTTTTCCATTTCCTGCCCATCTAAATTACAACATAAGTATAGTGCTCCTTAACTTGTATTTAAGTTTCTAAAATTCAGTGGCATGGATTATGAACTAACAATACCTACTCTGAATTGGCATTACCTACTAAGAAAGTAGACTGTCATTGCCATATAAATGTCCTTAAGGTAACATTTCACCAGCAAGTTTCACTGATTAGTTTCTACTTTTCGGGTTTAAAGTCTCTTAATCAGAGAAATTACTTGTTGATGGTGTCAGAACACTAGAAATCTTATTTAAGAACTAATGCTTCACTGTAAAGTTAATATTTAGATGAAATTATTGATATTGTGGTTATGGTGAAATTAAACAGCTGGCTAAAGCATCAATCATGAATTATATTTGTTGCCCATAAAAATCAAGAAATGCAGGGAGTCAATAAAGGAGAGCCCATAATGAAGATCAAGAAAGCTTGAATATCTGACCATTACAGCACTTAATCATGGTTTTGTTAGTTTCGTTTTCTTTTGGTGCAAAATAGTACAATAGAACTAATGTTATGAACCTTCGTATAAAAGTAGTTTCAGATTTTGAGTGCATGTGTCCTAACTTGACTGAGGTATACCAATTAAGTAGTGATAACAAATGAACACCCTTAATGTCAATATGCTTATATATGGGTGCTGAATCACCAAAAACAGGTACAGAAAAATCCTTGAAAGGATAGTGCACTCATTAAATGACTTATTAATAAGTCATTTAATGAACAAACAATGCTGACACATGTTGGGGGATGTCCTATCTAAGCATGCACCCTTGACACCATGCAACAAAGCACTGACATTATTTAAGTGCAGGCATGTAGCCATGTTACAGACAAAAATCACAGAAACTGATGAAAGAAATGTGCACAAAACAAAAGCGCAAGAATGAGACTAATTCTAATTTACTCAAAAAAAAAACAAAAAAACAATCATCCTGTGTTGCAACTGTCAGTGTCACACAAGAAACACATCAATGCCAGATGTTTAAAGTCCAAATAATCTTCTTGTGTCTAAAAATAAACAAACATAAAAGCCTTACCTTACTCTGCCATGAAGTGTAATTAAATCCAATAGGGTTGAGCATGTGTAATCTGGTAGAGGTTTGGCAACACAGTTTCCACTGCGGGAGCTGTCCCTTAGCATTTACTTGGAAGCCCTGAAAGAAAGAAACAAAATCTTTTATTTATGTTTTTTACCTAACTCGTTTAATTTCAGCTTGACTGTATTTTGCTATCATTTACGGTCGAGAGTGGGAACAAAGGCAGAAAAATTATAATATATTTTAAAAATAGTTTTAATACAGCTTTAAGGACTTATTTTAACCATTGGCAACTTTGATTAATCAATGGGTAGAAGTAATTTCACCTATGTTTTGATCACACCCACTCAGTTGAGGGTGTGGTTATGATTCACGAGTTAAAAATTGCCTGCAGATATTGCTTACAAGCCTCTATCAGTGCACCTGCCTTATGCTCTTGTTTAATTGACACTTTTTGATACAAGGTGATTAGAGTGTTTTGTGATGTATGCCAAAGTGTCCATCAGAACAGAAGACTTGATTTAGATATATTTATCAGTTTGTTTTAATTTCTGCATTACAGAAAACACTATGAATTAGCACATTTGTGATGTCATTGTTTTTGCTAGGACTCAACATTTCATGTGCTCGACGTTCTTGACTATTTTAAAGCTGACGGTTTTCTCGGACTGTTGGCCACTTGAATGGCCGTGTGGCCTTGTTTTATAACCCCGGTAGGGGAACAGGATAATCATTGCTTACCTTGATTATTTATCATGATGCTTTGTATAACTAAATGGCCACTGTCTGCAGCTTTTCACCAGAGTAGGCAGTGTATTGAAAAACTCACAAAACACCTAAGAAACCAATGATAAGCTGTCAACCCAGGGTTTTGTATGAGAGAAAGTTGTGATAGGGAAGAGGTGTCTCATTCTATCTCAGTTTCACTTTCTTGTTCTTTAACAGCACTTTGTCATCATGATGGTTGTTGTAGAAATAGCTGTTTGGCAAACATTAGTCAGCTATATGACTTTATATCCGTGCTCTGACGTCACAAACACTGAACACACCTGTCACCTGTCCTGTTCTGTTTCTGGTTTAACAGCACTGTTAAACCAGAAACAGAACGGCTACACCTTATTTTTTTTATGTGGTCTATGGGCTACACACAGCAAACACCATAATATTGTCACTGGCCTCCATGCTGCTTTCTACTGTTTACTCAGCCTGCTTAATGATGTGTTCTTGTCGAATGTGATACATCAGAGACAAACAGAAAACACAATCTAGTCTACTGGCAATGTCAGGAGCCAGTCTCTTATTCTTAGTAGGTTTACTTGCGTTAAAAAAAACAAACCTGCATGTGTTTTTTTTTTTTTATGTTCAAACTTGATCGGCTGGTGAAAATCTCAATTTACATTATACATTGTACATAGTATATAGCCTAATCATTTCATGTATAAAAGCACCAGCATCAGATGATGCAATAATAAGAGGTCCAGTCCACCCAAGCTACAAAACCCTGTAGTTTGGGTGGACTTAGAAACTGAAGATTTTAGTGACAACATGCACGCCTCAATACCACCACCAAAGAGCTAAAACTATAAGAATATTAATCTATTTGTTTATTGACAGAACATTAACTGCCAACTATTCTGATAATTTCTTAATCATTTGTCATTTTTAGGAAATAGCCCAATGTAAGAAATTCTCTACTTCCATCTTTTTTTTCTATTTATACTTACTTTATTTTACTTATTATAGACCAAACTATTAACTGATTAATCTTGAAAATAATAGCAAGATTAATTGATAATGAAAGTAATCATTGTAGCCCTAACACAGTATTTGATTCTTTCTTGTCACCATGACGCAAATGGAGGCAGTGTTTGTGCTTATGTGTCTTTTATGTAGACTTAATTTTACCCACACCTGAATCACCTACGTCAGGATTGTCTGTCTATCACTAGTTACATTACAAGCTGCTCCAAGGTCTTGTTTTGTTAGCCAGAAATAATAGTTACATTCATTTTACCTTTCCTTAAAACAATGGCATGCAGACAAAGCAGAATGACTTCACTCAAGAAGGCAGGGAGGAACTGTCAATCCTTTTTCCAGCTGAAGTGGACTTCACTCTAATAAAACTGGCGTCAGATCAGTTCCACCAGTCTAAACCAGTCCTGATATAAAGGAGACATTTATGCATTTAACTAATGGTACACATCTATATGAGAAGAAAGAGGAAGAGATAGGGACATTGACACACTGACTGATGAACTAACTCGATGTAGAAAGCAGATAGATGACTCATTGAAAATATCTTCTGAAGAAATTCAGCTGTAATACATGAGAAGGATGAGAAATAATGACTGTTAGATGACATGCCACTTGCCAGGCTGACTACTTTGCTTACCCATGGTGATGTCTGAGAATTGGCACACACAAGATCATATGATTTTATCTGATTTCTATGATAATAGTTTGGCAGTTGATTTGAATGTGATCGTTTAAGGTTAGTGTAAAATGGGATGTGTTTAGAAGGGGAGAATAATTCTCTGTCCTAGGTACTTTAATAAATGGAATGTATTCGTCAGCCTTTAAACTAACTAGCCTATGAAATGCTTATCAATGTTTGCTACACGTTATATTTTGTCTAGGGCTTATGGCAAAATTCATTATCACCATGATTTTCATCATACATTGAGATCACAATTATTTAAAATCAAATCCTTAATTTTTAAGTTTATAGTTAGTGTTTTATTGCCTTTTTCTTTGAAGCTGTAGAAAGTCTCGGCTAGTAAGTACGAAGTAGTGTAAATGGTAAGGAAGGTTTACCTGCTGTCTATACCAAATGCGTTTTACCTGTGTACCGGCGTAGCACTTAATAGGCAATGTTTTGGCATTTTATGTCTTATTAGACAGATCCTGTAGAAATATAACAGAAAATAAGGGGAGAGAGATGGGGAACAACAAGCAGCACATGGCCTCAGCTGGACATGAGTAGTTTAGAGTTTAGTTTGACACCCTTGGCTTGGTATCTAAATCAGTGCAGCTGTTTACACAGTCATAAAACGGCTTGTATTCAGATGTGTATGTGCATCTTTTCCAGTATGCACTTAAAAACATAATTATGTCAGCATTTCGCACTGGATTTTGTAAGCCTGTGGTTGCTGGACATTGGAGCCTCTAGTAGGGTCCAGGGGAGTGAAATGCATCAATCTGGTGCACTATGAAGCACTAGCTCTGAAGAACTTTGTGCTCTTGTAAACTATTTAACAGACATGGCAAAAAAGTCATTCCCACAAAGCTTTGTAACCGAGACGGAGGTTAAAGTAGTTCTCAAATGGTCAAAACACAAAATAGACTAGAACAAAAATTTGAGCCATCAAAGACCTGTGAACAAAGCAGTACTGTGGGTAAATGGATCCAGTGTAAACGCTGAAAAAAGATCTCACTGGTGCTTTTTCTATGCAGCCATTGTAGAAAAGCAATTAGATTCATCCATTAGAAGCTCAAACTCCTTGCAGCCCCTGCGCAGGAACGATTTGTCTTCCGTTGATGTCATCAGCTCAGTTGAGAGGCTGACATCATTTAACATGCACTGTAGTGAGACAGCACTGGATCCTGTGTGCATTTTTGGGCTCTGCACAGGTTAATGAACATTGAACTCAGAGTCTTTGCTGCTGTTTGATGAGCTCACCATATGATCAATACTTCTGCCATACTGTCACACACACACACACACACACACACACACACACACACACACACACACACACACACACACACACACACACACACACACACACACACACACACACACACACTTGATTGAATGTTAACTACTCAGTGGTCATCCCATTTCCTCAAACTTTGTTGATTTTATAAGAATTAGCCGTGTGTTTTATCCTGAACTGACTTAAATTCAAAGCTTACGTTGTTGTACACAAAAAGCTATGACCTTTTTAAAGCTAATGTTTAATGTAACATTGCCATTTCCTTCATTTCACTTTTTCACTTCACTCATCCAGTGTCTGAATGCCAACTCTGTGGGTGATGGAGTTGAGCAGGCAACTCTGTGGGAAGATGAGGAGGTCCAGTAGGAGAGCCCAGATCTCTTCTTCACCTACTGCCACATGCGGCCTGGAGATCCACTTTTATACACCGGAGATACACCAGCTAGAGTACCTGAAAGGCTGCTACACTGTGGAGGAGATCTGTGTGGAGGCTGCAAAGAAATGCTGTGAGTGACAAAATCTAATTTTGCTCCGCTTGTTGATATAGTCTTTGTTTATTCCAGTAATGAAAGATGTGTTGTCGATTTTACTGTGAATATGTATGCGGAAAATGGGTAATTTGTAGGGGTGGGGGAAAAAAATCGATACAGCATAGTATTGTGATATTTGCCATGGCAATACTGTATTGATACACGGACACCAAGTATCGATATTTTAGTATATAAATTGCAGATGGGAGTTTTAACTTTTTGGTACTAGAATAATAAAATCAATTGCTTTTTTGAGCTTTTTTTTTCCACTAGAAAACTTAACAGGACCATATAGAGGACTGAAAAAGTGATATGAACAAACAGAGAAATGTATCTTTTTAGATAAACAGATGTTGACAAAGTTTGACTTTAGGGACCTAATTGGAAGTTGGGGAAAAGGTAATAAATTGCAATATATTTCAATATATTTAAAATCGCAAAAAAAATCTAATCTCAACATAAATATCATGATAATATCTTATCGGGGGCCCTCTGGTGATTCCCACCCCTAGTAATTAGGTAATAAAATCACCATGTTTACATCTTATGTCGCCACTCTTAAATGGCATTGCATTGGGCTGATAACCAGTAATCTGCCAGGCCGTGGCTTTGGTCAAGTAGTGGCCAAAGGTGTGGCGATGGAGCAGTGGATAAGACACATGCCTTAACTCCTAGTTGCTCCAGAGGCATGCGACCTCTGACATATATAGCAGATAGATAAAAGAGTCAGCTAAATTAATTAATGTAATGTAGTGAAGGTTACAGACAACATTAAAAGTTCTCTCTTACTTTCTGTAGTTAGATTGGTTGGTTGGTGCCCTGGTAGAGTAGTCTGCCTCCTGTCACAAAAAATGGGAAGCATGCGGACATCCAGAGCTTACGCCTACCCCCTTTGATGGCGATTCTTTTGTCACGCGGACACTAGCCGTCCCTTGCATACTTGCGGACGCAGAAATTATAATCTTTTTGTAATTCCTGTGAAAAACTCTCAGCCTATGACTTTAAAGTTAAGAGGTTCTGCTCTTTTTCCTGTGACTCACTTGATGAAATGTGGCAATGCAAAGTTAATTGTTTTGTGAGGGATAAGTGTTCCAGTTACACTTTCACAGAAGAGAACCTCTCTCTGTCTGTCACTGATCTCAAATCCGTGTATACAAATTCATAAGTGCTATTATTCAGCTGTCAACGTGTGAAATAAAATGCATTACACTGGACCATGGACATCATGGTTGCTTGAGAATTAATGACTCTTCTTAATATTATAATAATAGCACACTTCACTGCTGAAAATCAATTGCAACCACATTTCTTAACCCACTAGGGACTTTTAGAAGAGGTTTTTCTCTCTATGCCCAACCATTAGTAATGTTAACAGACTGGTTAAGCCTAGTTCACACTACATGATTTTAAGGCCGATTTGGCGGTCGGAGAGCTCGGTGACCAATCAGCGATCGATCATGGGTCGCCAGTCTACTACTACTCAACGACGCATCAAAACAGCTTCCCAACACATTTCTAACACATCGCCAACGCCCGCACGATATCTTGCATGCCAGATATCTGGAAGAGTCGGCCGACTCGACATCTACATCCAGCCAATGAGAGCAGACAGCTGGCAGAGCAGGCAGCTACTTTTTCTCTGCAGAACACTTTTTACTCTCCTCCAGCTCTCTCTGTAGCTTAGACGATCCCTGCTACCTGCGTGTGGTAATCCACTCTTTCACCCATATTCTTTGTCTTTACAATTGCTATCTTTATAATAACAAACAACAGCTGTTTCGTGTGTAGGTTCGCATGTCACATTTCACGTATGTTTTCTTGACAAAATGTGGTTTGGAGACCAGCGGCTCGTGTAGTGTGTGACCCCCCGTCACCGATCAGTCACGTAGTGTGAAGCACAGCCATCGGCCGACGCTGAAAGTGGTGTAGTCTGCACAAGCTTTTAGCTGACTCTTGTTAGCTGGCCTAGGATGAAAATAGTTCTTTTCATATCAGGCACTTAAAACATAACATTAAATGCAGAAATTTCTGAGAAAGTGTTCTCTAAAACATTTTATCTCTGCCTAAGTAACTAAACATGTAACTGTGTAACTTTGTGAGATTAAGATGGCGGAGTGAGTATGTTTCTGTTTATCTTGTTTCATAAGCAGATTGTTTGCTGTTGCTCTTAAATCCTCTGTTTGGGCAGCCTCTGTCCCAATACAGCAATCGTTCTGAATATTCTATGTTTTTTTTCTTAATTTCTTTTTCCCTTCTCAGCAATCTCTCCCTTGTGCCATAACCTATTTGGTCTGTACAATGAGACAACTGGCTTGTGGTACCCTCCCAACTATGAGATCAACATCACAGAGGAAACCAGTATGAAGTTGCACTATCGCATGAGGTAAGAATGGTATCCCCTATCTACTGACTACATTGGACTTGAATATTATGATTTATTTTTGGCCATTAATCTTGATATGATTGTCTGATATCTCAAACATTGTTTGGAATTCAGCAAATGAAGGTTAAATGAAGGTTAGCAGTGCTTTAGAGAGGGCTGTTTTAAACCTTTGGTGATAAACTAATCTAATGATATAATAGGCATAGAAGGAATTTAGAATAAGGCAGTGAGTCACTCATGTCTTACATCCTGTGATGCCAAGAGTAGAGTCTGACTCCATATTTGTCAGGAATCAGACTCTGGAGAGGAAATTTTGAGACAGCAATGTAATATTTATACCTGACTGGATTTCTATGAAGAGAGTCCTTCAGATAATCCTTTCGAAAGGTTGAGTAGCATTTCATGCAATGGGGGAAAAAAAACATTAATGTGATGTCAATTGCACTTCCTCTTTCTCTGTGCTCTGCGTTGACGGTGGCTAGTGGAGAGAAAAGCGAGTGTGCATAGAGTGTAACTGTGGCATGTGTTTTGTGTGTATGTGTTTGTTGCTGCAACCTACTTTGGGTACTGTAGTGCAGTCTGCCAAATTTTTATTATGGTCAAGTCTCGATATACACACAATCTTTATGCATAAACAAATGTTCGACACAAAGACACAGGGATTGAATTGCCACAAGGATGTCTTTAACTAAGCAATAGATTGCTTGAAAGCCATGTATGTCTGTAGAAAACTGTGTGCCAATCCAAATGTTGACATATTTCACTGGATAAGTGAAATATCCTCTGTGGACTATGCGTGTTTGCAGAATGTCATGGGAATCCATCATTACCGACATTACAATCACTAAAAGGAAACTTAAGGGTATCAAAAATGCTGGCTGCTGGTGGGCTGGGGTCTTTCTGTGCGGAGTTGATGCATTTTCCATGTGTCCTATGGGTTTCCTACATTGAGTGACATTCAAATGAGTCCCATCTGTATCAAAAAGCATCTGAATGTTTCTCTTTGGCAAATAAAGTTTCAGTAGTGCTATCATTATTATATGCGTGCCTGTTGGCTGAATATTTCTGGTCGCAAGATTTTTTTTGTCTTTTGTTTACTTTTTTGCATGTTTTTCAAATGTCCTCTTGATTTGTATAACCAGTTTCCTGGTCCACTGCTCCAGAACTGTTGGTCTGGGCCGCTATAGGCAGACATCTGTGACGCTGAACAGATAGAGATGATGTATTTCCTCTGAAAAGCATAGGCTTGCTGAAAAATTGCGTAATTTCAGAGAAAACAGGAAAATAGGTCAAAACCTGAAAGAACTTAAATGTTAACTAGCACTCAAATTCTATAATGGGCTGGGTGATCTTTGCATGAAAAGAGAAAGTGGAGATGGCAAAATTATGAAAAATTTAAATGGGCAAGTGTTTGTCATGGACATAACTACTTTGTTATACTTTAATCACTTCAGACAATAGAGGAGTCAATAGAGCACTTCCTGTTGCATCGCTCAGGTGCATAACAAAGCCCATAAGCTTCAGGTTGGTGTTATAAAGCTCATTTATCACTCTTTCGTGTTGACTGCTTCAGGCGCATTTGCACCTTTTGTTTAGTACTTACTAGTAGTTCAGCAGCATTCGTAAAATGATCCAGAGTTCAGTTCATCTTTTCAATTTTTCATTTCCCTGCTGGCATGCATTTCTCGCTTTTCACTAAAGGCAGAAATCCCATCAATGCAGACTCAAGGCCTACCTTGTTATTTATACAACTGACATCCTCATTACTTTCAGGACAATTTCAAAAGCTAGCTGTGAGTTCCTGGACATGTGAGATCTATATAGTTCATTGTGGAACAACACATGTTATCTTGTTATGCCACTGAGTATTCTGAGTGCCTTTTTAAAGCCATGCATACTTTCTTGCATGAACACCCTGTATTCATTCTGGTAACCTAGTCATCTTTCTCTCTTGTAAGGTTTTATTTCAGAAACTGGCATGGCTCCACTGAGGGAGAGTCTCCAGTTTGGAGACACTGCATCAGTAAACTCAGAGGAGGACATAGCCCACAGAAAACACCAGAAGGAACACCTTTACTGGATGCTGCCTCTCTCGACTACCTGTTCGCCCAGGTGAAAAAAGAATCAATTACATTACTTTAAACTGTCATGGGAGTGATTTGCTCTTTCATTGTTGCGCATATGAGGGATGTATTTGGGCAAATCGCCTAAGAAGATTTGACTCTACCAAAACATTTTTTATTTATTATTTCTTTCTTTGAAATACATTTGAAAGTACATTATGATTCAAATGTCAAATATCAGCACAGTTCACAGTTCAGTTTCAAAACAGCAACAGCTGGGAGGAAATGTAACAATACCAGGAAGTGGAGCTTTAAGGACAGCAACAGATCATTAAAATATAAAAAGACGAAGTAGAAGAAGTTGAAGCTTCAAATAACAACTGAATTGATTTGTCAGTTGTCCCAAATGCATCTAAATTTCCTGAATTTGTGTGCCACATAAAGAACCAGTATATCTTACAATCTCCAATTTACGATAGAGTTCTTTTTAAGTGCTTATATTTATACATGTTCAGTGTGTCTCTATGTTTGATAAATATAAATATATGTTTGTTGCTTAGGGCCAACATGACTTTCAAAAAGATGTGCTTCCGCTGAGGGTGTCTCATTCAGAGGCAGAACAACACGAGATAGAAAATGAGTGTTTGGGCATGGCCGTGCTTGCTATCACTCACTATGCAATAAACATGGATATGCCCCTTTCAACTGCATCCCATGAAATCAGGTAATACACAGACACACCTACAATATTCCTGACTCATCAATTTTGTGGAATGGTTTCCATAGACTTATGATTAATTCCTCTGAAAGGCACTTTCTTGGTGGCACTCGGCCATTTAAACGGCATTTCCACACAACATTTTAAAGGAAGAAGATAATAATATTAGCATGGGCCCAGCTTTATTTGGATCATTTCCAGGATGAATATCATACATGGGGAATACTGCTCATGCATATGTAATACAAGGGTGGTAGCTACTAATGGATACTCTTTAATCCATAGTTTTTGAGAAGTAACACATTATTTATCCTTACCTTCAAAATATTTGCACGAAGCATAGGATTAAAGTAGCTACTGAAAGAAATTGTTCATAAATCTTTCTATCTTAATCCCACCAGCTACAAACGTTTCATCCCAGAATCACTGAACCGCAACATTAAGCAGCGCAACTTTCTGACGCGCATCCGCATCAACAACGTCTTTAAGAAATTCCTCAGTGAATTCAACCGCCGCACAATCCAGGACAGCAACATCACCCTGTACGACCTCAAGATCAAGTACCTGGCCACACTGGAGGGTCTGACCAGCGGCTTGGGCAGCGAGCTGCTTGAACCAATCTCGCTCATTGTGACGCAGGAAGGAGAGCTCTGCAATGGAGGTTACTATGGTAAGATTTCAGGAAGATGATGAGGGGATGCCCATGATTTTAAATTCTCAGGGACTGTGTGAGATTTGCGGCGTGCAACAGCTCAGTATGGGGTTTGAGATGTCGTTCTACTAGAATTACAGGAGCTTATAGATGACTCAAAAAGAGAACTATTTTTTTTACCAAGATTATCCCTGTGGGAGATGATGTAATAAAGATAGCAGAAAATAGTCTTTGAGTCAAGCCACAGGATGGAGATCAATAAAATGACGATGATGATGATGATGATGATTATTATTATTATTATTATTATTATTATTATTATTATTATTATTAGACACGATAAGACAAAATATAGTTGCTACTCTACCACATAACTGAGATGATAATTTGTTTGTTTTTATAGTCTTCTAACAACATTTTAACCAGCTATATAGTGGTAATTTGACAGTGGTTAGTTTGGTATGTTTACAGGCAGAGTACCTGTGGTGTCCCACCCAAAAAAGGTTTGTTGACATTGAAATTACCTTAAACATTGTTTGAGTGCAGATGTCGAAAACCAAAAGTGAAAGGAACACAATGTCTAACCAATGTGTGAAGTTTTTCAAACTTTTTGTTTTTTGTTATTAAGATTTTCTTTCAATGTGAACACAGAGTTGCAAAAGCCAAGAAGACAATTATTCGGTCTAACTTGTCTCTGCATAATTAAGATTTTACAAAATAACAACCAATTAATTAATGTATAAATATATTTCTAGGGATTTATGTGTCTACAGCCTGTGTGTCCTGTAAATACAGCATTAAAGTATTTGACTGCATGTGTAATGTGCTGTGGTATGTTTGCTTGTTGTTTCAAGGGTACTACAACCACAGCCAAGAGCAGAGCCAGAGTAAGAGTCAGAACATTGAGACAAGCCATGACATGCAGGTCCTGGTTACTGGTACTACTGGCATTTCCTGGAGGAAGAAACCTGTCACAGTGAGTGAAACTATGTGTGTTAGAGATATGATTGCCTGTAGTTTCATTAGTTTCAGATAAACTGGCAGTGACAAATAACTGTCAGACAAATCTCTTATCTGGACAGCCTCTCGACAGAACTACACAACAGAACACATGTTTCTATTTAAGATTACAGTAAAACTGGATAAAGTCACCAGAATACTGATATCATAGAAAGTTATTTTAGGCGTATTAAAAAAGAAACGACATACAAAAATGTTAAAGTCAATATAAAGTCACTAAATCAAGTCCAAAGTTTCCTGTAGGAATATCATACAGAAATGAGAAAATAAGTAAACTAGTGATCCATTTTTTTTATGTTGTAGTGCTTACACACTGTGTCCCATCTGCATACTGCTTTTATTTTCCGTTCAATTCTGCTGTATAATATAGCACATCTCCTGCCTTTTGTGATAAATATTTAGCATAATCAATAACAAGCATCACATTTCATATGTAGAAATCAGATACTGAGACAAGACATTTCCTTTTTATTTTGATGATGATAGTGTCAATTAATTTGGAATAGCACTACAGATGTCTTCATTCTGTTACAGTATTTCTTAATTAGAGCTTGAGGTAGCTAGCCCAAATGTGCAAATACTGATTTTATTTTCTTCCATTGTGTATATCTGCTTTTATCTAAAACAGACTCCTGCAAGCTCTAAAGAAAAGGGCAAGTCAAAGAAGACAAAGTTGGATGGAAAACAGAAAAATGAAAAGAAAGAGGCGAATGACGGCTGGGTGGTGTTCTGTGACTTCCATGAGATTACACACACTGTCATCAAAGAAGCAATGGTCACCATCTATAGACAGGACAACAAGAGGATGGTGAGACACATATACAAATAAATCAAAGAGCACTGTGTTTTACATAGGATTAACCTCCATATTGTTACTTAGTTTTTAAAAACCCCAGGGTTGTGACTCCATCTTAGTTTAGTGTCACATTAAGACAAACAATGTAAACAGTGTTTACATATACAGTGATGTTCTGTCTAGGTATCCAAAACATGTTTAAATATTTGTTCTGTTATGTTCATTGTTACTCCAATGGCCTCAAACCTACATGGCAAAGTTAATACCGTTGACATATACAGTCATTATAAGATCACTCTGTCTCACTTATATTAGTAACCTGAGCGACCGCCTCTACTTGTTTTCATAGTTTGTGACCAACAGCAGCACTTGTTTGGATTTACCTCATATTGAATCAAAGCCTGGCTCTTGCTACAATGTTATTAGTCATGACTAATGGTGATATCACGTGTCATCATGAAAATGGATTTTGAGTTTTGTAATACATCACACTCTTTTAGACAACCCTCAGGAGAATTGTAGCTTTATAAGAGCTCCTATTCTGATGACCTCTTCCCTCCTTCCTTCCCATCTTTTCTCTTTTCAGGAGTTGCAAATGGCTTCTAGGAGTGAGGCTCTGTCCTTTACCGCACTTGTGGATGGGTACTTCAGGCTGACAGTGGATGCCCACCACTACCTGTGCAAGGAGGTTGCCCCTGCTTCTGTGGTGCACAACATCAACAACGGCTGCCACGGTCCCATCTGGTTTGTACTGGCACATTTATTGATGGAGTGTGTGTGTGCATGTGCCCGTTTCCACACAAAAAACACAGTGTTATTGGACCCAGGCTGTTTTATTACACACATTCATCATAAGCCAAATGTTACTGACCTTAATTTGTATTTGTCTATTCCCCGGCACATCACACACGGCTTTTAAAAGATAGTCTAAATTAACATTTTGTAACAGCGGCTGTTGTCATCCTCATTGTTAACCTAAATTTTGTATTAACTGTTCCATTATAGCAGTTTAAAGCTGGGATAGGCCACAGTGGAGAAACTAGCAAGAGACAGCTAGAATCCAATTATCCAAGTGAATCCAACTGGGAATAAAATCCCTCCCCCCACTTTAGGCCTCCCTCCAAGGCCTCTCTCCCAAAAAACATTTTCATGTGCAGTGAATCTCATTTATTAATTACTGTCAGGATTTAAAAAGAATTTCAATAAATGTAACAAAAAATGATTCAGAAATATTAAGTTGCAAACCCATCTTTACGTTTTGTCTTAATGTTGTTTGTATAGTTTTCATTTTTAAAAGGTTTTAGTAACACAAAATTGATTAATTCTAGGTAAACAGATTACTGTATTAATCATTAGAAAGTAAAGTGGTTTGCTCACCACATTGGAAAAACAAAAAAGACCGGTCACAACAAACCAAATACAGTATGAAATACATACAGTAGTAATACTAATTACACATACTATCTTTCATTGAACCTTGTATTTAAGAATTTAGTCTAACTTTAAATCTTTAATTTACTGTTGACAGAACCCCATTACTGCCCCTATTTATTGCTTTTCCCCTCTCCAGTACGGAGTATGCCATCCACAAGCTGCGTCAGGAGGGCAACGAGGAGGGCACCTACATCCTGCGCTGGAGCTGCACTGACTACCAGTACATCATCATCACTGTGGTCTGCACTGAGGTAGTGTACTCAGCTCAGCCTCTCAATCTCTGGACTCAGCTACGGTTCCCTCCTGCTCTGCACTGTAGCCACCAACCTCTTTTTGGAGCATCAAGTCTTTCAGTCTGCCTCGCTCTTCCCCGGCTCTATTTCTGATCACTTCTACCCTGCAATAAATATTCCTCTTTTATATAACTCCAGTCTCCTCCCTCTCTAAGTCCTGCACTTGGGACTTCTAGCCTAGCCGTGAGAAAAGTTAACACAACCTTTTGGTAACCTGCTTTTATTATATAGCCTACTTGTAAATCAAGTAACAAAGTGCTCTCTCTCTTTTACACACACACACACACACACACACACACACACACACACACACACACACCGTTCATTATCTCTTCCCCCCTCAGGTTTCTGCCTCACTTATGTAATTGCCAGAACTTTTTGGGCATTCATCCTTTTGTTGTTGTGCTTTAATCTATGAAATACATAGCTGTATCTCGTGAAATTACAGCCAGCATAACGCATCCGGTGGCGCCACCAGTAATGCCACCAGTAACTCCTTATGCAGTCTGTCCTTGTTCTCATAGTGTCATATCAGGAAGTTAACCCTACAAACCTTTTACAGTGCTGTGTGGCTATAGTAAAATACAATAAGAAAGAACCCTCTATCATTAGTGCTGGTAATATCTAACATCCCAGGGATGTACTGGATGTACTTGTGTGGGTTATTCACTAACCAGAGGGCATGACACAGCACCAAACCAAATAGTGTTAATTTATTCTTATTGGATTACAGGGTGGTTAGATTAAGACAGGGTGCTACAGTACACTGCAGCTTTATGAGTCAACATGGGAGGACCCCCCCACCCACACACACACACACACACACACATTCACAAAGATGACTCACTGACTCAGTAAATGTGTTGGTGTTGCATGTGTATGTAGAACTTTAAGGGAACTATATAAACCTATTTTTGATAAAGAAATTGTTTATAATATATTGGTTATTAAAAAAGTGAACACTCACTAAGACCTCTGTTTTGTTTATTTTTTTAAAAATATTTACATTAGTTTTACTTAATTACTTACTCATTACACTTTTACATTTTTGTACTCTCTGTTTTTCCTCCATGTTTGTCATTTTGTCATGTTCCAGTTAAAAAAACTCTCTCTTTCTGCATCCAGCTTGACCTGAAGGAGTCTCGTCCTGTGCGTCAGTATAAGAACTTCCAGATTGAGGTGTGCTCTGATGGGTTCCGCCTGTACGGCACTGAGACGATTCGGCCCACTCTCATGGAGCTGCTGGAGCACCTGCAGGGCCTAAGCCTTTGCACCGACAACCTCCAGTTCCAGTTGCTGCTCTGCTGTCCTCCCCAGCCTAGAGGTAAACTTAATCCCAGACATACAAAGTGACGCGGTGATCTACACAGAGAAGCATGCAGCACTGCAAGGTCACTAAGTTATAGAAGGTTTAACCCTTGTGGTAAGGCAGTCCTTTTAGGGACTTAAATAATTTAATACAAAATGGCTGACTCGCAGTGAAAATGTTGTATTTCTGTAAATAATACTTCTTCACTGGTCTCACGATTCGATTATCAGGTCAACGATTCGATTTGATATCATGATGCATCACCTCAAGTTTGGGAATTTCTTGGCACCTCATTACGGTTATGAGTGCTAAGATGCGATTGTAAAACAAATAGGATAAAGATGTATTTTTAGCACTGTGTGACTACTTAGTGCTTTTAAAGCAAAGTATTTGTAAATATCCAAACAACTAGATAGTAATGAAATGCAGTTATTTAATGTAACTTCATAAAAAATTAGCTAACATTGCATAGCATTTTTACATTATTACAACATTATTACTGACCTCTGCTGCTGATATTTTCATTTCTGATGCTGCTGTTTTTAGTATAAAGTCAGATAGGGGTTGAACCATATCTGTTCGTTTTTTTTGTCTCGTCTAGTGTAGTTGTATGTTTGTGTCCTGTCTTGTATGTTGATTATTGTAATCTTGTATTGAGCACCATGGGTCTTGAGAAACGGTATTTCGTTCATATGTGTACTCGATAAGAGGATGAATGACAACCCAACAAACAAACTTGAACTAGCAGCCACAAAACGTTCTGCTCAGCTTCCAGAGCACAGCGTGAAGAGGAGACGTTAACTAGCGTTAACTGCCTTCACTTTTCCAGTAGTTGGAAAGCGACAGACAGACAGACTTTAATTAACGGACACAAACACTGTAGATTTACTGGCAGACTGAAACGTAGCGCTCACATTTTCCTCTGCTCCGCTTGCTTTCACCGTCACCTACTGCCCCCGCTAAGCGCTACTGTGCTACAGTGAAAATCATTAAAGTTAGTTACGCAGTGATTCTATTGATCATGTGAAAGTTTAGTAGTGCCAGTCATTCAATCAACAGCTACCTATCTGTGCCAAACAGGGAGAACCACATGCCTCCGTTGTGTGCGCACCACAGACAGTCCGCCTTTTTTCGTTCCGTAAACATTACCTTATCAATTAACCTCTAGATAATCGATTATTGACATTTGTGAATCAATTCATAATCGTCCAAGTCTGCATCGCGATGCATCGAAAAATCAATTATTTTCCACACCCCTAACGTTCAGTTTGTACTTTTAATTCAGCTACAATTACACCAAACACTATACAAACAAAATTGTAGAAAGCCCACCTGTGTTTCAAATAAAAATCTATCAATTTGCAATACACATATTACAGCAATAATGAAGTTTATAGTAGAACCAAGGAGAACAGTTTATATGACTCCTGTTTGTCAGTTTTTTGCATCATTTTGAAATTATATGTAAAGCATTTAAAAGACGTTGTGGTAAAAATTGTGACAAATGTTTCGACTAGTCTGCAGTGTTTTTTTGAAACAGATAAATGCTACAGTAGTCTGAAAATCCTGCTTGCTCTGTCTTCTAGCAGTCTCTGCATCCTCGGTTCACTCTCTGTGCAGTACAACACCTCTGTACACTACTCTGTGCAATGCTACATCTGGGTGTGGTAACAAGTACAACCGATCACATCTGACTGTGATGTCGGGTGGGGTCGGAAGTGCAACACACTTAAACCTTTCAACCCTTAGAGGTCATTAAAGCAAAGCTTTCCCTCTGTATAAGACTGAGTTTGTGTCTCTCACTAACTGAGGCTAGGTGAAGCTGGCATGAACAATGCTTGTGTGTCTGTATGAAATGGTGTCAGAGAGGAAGAGAGTTGTAAATGTGGGTTTCCGGAGTCAAACTAGCACTTGTGTTTACTTCACTCAGGGAAAGGTGAAGCCACGTATGCTGTGTGTGTGCTTGGATGTGTCAAACTGTTTTTGTTTGTTGGGGTTGTGTGGTGTTGATTATTATTATAAGGCATGACTGATTTGGGTTAGGGTTTGGACTTTGTCTGCTTTAGAGGAAGATAAAAGACTGGAGTGGTGTGTTGTTGTCCCTGTTAAAATATTTATGATGTGTTATACAACATCCTTGCTTTAACTATATCACACTGGTATGCCCACATCCCTGATTATATGATACAAACACTTTTACCTAGTGTTGTTTTGGGTTTATGCATGGTTTTTAACTGTTATGAAAATAATGTAAAGTAACTACATGATGGCAGATGGGTGAAAGGCCTGGATTAGGTGAGGGGGTTAAGGAGTGGGTGCAGTGTAGTGCAGTGTATCTTCAGTGGAATGTGTGGGTGCATGTTGTATTTGGCTTTTGCATAAAAACAGATTGCATTTTACGGAACAATGCTCTCAATGCTCTTTGGCATTGAATATAGGGTGATGCTGAAGGAGTACAGATGCCTTTCCCCCCCTTAAACCACAGTGCGCTGGTTTTGCCACAACATTACACACACACACACACACACACACACACACACACACACACACACACACACACACACACACACAGTATGGGAACATGCACAAAGACACTTTTTCACTGTCTCCTCCCACACACACAGCTCTGTACATACAAAAAATAATCTGAATCAGTATGGTAACCCAGCCTGAATAGCTGTTCACATCATTGCCACATTGACGTAATTGTTGAGAGCTTTTTCACCACATGTAAACACAGTTTTGCTTTCATGCTGAATATCAGTGATTATATAAGCGTCTATACAATTGTAGCATTCTTGTGCTCCAAAAGACACTTAAACCCAAGTTTACCTCACTGTCAACACCATTCCTGCTTTTATGGTTGTCACTTCATTGTTGTGTTGTGTGAATGCAGTGCAGGCAAGTTTAGACAGTGTTACAAAACCATGCCTTTGGCAACAATACAAGCAGAAATGACTTTCCCAATCAGGGATTACCTAACACAAAAACAATGTCAAGTCTCTGCATCTGGATTTTAACAAAGAGGAATCTAACTCGCTATCATACTTTTGAAAATGGTCAGCAGTAATATAAATGATATACACTTATGTGCACAACTTTATACAAAAACCCTGGAGTGGCTTTTTCAAAGTGTATGTGTGTGTGTTTGCGTTGCAGAGGTTTCTAATCTGCTGGTGGTCACCAAAGAGAGAGCATCAGTCCCTCAGACACCCATGCAGGAGAGTCAGCTCAGCTTTCATCGCATTCTCAAGGAGGAGATTGAACAGGTATGTCCATAGATGTAAAGATAAAATAAATAATGTAAGTCCATAGTTACGAAGTTTTTAAATGATTGTCAATGCATTTTTTTTACGTCACAGTTTAGGCTTCCAGTGTGCTGCATGTTAGACCGCATACCAGTTTAGTCAACACACAAAAAAGTACAATTGTAACATTATCACAGGCAAATGCATTTGTGTTATTAGGGTGTTTTTATTTCAGAAATTGTACACTATGTTGTTGTTTTTTCCCTTATATTTGCATTAATCTACACAGTTGAACTTACACCCTTCACAATTTATTTAATCTTCTCTTTTTTCATATAATTTACAGATATAGCATGTAAGAGAAAATGGGTTCCTCAAATAAAAAGACTCTCAGTCAACTTGCCTAATTAATTTGTTTATATATCTCAGATTACATATTTGCTCAGCCTTCCTCACAGCACACACAGTTGAATTTAAAACTGTGTATCTATAAGTAGTTTTGTTCATTTTGAATGAGGGTGCACATAAGCAGATGTTGCTTATCCTCCAGCGCACATGGAATAAACACACTTAAACTAAGACTCTTTCTCTGGACAGAAAATGCATTTGACGATAGTTTCAAAATCTTCATAGCCCTGTTCTTGTAGTAGCCGTTGTTTCGGTACTGGATGTAACTATTTATGTAAAACTGTTTATGTGCTCCCTGCTGTGTTAACCAGGAGGAGCATCTTGGCCGAGGCACAAAAACCAACATCTACTCGGGCACACTGAGGGTGAAGAGTGAGGAGGAGGAGGATGCAGGTTACTCATCCTTCCAGGAGGTCAAGGTGGTCCTGAAGGTGCTGGGTTCTGGACACAGGGACATCTCCTTGGTGAGACACTCAGATCCATCCTGTACATCCTTGTTCACCTGTTCTTATGAGGACTTTGACTACATTCTGTAACAGCTAACCAAACTGAAAGATAATACTTGTCAGCAGCAAGCTGTTTCAAAATTTAATGTTTCTGTAATGTGCTATGTGTTAAGTCATCTTTGTCTTTCTGTTGACAGGCGTTCTTTGAAACGGCCAGTATGATGCGGCAAGTGTCCCATAAACACATAGTGCTGCTGTATGGAGTGTGTGTCCGCCACCAGGAGAGTAAGTGCATGTTGAGAACTGTGTTTATACATGTGTATCAGAGTGCAGGGCTGTTTCTATCGTCTTTGTGTTTGTGTGGAACAGATATCATGGTTGAGGAGTTTGTCCAGCTAGGACCACTGGACTTATTTATGAGGAGACAACAGAGCCCACTCAGCACACCATGGAAGTTCCAGGTGGCCAAGCAGCTGGCCTCAGCTCTCAGCTACTTGGTGAGACAGGAAAACACACACACACACACGATAGTAGGGATGGGGATCGTTAATTATTTTATTTTTTTTGATATTGATACCCTTATTGAGACTGCTTAACGATCCGATTCTTTATCGATGCCACTATCGATACTTTACTATTTTTACTACTATTTTTAAGTTATGGTTATTTGGTAAGACCAGACCCAACGGGCATGAGGTAGGCCTGCACAGGAAATATTCACTGTGCGAGAACGTTATATATTGAGATGACATATCACTTGCAATAAATAAACATATATTGAAGGGTACATATTAACTGCCTGGTTGTTTTTTAATTTAATATTTAATATAACAGCAAAGTTACTCAATAACTTTATCTGACATCAAGTAGTGAATGACGTTTAGAAAGAACAACATTAGTCTGTATCAGTCCCTCCTGCTCTCTCGCTGGCTGCAGGTAACGAGGAGGAGGAGCGTCTGGTGTGTCTCAGCCAGCAGCTGAGTTTTTAAGACTACAGACCAGTCTGTGCTCCAGACAGACAGCTTTCTATTTAGCTTGTTTTTAACATTTGGCTAATGCCAAGCTAGCATTAGCAGTGTTTGTATAAAACATACAGGATGAGATACTGAGGACAGAGAAGATTTAATTAACCATTTCTACATGTTTAACGTTACGTTACAGACAGGTGTATTGATAAAGTATTGTCTTTTTACTTGCGAAGGTTTTATTGCACGTACTTACAGTAACGAGTGTAGTTGTCATCAACTAACGTTACAGTAATTTGGAGCTAACTTAACCTTCACCGTAATATTATTCCACCGCAACGGTGCAGCCTCTCGCTCTGCTGCCGGTGTGTGTGTGTGTGTGTGTGTGTGTGTGTGTGTGTGTGTGTGTGTGTGTGTGTGTGTGTGTGTGTGTAGGAGCCGACAGAGAGCAGGCAGCCTGATGATTTTCTTATCCATTGCGTTTCAAATGAAATCAGATTTGACGCTCGAGACATAACGTTACATCATGGGATCCGCAAGTCTCGATAGCAGTATCGATAAGCTCGAACCTTATTGATTTTTGGGTTTTGAGAAATTTTGGAACCGGGTCTCGAACCCCATCCCTATATGATAGTAAGTGTGTAAGTCCTGTGCATCCAGGTGATCACCTGCACCATGTTAGATCCATTTCATGATCAAAATCTTTATATTTGCCCTCTCAATTGTGTTTGTAGGAGGACAAAAAGCTGGTCCACGGCTTTGTGTGTGCTAAAAACATCTTGCTGGCCAGGGACGGACTGGGCACAGATGAAGGAGGGCCCTTCATCAAGCTCAGCGACCCAGGAATACCAATCACTGTACTCACCAGAGAGGGTGGGTGCAAAGTACACGCATATAAACACACATTTGCTCTCTGTTCACTTGAGGTTATATGTTATACTAACTCACTCACTCAAAGTGAAACCTAAATGGTTACAAAACAGCTACAATGGAAAATTTCTCAAGTTCCACTTTTCTTTCCCAGTCAGCGGTAAGTTGTCAGCTGTAAATGACAGTGAAACCAGAAAAGCGAACACATAAAATACCTCAAGGATGTGTAATAAAGTGAAAGTACAATCATTTGTTTGAATTGATTTCCAATACATTTTCAAATCTAATTAGAACACCAAAGAGAAGACAATTGAAAGATTCAAAGTGAAACTATTTTGACCGCGACTCACATTTCATGGAAACAGCAACACATACTGACACACGTTGTCTGATGATCGGCCACATCAAACTAATTTAGAAATATGCTTCTTGCTCGTCTCCTTTTTACATATAAACTAAGGTTGCTTGTTGTAGCTTATTCAATGCACTGTCCTGTCTTGAGTTGGATTTTTGTTCGTTTCTTTGTTTTGCTTAAAAGTCATCTGTACCCTCATTTCTTCCTACAAAATACAGATAAAAGAAAAAAGCCTTTCCGAGTCAGGAATAGGAATCCTATTTGTCACTTAATCAATATACTTTGCACTGGGCGCATTTCCTCTAAGACTACAAATTGTGTTGTAAAAGCATCTGGGTTCAGGGAAGATGACATGACAAGGATATTTCTCAGATTGCACAGTTCCCCTCAAATGGCCACCTCATGTTATGCCTATTAGAGCCAGAAGTTGTGTGATATATATAATGCAGTGTGGCTATACAGATGGATCAGCAAACCACAGTACGGACTGAAAATGTGTGCAAATGTCTATCGCCACACGCCCTTGGGGATGCTCCTCCCTCCCTCTTTGTTCCCAGAACTCTTTTACATTTCTTCTTCTGTCTCCTTCCCTTTGCAGAACAATGAGTCTTCCAGTTACACATCGATGTTCTTGCACATAGATTTGATTGAACACATAGTGGATAAAGTGCTGAGAAACCCACAGGGAGCACGCTACTTCTTCCCAGCAATCTCTGATCACTTTACTAAAACCCTCAAATCACTTCCTTACATTCTTTCTTTTTTCTTTTTCTTCTGTCCTTCTGTACACTCAATTACCGCCTTCCCCACTCCCATTTCTGTCTCCATCTTCCCCCTTCTTTCCACTCAGCCCCTCCACTGCTTCTTCACCTCTTTACTCCTCCTCCTCTTTCCCTCCAGTCAGTCATCCTGTGTTCCAGTCTGAGCTGCATGCACGTACTATGTTATAGATTTATGGAGCCAGAAAGCCAACTGTGGAGTCAGTCAATCAGCCTGTCTTCCAGTTACAGTAATAAATTTCAGCCAGCCGATGCCAAAGCTTTTAGATTCAGAAAATGCAGTCAGTCAACATTTTAAGACCGCTACCTGCCCAGTCAGTGTGTCAGAGCTGTTTTGTATTTTACTGTTGGCTCCTGGTAAATGGAACATGGTGGGAGTATGCTGGCTCAGATACATGAGGTCACTCTCTAAACATTACTTTCAAATAGTGTTTAGCATGGAGATTTTGTCAGCATTTGGTCAAAGTGATTATATTTTTACTCTTTTAAAAATAACAGTTCTCAGTTTGTTACTTGTTTAACAATATCCTGTTGATTGATCTGTGATATCTGAAGCGAAATATGGATAGTGCAGTCAAGTCGATTTTTATTTAGATAGGCCAAAAGTTTTCCTTAAAGTGCTTTATAGCCTGCACAACATACAGTACATTACCCTCTATCCTTAGCTACATGATGTGGACAAATCAGAGATTTAAAAAAAACTGCACAAAAAAACTCAGGGAAAGAAAGCTAATATAGGAGGGATCCCCCTCAGTGACAGTAGCAGGGAAATAAAAAGCAAACAAATGAGAAGATGGTATCAGGAGAAGCTTCAGAGGTAAGACCTATATTGGAGCACACAGACTTTGTAGGTATGCTCATAGACCCTATGCAGGAGTATAAATGTGCCTTTACGGCAACAAACTTTGCGTTTCTTAGTCTCTGATGAAGATGCACCAGGCAATCAAGTTTGTTGCTTTATAGGGTAGGCAATTTATTTCAGAAGCATTGTTTGTTATATTTGTTGAAGTTCTCGTTGATGAAATCAATAAATCAAATGCTCTGACACAAAAATGAAAAACTGCGACTGTAATAAGCACTGCCAAATGACTGGCTGGCCTACCTGCTTGTCTACCCACCCACCGACCTACCAACCTACCTACCTGCGCACACTCTGCCCCACCTGACGGGGTGGGATTTTTTTTCGGTTGGATACTTTCAAAATCTAGCCGTCTCTTGCTATTTCTCCTATATTGCCTGTCCTAGCTTTAAGTCCATGTTTACTTTGGATCTTATCTCGACCCACTCTGAGAACACCTGACAGACCTCATTATTTGTGAGACATTTGAAGCGTGCCTAACCTCTTACTTCAATTAAGAATGTGGATTATTGAGTAAGTCACGCTACTTCAGGTGCCACTGAGCACTGGTAGAACCTGGACCACAAAACTTAGATAGAAATATAAATATATAACAGCCTGATGAGGACAGGACCAGTATGCTTATTATATTGTCTTTCAGTTATTATATTTCCCTTATGTTGAAGGTGTTTGTGTGTATGAAGCGGTCAGCATGTTTTTCTTTAGCTTGTTAAAAAGGTTAAGTCAATATTTCACACGTTGTAATATTGGACAAATGCTCCCCTAGTTATGTCTTAAAGGGCAAGGTTTGCCTTTGAGGGCATCATCACACATCTTCACATTGGTCAGACATTATTACAATTCAGAACAATGTAAAGAATAATTTCCACTGATTAGGTTGAGCTCATGTTTCTATATTTCACACATCTCCAGTAATCATCAAATAATCATCTTTTTGTATTTTGCACCAGGGGACTGAAACAAATTTGTACTTAATTGATTTACTGTTTCTAAAACTGACTTTGTTTGCCTCTGCAGAGTGTGTGCATCGCATCCCATGGATTGCTCCGGAGTGTGTCAAGAGTGTGTCTTCCCTGAGTGTTGCAGCTGACAAGTGGGGCTTTGGTACCACCCTGTGGGAGATCTGCTATGATGGAGGGGTCCCCCTCAAAGACAAGAAACTCACAGAGGTAGGAGGCACATACAAGAACTCTATATGACTGTGTATAATCATATCTACACTAATGCCATTTGTTAATTGAAATCTGATGGCCTCCCTATACTTTGTTTTTATTCCTGTTTATTTCCATACTCCCTTTTCACCTCCACTGACATTCAAATCTATGTATTTGTGCTGAGCAGAAGGAGAGGTTTTATGAAACAGAGTGCCAACTGGCCACCCCAGACTGCATAGAGCTGGCTGAACTGATGACCCACTGCATGAACTACGACCCCAAGAAGAGACCTTTCTTCAGGGCTATCGTCAGAGACATAGACATGCTAGAGGAAAAGAGTATGTATGAGGGTATTGTGTGTACTGTACATTATAAGTGTTTTCATGTAATGAGGTGGGTGCAGATATGAAGTAAAACCATTTTGTTTCTGCAGTTTTATTATTCTGTCTTTTGGGCGTCTCCAAAAACATGTTGGATTTAAATTGAGCGTACGATAAAGAACGGGCGAAAGACATGTACATGTTCAAATTTTCAAGGCAGTTGTTTAAAGCTGGAATATGATCTAAATGTTTTGCATGTTTTGTATCTTACCTAGCAGCAGCTCAGTAAGTAGAGAGAGCAAAGAGAGAGAGACTTGTTTACTCAACTCAGATGTTCATGAGGAAGTTCACTGGGTGCATTATCATTGATCTACCCCTCAGCTGGGCCCCATGGAGACATAATACTCTGTTCTTCCACCTGCTGGCCAGAATTGGATACTGCAGTCAGGCTTGCTAAAGCTTATCTGATCATCTTATTTTAAAATCTCAAGACAGCTACAAGCATTCACTAAAATATTGATCTACTTTAAGTTGCACCCCAAAAGGCTTGAAATTAGGTTAAAAACACTTTCTGTTAAATAAACAATTTTATAATTATTGAAAATGGTGATACAGAATGACTTTGCTAGAATAATTCTCAACTTTTAAGTAGCCATTTGTGTGGAAACCAGAGCATGCTAACATTTACATAATCACAGAAAATTATGGTGAAAACTGACACTGTCAACCACAATAGACTTCCTATGACGCAAGTGTGCTTATGTTGAAGAAAAGACATGTTTACCCAGTATGTTCAATGTATTTGCTCTTTTTCCATCTCTCAGACCCACTTATCAAACCCAAGCCCACACCAGAGGTGGACCCAACTGTGTTTGAAAAGAGATTCTTGATGAGGGTCCGAGATCTGGGAGAGGTAAACTGCTCCTGCTGTATCTATGCTATTTTGTGCTTTTACTCTATGTATAATAGATCTTAGCCATTATAAGAATGTTTAAACTGACATTTTCCAAATGCATAAATAAAGCGACTTGGCCATTAGTTTACATGCATTGTCACATGTTTTGTATAAAATCTATAATTACCTTCAGAGCAGTCTGTGCTGTAAGTAGTTTGGTGAGTATGGTTTCCTATTTCACGGTTCACATCAGCTTCCTACTATTAAAAAATGTGGTATAATGATTCTTGTGAAGTAAGCAACAGAAGTAAGCAACAGAAGATGTTGAACTGGAAAAAAAAACAACAACAACTGGTCCCACACAGGAAGTAGACTGGAACTCATTCAGGATTGTCCGAATAACTTAAATTTTCTATGTGTTCCTAATGCAGGGCCACTTTGGTAAGGTGGAGCTGTGTCGCTATGATCCTCGGGGAGATAGAACTGGTGAGCTGGTGGCAGTGAAGTCCCTGAAACCCGAGAACCGGGAGGAGCAGAGCACCAACCTCTCGCGTGAGATTGACATCCTGAAGGCACTCTACCATGAAAACATTGTCAAATACAAGGGCATTTGCCAAGAGGACGGTAAGATGGAATACATACATACACAAAAATAAAGCAGTATGAAAGAAACACCTTCGTGATGTTTGATCAACACATCTAAGATCTGACCAAACATTTTAGGTAACCATAAGATGTTTTCCAGATACAGATATAATGTACTGATAGGTTATATAATTTTTAATTTAGTAGCAGGCATGTAGTGTTGACATAAACTTTGGTGCTTTAGTGTGTAAAAGGTACGTGCACTACAATTAATGCATATTTAAGTGTTAAACCAACCATCTGTACCCTTATAGTCACAGGTGACATAAGACATGAACACATCTGCTACATGAAGCTTTAGTGGTTTAACTTTCAAAATAAAAGCATCGTAAATAAATGATGGGTGTCACTAGATTCTAGTTGATGATGTTAAATGAATCCTAGAGTGTTGTTTAACAACACTTAACGCTGTTCTGAAGGTATTTCCAGAATCCTTAAAGTATCAGAAACATCTGTATAATAAAATATTCCATCCAGAGCAAGAGTAAAAAAGGTATTTCCCAAGTTTTGTATTCACAATGAAAATATATCAAAACTAGTTACATGAAAATACAATATATTAGAAAGGAACATCAGTCATACAAATATAATTATAATACACATATCTTCTTGCTCAATTTGTTTGAACCAAAACTATAAATGTATCTGTCCAGCTACCGTCTGTGCTTACATAAGGAAAAAGAGGCACGACTTGGGAAACATGTTGAAAAATGTTTTTTGTCATGCAGTGAACAGAATGTTTTCCTCCAGATGGTTAAAAGTGGTACAGCAGAATTTGTGCCTGTCTCTGATTGCATTTATGTGTAAATTGGTTTGTAGGTGGTCAGGCCATTAAACTTATCATGGAGTATGTTCCCCTGGGAAGTTTGAAGGAGTATCTACCCAGAAACAAAAACAAGACTGACCTCAGCACCCTGCTCAGCTACTCCATCCAGATATGCAAGGTAACGGTTTCTTTTCACAGAGCTATTTCCTCAGACCAGCTGGTACCATCAGCCATCCCTGCATCTTATATTGGCTTTTTATTAACAGTAAAACACCAGCCGGCAGCGTTTACCATTTAACACCTACCCACTATGTAGTTAAATGGTAATTATAGCATCCACACTCAAAATGCTTTGAAATGTTTTAACGCTTCCTGTTTAGATACTGGTGATGAATTGCCTTCTAAAACAATAGTCATGTGATTGTCACTTGATTTTAAAAAAGGTGTGAACCTTGTGGTAGAAGTTAAGTGTTGAATCATATTGGTGGGTGGCCCTCGGACCCCTTTCGGGGGTTTGGGTTACTGTGATATAGAGATAGAGCTGAGGCAAAACTTTATGGATGAAACTCCCAACAAAGGACATGTAGAGGCAAGATGTATCACTCTGTAGCTAAAACGAAGCCTTCAACACAGGGTGAAAAGAGGAGCTGCAGCAATTTGCAGTATGACAAAAATATAGTGTTTTTTTGAAAATGAAACCATGTTCTGCTACAACCCCTAAATAAGATTTTGAACATAATATGACCTCTTTAAATGCATTAATTTGGTGCAAAATTAAGAGGCTACCTGTGAAGAACTTTGCATTCTTGTAAACAATGTTCCCTAATATTTTATTGTTGTGGTTTTTTACTTTTAATGGACACATGTAACATGTTTTACGTTCTGTGAATATAATCAAATTAATCTTATTTCCATACTGTATAGACACCTTATTTTAAAACCCGGGCGTTTTCACATGTGCATCCTTGCGCTAAATTCATCAAGTCCGACCCAATTTGATAAATATTTGTTGTATGTGGTTCTCGTATCGCGTAACATGAAGACTTCACAGCCACTTTTCAGGTAGGACTCTAACACTGCAACACTACGTCTTTGTAAAGAGAGAAACTGACAGGATAAAGTCGCTAACCTGCCTGTCAGCTCACACTGGTCCGTTTCAGTGGATTTACCATAAAGGCTTTAAAACATGTGCACTCCAAATTTAGGTACGGCTAGTTTAATCGCCTTCTCACAAACGAGTGACAGAAACAGGCCGCTTATGTTACCGTAGTTACCTTAAAAGAAAAGTGGTTGTCTCGAGTTGGATGCCAAAAGTGTATGAACGTGAGAGCAGCACCCACAAAACACAACGTTAGATGTCTGAAATGTTATTATGAGATGTGTTAAAAAAAATTTCGGTTAATTTTGAATGGGCGGAGCAAATTAGACTGTGGCGGACCGCCATGGTCTCAATAATTAATGGGAAAGACTGGATAGAGAAATCATGGAAACAGTTCAGGTGTCAGACAGACATTTAACCAACATGGCTTGCAGTGCATCAAGTGTTTTAGTTAATAGATAATGCATCAGGTATGCGTCCTCAAGTCATTGACTGACCCTCTACCACCAGATGTAGCTTTGTTTGTCTGCATGTTCCAGTCACTCAGTCCACATCACAGAAAGCCATGGGCTGCATTTCAATCAGTGACAGTGACCCTGTTTTATTTTTCTTTAAGGGAATGGACTATCTAGGATCTCAAAATTACATTCACCGGGACCTGGCTGCCCGAAATGTGCTGGTGGAGAACGAGAGGACAGTGAAGATTGGAGATTTTGGACTCACCAAATGCATCAAGGACAATGAGGGATATTACACTGTCAAAGATGAAAATGACAGCCCTGTTTTCTGGTGAGTCAAGAGGAGGGAAGGAGATGGACATTAAGACAGCACTTTAAATTTTACTCTCTCAGACTTGACTGTTATAGCCGAGATCTTATTGTTTAGAGAGAGACTATGTAAAGGAAGGAGAGGATAAAAGGTGGAGCGGATACTAATTGAAAGGAAGGATTAGAAAGGAATTGACTGTAGACAGACAGTAATTTGAACTGAGGAGAGAGATACTGTATAGGAGAATTTCAAGCAAAGAGTGAAGGCATATCATTTTAAAGTACTCTTAATTATTTTTGGCAATAAGTTCAGTTGTAGCTATAGCTAATGAACTGAGCCTAAATGACTAGGTAGTATTAATATGGTATTTAAATTACCAGGGACTGGGTCTAGTAATATTAGTAACAGCATACAGTAAATATTTAGAATAGATTGTCAAAGGTTGAACCGTGGTTAGTTAGGGGAGACAGTCTTGCGGGACGCTGGTTCTTGAAAGCATTTTGGAGCTTTTAGAAAATTGGCATTTATTAAAATTAGACAGATACTGTCCCCTTTTCTGTTATGATTTCATCACTAATATTTCCTCAAGCAGACACAAACATCGATAAGTAAAAACATGCCTGCACATTGTTATTCCAGTCGTAGTTCTTTTATTCTATATGGACATGACAAATGGTCTTCCACCTAATATTTCTTGAAGCAAATATATATTTTCAAACAATTTAAAGAATTATAGCTGATTCCTTTTGCAGAATTAAATTCATAAATGGATAAGTGGAGCCTTTTCTCGCTGCAGGTCATAGTGCATCTGCAGGTGTGTAATACTGTATATTGAAGCAGTATATTTCAGTAACATATTGTATGTGATGTTAATGTTGAAAAGTACAGTATAAATGCGTGATAGAGACACAGGGAAAGCATGATCACATTAACAAAAAACGTACATTGAAACAATGTGTTGAAATGGTTCTAAGTAAATATGTGCGGACACTTTGTTTTTCAGGTATGCTCCAGAGTGTCTGACTCACTGTAAGTTCTACCTGGCCTCAGATGTTTGGTCCTTTGGGGTGACAATGTATGAACTCATCACCTACTGTGACTCCACCAAGAGCCCGATGACGGTCAGTATGGGGTCATCTCTTTGTTGTCATTGCATTCAAGAACTACATCTAAACCTTGAATAGATTAACTGAATTTATCGCTGCATTCATTACATTGACTTACATTCATTTCCTGGTGACTTTAACCATAACAACTACTTGCCTAACATGAACCTAAACCTGACATTAAACTAAGTCTTCAACCTGAAGTGTAACAATTTACATCATGGGGACTTGCTTTTGTCCCCAAAAGGAAGGCAAGTCCCCACAATGTGACTGTGTAACAAGATTTACACACACACACACACACACACACACACACACACACACACGTATGTGGCAGATGATGTCTGTCTTTGGCCGGAGTGGCAGATGACATATTCCACCATGACCTGTGTCCAAACTACCACCTGTGCCTACGCTAAGAGCTTAGTTTTTCATTAAGTTTTTTCACTTACATAAGGCTATTTAACTGCCACTGTTATCCTGATTGACTAACAACTATTATTGGAAGGCAGTTAGTAATAAAGACCTGCACGAGTCACGTGTTGTATTTCGTCACGTTTCATGTCTAGGTAAAAATAGAGACCGTATTGGATAGTGTTGTACACTGTGCCTTTTGTAACCTGTCCTTATCCTCACCCACGCAGCTCTTCTTCGGTATGATCGGTCGAAGTCACGGTCAGATGACTATCATCCGATTGGTGAAGGCGTTGACAGAAGGGAGGAGGTTGCCACGTCCTGATGGCTGTCCTGAGCATGTAAGATACTGTCTTCTCATTATCAACATAAAACAATAATGACTCCAACAATAGTCAAGGTGTTCTTCCTCTGGTTAGAGGTGACAGACTCAAGAAAGAGTAGCGGCTTCTTTTGTATAGTAGTTCTTGATGTTCAATCATCAGCATCCTGTCGGAAAGGAAACGGGGAAGAACAAGGTTCCAAAAAAGATCAGAGCACCCAAATTACAAAAAAAAACATGCAGCTCATGTTCAGTTGTAGGAGAGCTAAACTTTGGCAGTAAACATGGCATCATTTTGATAAAGTAGCTGAAGGTTGCTTGTTAAGTAGCTCTTTACAGATACCAGAAATGTTGGTGATTAGAGACATCTGAAAATAATGTTTTATTTTTCATATAAATCAGGGCCACAATGACACTTCTATGAGACCCTGAACGACACAGTTGGCTCATTTTCTGAGTTATTTACCCCTTTACATGAAACATCTAGATTCTTAGTATCACTTAAAATATGTCCTGATAGTTTTTTGTGAAGTGCACATGAAATACTGCTTGTGATACTGGCAATATCATTAGTTTTACAGTATATAAGAACATTTACCTTAAAGTATACTTTAAAGTAGGGATGCTTGTTCCTGTATAGGCCTTGTTAAGCAGATTGTGTATCGACCAAGCCTGACTGTTCGATATTACAGTTTCTTCCTCAAAATCACTATAAAATTCAGTGTTTCTGCCATCAGTTACATGTCAGCCGCTGACTTATTTTCTAGCCACAATAATCTCTGGCTTCATATAAAAATAATCCCTGGAAACTTTAAAAATAGTAAAAAAAATAGTATCTGTACAACCACCACAGAAAAAGTTGTAGCAGCAACAGTTTGTACTTGCCGATGTAAACATGTTATCTTCTGCTGCTTAAGCAAAGGAGAACACTGCTGCAGTTTGGCGCCTGTAGGCAACACGTGTTACAGCTCAGACATGTGACTGGCAAAAAAGCAGGAAAATATAGTGCAGAGCATGGCTTGTACTGTGAAGCATAGCACAACAAGCAAAAAATTCTGTGCGGTAAGAGTGCTGTGCCAATGTTTTAGAGAATGTATAATTTAACTTTCAAGTAGCTTTAACACTAGCTGGCCGCTAATTTAGTTCATCCCACTAGATGGCGCTGATTATTTACTGGCGTCTGCCAACTGTTTGGCGCACTTGAAGGTGGTTACTACCGTAAAACTTCATTTAATAGCTGAGTCCCAAATAGCTGCCTACCACGTTTACTGGCCTGGTGTGGGAACACGTTTTGACAAATAAACGCAGGTCTCCATTAAACGCCTGGTCTGGTTTTTATATAAGTTCTTTGGATGTATAAAACCTCTTGAACCCCGCAGGGTTGCCCGCTTTAGCTGCTTAGATTGTTAATACAAATATTAATGTTTAAACGTATGATCAATATGTCAGCATGGACATGCTACACATCGTTAGATCATTTAGATTGTCCACAATTCAATCGTTCAGTTCATTTAACAGAAACAACAAGCCCCAAAGTCTAATTCTTAGAGATGTACCAGTGTGACCTGCATGGTACAAGAGATGGGGAGGGGGGAAGTGCCAATTCCCGTTACCTTTTGAAGCGCTCGTTAAGTCCAAATGGGTTCTTTCCTTGATAATTTATATTCCTTTAGTCTGTAAGGGTCCACCGATCAACAAAAGAATCAAAACAGCTTTTTAGGGCTGTCCCCGACTAAGGATTTACATAGTCGAATCAGAATTGTCAAGTCCTGCCTATAGTTGAATCACGTGTGTGTTTTTGTGCACGGTGATTGCGAGCCAAAGCTAAACTGAGGCTTATTGTTGACCATTTTCTCTCTCTCACCTGCCATTCACCGGTCTTGTGCAGAGTTTTTGCCGCGCTGCCGACAGCTGCATGCACGTCGCGGTTCCTTGTGGGTCTATTTCAAGTAGCAGCAGTTTTAAAAACGCTAAAATATTCTTTGTGTGGTTCATCACCGGTGATAAATTACCCGAAAGCCCTGCGAGGTGCGGACAACTCGGCACTACACAAGTGAAGCCGGGGCTCCGTCTCTTCAGCAAGTTTTCCTCTGCTGCCACTACATAAACGCTACACCTACACATGTGCATTGACGAGCCAGGGTTAGGGTTACAATTGTGGATTTATTCACGCACTTTAAAAACATTTATTGGAAGTTTTTTTCTTTTTACATGTTTATTTACAGCGTTAAACGTTGAAATGTGTATTGTAATAGGCTGTATATTAACTTATTGGGAGAAAACTGGTAGATCTATGTAAAATCAGACGTTGAGCACCCTCATATCGCCAAAATGGCATGATCCACGTTTCACTGCAAAGCTTCAACGGTGAGATTGGCAGTCGAATCAGGCTCCGCCCATCAAAGCATCGAATCTTCGACTATTCGGGGTCAGACCTACAGCTTTTCATAAAAATTAATCCAAGTTGTGAATACTGTCATGTGAAGTCCATTGCTCTCTATCTGCTAACTTCTGCCACACTTGTCTCATCCTGCACCCTGTTGTTGTTTTCGTTACGTTGCTGCCTTCAAAATGCGCATAAGCCGTCTGTCGGAGCTAGATCAAATGAATGACGTGTATTTGAGATTATTGTATATTTTTTATACAAGTAATATTCTGTTTGAAATAAACTGTTTCATAGTAGCCTATTTCAGTTTTGTGCAAGAGGAATTAAAGGCCTGTCCCATATTGACGCCTGTCCCAAATAACGGCAGGGTAACGTCAGTGATTTTAGCAAATAAAAGCCCAGGCTCTTAATCAGAGTTTTACGGTTTTTAGTTTCAATTAACCTAACTAATGTGTGCAATTTAAACATATAGTTTTCTGCTTAGTGACATAGTCACACTAATAGCAAACATGTAAACATAAATACATTATTCCCTAGCAGCACACCAGTGTACTGTGAAGTACAGTACAAGCAAGTACAGTAAAGGTACAAACAGCATGGCAAATAATCACAAACGTGCATGCCCAATTCGTCTTGTCTAATCCACCAAATAACTCAGACATAATTTCGCTGCAAACCCCACTTACTGGCAGTCCCCCCTTTTTATAAGTGGAATCCCAATCATTATTTCTCACGGGTTCTCCCCTGTTGTATTCGTAAAAACAGCTAACATGTTAGCAGTTGCTTTCCTTCTTCTTACCGCTATCATCAGCAGGTTGAGCTTGAGCTGAAGGCAAACATCCTTGTGGATACTTGGAAAGAAAAATCATAGAGAAATCTTCACGCACTTCAGTCTGTAGAAGTCATCAAATCCTCTCCATTTCAATTGGGAAGAAAATTAGGAAACATCTTATCCCTGACAGCTGCAGTTTCTTTGTCAGGTTTTACATTTTTACTACCTGTAATCTAATACTATTCATGTTCGACAGTTGTATGAGCTGATGCGCAGGTGCTGGGAGACCGCGCCGGAAAGGAGAATCACCTTTAAGCGCCTGGTTGAGGAGCTGACCGTCCTGCAGCAACAGCAGAAACCACAAAGTGACCTTTAAATGTCAAACTGTTTGAGGCTCTGGGAGTGAAGTTGACTTTGCGTACAGACTGGGGACCGAATGCAAAACTGGCCCTAGATCAGCTCCTGGTTGTCCAACTTCATCGCATCGAGAACTCCTGAAGGATCAGTGCTTCACACAAAGCCACAGTCTTTCATACACTCATATAAACCTTCCACAACTATTAAGACTTTTAGTGGTAATCAGCTATCCTTTAGTCTGCCATATTTTAAGTTTTATTTGATGCGCTCATGTTATATTTTTCTGTTGCTTCCTAATTTGAGTCGAAGTTTGACTAAAGTCAATTCTGTCAAATGTTGTAGCCTTACGAAGGACTTCCAGGTGTATCTAACGTATTTAGCTGTCGGCATTGGGAGAAATATCAAACTCACGTGCACTTGTCGGCCTTATGATTATGTAGACTGATATCACTGTCACTGATGGAAGCTTCAAAGACAGAAACCCGAGACCCGCAGAAAAAGGACCTGTTTTACGCTCCCTTTCACACAGTTAAATGGTTGTGTGGCAGTCTTCTTTGTGACGAGTGGCTCACTGATGAATCTATGGATGTGATAAAGAAGATGGGATTGGGCATTAACACAGATACTGAAGATCTGCTGTCTGGTTCATGGACTGTGTTTGGGAGAGAAATCGCCTGATTTGTGTTTCTTTTACTTTGAGAACCATGGAATGATCTCTGTCTATTCTGTTCATGATGTGCAGATGTCAGCAATGTCCTCTTACTGCATTGTTGACATGGGTTTTAGAGTCTGATAATGGTTTAATTATTTAGGTCATTTTTTCTGCTTTTCTTTGGATTAGACCATTGTTTAAGGCTTAAGGAAAGTATGACAGGCATTTGGCACTATTTTCATATATTTATAGATCAGTTAATCAAGAAAATAATCCAATAGATATAGCCATAATGAAATGTATCATTATTTACAGCCTGCATTGGTTAAAGGTTTAATAAATGCCTATCTTACCCATAGTAAGCAGACAACAATGAGAATCCTTTCTCTGTGAACGAGCTGTTTGAGCTGCATCTGCACAGGAATGGGAAAGCTATGTGTTTTTCTTCTATGGGTTATGGCTCTGTAATCATGTTTCATATAGCTTCATGCTCTTCAAACCACCAGGAATGGACCAAACAAAAAAAGAACTGGTTCACGGTGTTAAATCCAAACTTGGGATTTGCAAAGTCCTCTGATTGTTTCATGTGGTTCTGTTTATAATCTCAAATTTAGTTTGGTTTCATTAAATAATGTGACAGATCTTTTGTGCCAGATTAATCACTCCTAAATCCTCAAATATTCAGCACTTGTTAAACATGTTCCTTAAGAATGGAGAGATTATGATACTTGTACTTGTGAGAGACACTTGAGGGCAGTATCACTTCACTTTTTCTCTCTGTGGTGTATCTCCAGTTCAAATTTGTAAAGCTACAAATATTTTATGAAATGTCTTGTGTGTATGGTATTATACATGTATGCATACCATAATATTGCAAAAAAAAAGACAATTGCCATTGTTGCAGGTTGTTAATGGAAGGACCTGGTACACAAGGTTTTAAGTGAGAAAGATTCACATGGCATTTTGTTATTTGTTTTCAAAAATATTACTTTCAGCGTCATGAAACCTTGTATAATTATGTTTTTGCATTTTTTTTTTTTGTATCAGTTACTTTTTAATTCTCCAATATTCCAGACATTTTTAAAAGTATATTTTATCTGTATGTGTATGTGAAAGGGTTTGATCAGAGGGTTCTTTCTGTTTTAAATCCATCAGTAGACGTGAGCTGTGTAGCTCAGTCATTTATTATCGTCACTTCGAAATGGTCAGTTCCATGTAATGCAACTGTATGGTGTTTACTGTGAACGCTGACAGAAAAGGCAAAAAATAGAGACTGTCAAGAAGACAAAGTTGTGCTTCAGTCCACATTTTATTTAGGAATGTAAAAGACAATTCCTTCTGCTCAAAATATGAGAAAAGAAATATATTTTTTTTTTCAAAAAGACAAAAGTATGACTTATGGAAGGTAAAAGTATCCATAAATACACAATGAAAAAATAAATGAAAATCAATGTTTGATGTATTCTGTCTGTCAGTCCAAATGCAATATATTATAACTATTGAAAACAGTTTTATATATTACAGTCGTAAGTAGGCATGCTCAAATGGCTCTAGAAATACCTTATTCGCAGTAAAACAATAGCAATGTCAGTGTGATATTAAAAAAATGCAAAATCTACAGTATATTTCGGGTCAGAAAAAAAGCCACATAGGCTACTTAGAAAGCAAAAAACTGTGTACAAAGCAAGAAGCACATCAAATCTAGATTTCTCTACAGCCATTACCATGTGTCAGAAAATCTAAAATACTTGAGTATTGCAAAGCTTTGTGACACACACACACACACTCTATTGCAAAGTCCAGCCTCACCACTGACCTTGTGTAATATACAGAATACATACTGGTACAATGGCAACGCACTCAAGCTTCGAAGAGGCTGTTTACACAAGTCAAGAAAAATCTGGATTTTGACCTGAAGTGATTCAGATGTGTTAATCCCACAGAAACAAAAGGAACTAAACAAACTAAACTGCAAAGACTACAAATAAGACTTTCTGTTCTGATGTAAATGAGCACTCAACTGCATTTTCATGTCAGTACCATACAGCAGTTCTATTACAACTAAAGACCGAAAAATAAGCTCAGTTTGCATTGAAGCAGAAACAGGATTTATCCTGAACTCTCCGAGGTGCAAACTTCAGCTGGCTCATTTACAGGTTACCAGCGTTAGAAGAGATTCAAGAACATTCTACATTTTGTGTATATAAGCAGGCTTTGTTTGTGCTATGTTAATTTTGGGGGAACTAAGCCCCCCTTTGTGTACAATCATTATGAAGACATCACGTCTAATTGGTGGCACAGAAAAATGATAAAGAGATACAACCTTTTCCCAATAAAGAAAAGGCCTGATATTCTACAAAAGTAACTAATCACATACATAAAATATGCTTACTTCCCCAATTGTAGAAGTATTTGTATTTTATACTTTCCTACTGAAATTGTGGTAGGCAGTTAAAGATAATATTGTAACATCAGTTAACTTCCACAATGATATATTCAGTCTTAAAAAAAAGTCAAGTCAAGGTTACGAAATTGATTCTTTCAGTATCCACATCTTAGGATGGCAACTGACTAGAACTGTAGAAAGAAAACTAAACAATAGAAACTAGAGAATATACAAAGATTTATAACCACACATGCAAAGGTGCATTTAGAAAACTTGCAGCCTAGAATGACCTGTGAAACCAAACGGAGCTTGTATTTCCACAAAATCTGATTGGATGGCACAAATTAGCCATGAGAAAAGATTAAATATAATGGTAGGTGATGTGATGAAATGACAAAAAGTGTCAAGACTTTCTTAAATGACATTGAGCTGTGTCCCCTGAAGGATGTGGCCTATGAAGGTATTTCCTTTTTAGACTGAGGGCTGGTGGGACTCTAACAGCACCTCCTTTTCAAATAAGACCTTGTGGCTTTACAAAAATCAAAACTAAAAGGTGCATTAGGAACCCTTTGCCAACATATAAACTTTTCAAAGGTGTTAAACTCAGGCCCCAACTTAACTTTGAGGCAATGTCACATGTGCTAGATTCATGGAAAATAAATCTAGATTAATATCATAAACATCTATATGAACACCTTAACATCTGCGCTGGTACTTCCTAAAATCAAACAACCAACAGTAAGCATAAAACCAGAATAAAAACAAAATCAGCTGTCTGTGAGACAGCAAAACAAATCCGCTTACAGCGTCGGCGGTGGACAGCTGGACAAAGATCAAGGAGGACATCCATCCTCAAACAGAGACAGTGTTTCCATCAAACTGCTATTTCCAAGGTCATGAATGAACACTTAAGTTCCACTATATCTATATAACTTTTATTTAAGTCACTCCTTGTGTAGAGAACATTTCCAAGCTGTTAACAGGAACAAACTGTGGTGTTTATTCCTGGCTCTTCTACATCCTGCAGGGGCTTTTGTTTTTATTGATCCAGTTCACATGATAACTTGAGGACCACCCTTACAAACAACTGCTTACCAGTTACAAAGTTGAAAAAAATTGACCAGCCTGCAGTGAAGGTTTGGGAATCAGAGGGAGACTCCTCCACTCCTCCAAATCTGAAACGAACAAAGTGGCTCAAAATAACCCACACAACATTATTCCCGCCATGCTTTGTGTGTCAGGTAACATTAAATGACTGGCCCACAGACATTCAGCTTACTTTCTAGTTTGCTCAGTGTGTTAGCTTCGCAGCAACTGTAGTGACAATTTGCTAACCCACAACTTAGCTAACATTAGCTACATTACTTACTGTGTTGTTTGCTCTATATCATGGTATTTGTTATGGTGTTTGATTTCTCCAGAATCGCATTCCCCACCTTTAAGAGACGGATTTGTTTACAATTACAGAATATATGTATTATCATCAGTCTTATCCTTTAAATGTGATTGATGCAGAGCCAAAGCTGCCACATTTGCACATGCCATGACTGACAGGTTTGGAGGCTCGATGCCAACTGTGACCTTCTGTGTCTGTATTTTGAGCGGCTACAATTAGAGTACTGTCAGATATCTGTTCACCAGAGAGGGAGGAATGATGTTTGTCAGTTGGCCTGCGGTTAAAATGCACATTTTGATTGTTTTTCCTCTGTTGATATCGAAGAGGCTGGACATTTTACTCCACAGGAGGGACAATAATGAGCATAAAAAATAAGGACAACAATGTATTCATATATATTTGGATCACGCCAGGAGAAGTTGTGTGAGCGCGGAAGAGAGAAATGGTCTGCGAGAGTCCAACTAATACGAATACCACAGCATAGAGGAGACATTGGCAGTGTGTTGGAGTGTGTGTGTGTGTGTGTGTGCGCGTGTTTGACAGCTCTACAGGTACGTGCAACATGCAGGAGTCTGCCAGACGTAACCAACCAACTTCACTGAGCAAGCAGACAGAAGAGGAGAAAGCATATATATATATAAAAATCCCTGCAGGCTGAGCGGCTGATGGCAGCTGGAGTTGTTTTTCCATTCCTCTTTCTTTCCGCCTGTCTCTTCTCACCCCCATTACCTGCCAAGAGCACATTTTTAGAGAGCTACACCCACATCAGCACACACACACACGCGCACACCCTAAAATTACTGGCCCCAGCGCACACACAGAACCAGTCTAAGTAAACACCTGTTCAACTCTCGTTATCTGCAATTCTGGAACATTATGGAAGATGAGAAACGATGAAAACTATTGTGAGTAAACGCACGACAAATAGAAGCTTTTATCAATCTGCAAGTCAAGATGTAAGGGACAGGGTCAGATTTTTTTAAGCATAAATCATGTTTGGAGCCCAGATTGCTTAGTTTGTATATAAATCACTTCTCCAACTGTTCGGCAGTTCTTACAGAAAGAAAATGTGCCAACCAACACTTTCTGGCAAGCAGGCTTCAGCAGGATGTGCACATTAATGGATGTCATACCTTTCTCACACTTAAAAAAGATACAGGAAACTCGATTTAGAAGCAAAATGTCAAACAACAGCTAAAAGCCACCAGGAATCTCCAGTCCAAACACCAGCAGTGCATTTCTATTAGATGCAAATAAAATCAAGAGTACCACGAAGGAATCCAGCTATAGTCTGAGCCATATATACTTTTAACAAGCTGAAATGAAAATACCAAGGAACCAACCCAACAATGATTATGCTACACTGTGATGATGACCAACCACATGAGTTGCAAATGTATTGTATGTGTGTGCATCTCTGAGGCAGAGAAAGGGAGAGAGAGAACTGTTAGTTTAACGCTACCAACAAGCTGTTCCTTGTTACACGTCCGCCCAAAAGCAACAGCTGTAACGCTTCAGTATGAGTAAGTAAGTGCTCACTACTGCCAATTCCCACTCCATTTATAAAAGAAATTACCTGTTGCAGTTGCTCCACTACAGACAAACAACGGAGCTTCACTAAATCTTGTTTACCAACCCAGTTTGTTCGGTGTTTAGTTATGGCTGAAATTCAAGCCGTACACAAATACATCCCTTTTCTTCTTCACTTTGAATGAGTCGCTTGGAGGTTTTATGGTGAAAAATATGCTTTTCTTATAGTCAACTCTAACTAGCTAATTAGACTAACTGGACAATAACACATCAAAGAGAGTTCCATATTTGGACATTTTTCTGTCTGTGACAAAAATTATAGGTGCAACAGTTGATTGGTGCCATTGTTAAGACTTGTTGGCATGACCACCAACACAATAAACACCTACTGAGTGACAAGTTTCAAGTCTCCTGTACCTTTAAATGATTTTGAACAATGTAAAAGCAGATGGACTACACTGGAAAGAGGAAGACAGGGTGTAAGAGAGACACTTCTTGTTCAAGCCCAACCACTTTACTTGTGCTCTGTTGTCAAAATGAAAAGCCAAGGAAGCTCTACTGCACTCTCAAATCTGGACTTGCAAGATTACAGCTCAAATTTGATTTGTCTTCAATAGTTGTGACGTCCACACACAAACACATACATTCATACAGCTTTGCAGTATATGCAATCATTGCTTTAGAGCAAGTGCGACATAATGCAGAGAAAAGGCTGACACAACTGTATACCACTAAAATAATTCAGGCCTGGCTGACTTTAGTACCTGAATACATTGTGGCAGACAGCCGGACTGGAAAACAGATAGTCAGGAAGATAGACAAGCAGGCAGACGTGAAAAACAGAAGAGCACACAGTGCTGTCTAAAGTCTGCTACCTCAGCTGTTCACATCCGCAAACACAGAGGGCCTGTCTCTGGTCTGAACACACACACAGACATTTCTATCTTGCCTTTTAAAGAGGTGCAGGTGAGAGCAATCACCTGGCAGAAAGAGAGCACTGGAGTCCAGCTGGCTACTTTTCATCCACTCACAGCAGGAAGAAAATCAAACTGTGGCTCCGATTCAGGTCAGACAGCCAAATAGTGCAGAGGAACAGGTCGCCATAAAATGTGTCTAAGTGGTTAGAGCTGATTCAGGGAGGATCGGGTTGATAAAAGAGTGGTATGGGGGGAAACATCAATTAGAAAAGAGGGCAAAGTGCAAAATGGCTTCTAAAAACAGCGATGAGAGAGAGACAACATGTGAAAGTAGATTTGACTACAGACACAGATGGCTCAGGGAAAGTGAGGTTCTTTTTCCCCAAGTTTCACATTTAACAGAAAGTCCCTGTGTAAGCAGGCTGACTAACTGGATCTGTTGCAAGTTTCATTTGCTATTTCAAGACAGAAAAATCAACAAACCAGACTAAGTAAAAAGACAGTTCAGGTGTTGGAGCAGTACAGCAGGGAAGTTAAGTAAAGGGCTTCAAAGATGTTTTTAATTACAGACTAACACAACTGCTACTACGAATGGACATTTTGTTTTTGTGCAAAATGACAATAATGTATCCAGTTTAGGTTATTTATAAGTTCAAGCTAAAAAAAAAAGAGTAATGTTTTTTGTAATGTTAGAAGAAGACAGTTACTGTATTTATTCAATATGCTGAACCTAAGTAGACAGTTGTGGCTGACAGAGCACTTAATTAAAGGAAATCAGTTGCAAAGACACACTGAGAACTAATTTGAATTTGTTGTAAGGTGTTAATTTCACCACATTTAGAAATATTTTAAAACATTTAAAACAAATCACCAAAATAAAAGCATTTTAAATTAAGCAAAAACCACTAGAAGTCATTCAAAATCATAAAAGAAACAGACAGGACACAAGCCACAATAGTGCAAAGACAAGTTAGTAAAACTAGAATAAATGGAAATTGAAAACAGAAAGGTGTGCTAAATAAAAAGTTTGAAACTGAAGAAAATGGTGGAAGAAAAAATTGGCAAAGTGGGACACCATCAACTGTGTCTGGATTTGGATCCTGCTGTGAAAGTGCAAACAGTAAGAGTTTATGGTTAAAGTGTTATTTGTCATTAATCCAGGAAAAACAGTGGAAAAAGGCTTCTCGAACGGGTCAATGGTAATATACAGTACATTAAAGAAAAGATGGGAGCCACTGAATGCAAAAAAGTGCTGATATGCTAAATATGTGCACACATATAGGTATTCAATGGACACAAAAAAGGCTTTGATCGGCAGCTACTCTGGCTGATCCTCTTCTTAGTCTTTGTGCTGATATTTAGCATAAATATTTTACATTTTGTTGCATTCTAAGGCTCCCCTCCTTTCTTTTCTTTGTATTGTTCATATCCACCATAAAATATTCCATAGATGCATGCTTTAAAATGTGTCACAGATGCACGTTAAATATGATTCACTAGACATGTGACACCATGAAACACATCAAAGTAAAATCGAGTTAGAAAACATGTGTGGATAAAGGGCAGACAGCAAGAGTCGACAAAGAGGTAATGGAAAGACACAAAGAGTAGAGGGATATGTATTGCCCTTAGTTTAATGTTAAGCCATTTTATTAGTACTTGCGTACCTGCACACCACCGCTCCTACATCACCAAAGACACTCAACTCTTCTATTATTCTATTATTGTGTCCGCACATGTAAACATCATGTACTGTACATCCTGTTTACAACAAGCTGTTATCCCAGAAACTCACACCACATACTTAACTGATGTGTATGCTTTATCCGATCTCACCTCCTATTGGGTTTCACAGTGTGTGAGCGTGGTTGCCATGACGATACCAGTAATATTCTGCTCTGTGTCATACAGTCATACAGATAGTTACAAGCAGAATACAAAGACACATATAAAGAAAAAAAAAGCTTTTACCAAGTGTATGAGCTATTACGTAGGAGTATATAATGCTGTGTGAATGGCAAAACATTTACACTGGGAAAGAAACATTTTACATTGGACTTTCTACAGTAGTAGGAGCCTTAGTTATTGCCGGTGTGTTAGACAAGAGGTCTGTGCACATAACAAACCTAATGTTCAAGCTGTAATATTAAAATATCAAACCCTCGCCTCAGTAATAAACATCAAACAAACCTTCTAGACATTAAGTATAATTGAGTTCACAGCTTTGATAATGGCAGTGGTAAAAACGGGATTGAAATAATAACAAAAATAGTTTTAAAAAGTATTTTTTCACAAAGAATAATTTCTCTTTGTAAAAGCAGTCGGAAAGAGATCACCTATAACATTTATAGTTGGCTTTTTTTTGTTTCCCCAAAAACGTTAAATCAAAAGCTGCAGAAATTCTACCAGCACACATTAAAAAAACACAGGCATGGTGGCATGTTATATAGTAGCATGTGATGAGCAAAACATTTTTGAGTTGGAAAATTGTACATTCCCTCAAATGATAAAGACTGTGTCCCCATCTCATACTACATACCAATCATATTCAGTATATACTTATATATACTTGTATATACTGTTTTTGCAGTCAGCATAGAAACAAATCAACACAGTTTACTCTTTTAAAAGGAAATGATGCAATATGTGCATCATGCAAATGCAATAAAATTGTCACTTTGGAATATCACTACCAATTCAACTTCACAAAGAGACAGCAACATAGTTTGTTCAGGTGTTCCTGGAGCTGATTCACTAGCATTAACCATTAGTTTCATTTATTTTTTCAATCTGTAAGCAGCTCGCCTACTTCCATAAAAAAACTCAGGGTTTTTTCAAATGCATACTGAGTGATTTGAGTAACTGAATTCCCTTTTTTGTTGCTTTGGCAAACGCGCTACATCCTCAAAACCTGCTTCGAGTTAGTGTGTAGTATGGATTCGGGACACACTTACAGCCTCAAACCATAGCTCCTGTTACAGTCTCAACAGATCAAAACACCCAAATGGGTTACAATAGATAGAAGAGAAGAGAAAAGAAGAAAGGACTGTGCCCTATTATTTGGCTTAAATGTTAAAAACCAAACCAGATAACTACATTAAAGTCAACACATTTGATTAAATATTAATAAATTACTTGAATTGCCTTGGATTATTATTATATTACAAATATATATCAGTATAGACTGAAAAAAAGCAGACATGTAATAAATGCTTTCCTTTCATTCATGTAGTACAATACGCTCACAAAAGGAGCTGGGAAATGACCATTATATAGGATATTGTCTGACGCATGGCTTTATATATTCTGTATTACACACGGTATTTACACCAGCCTTTTTATTTTATGATCCAGTCTTTCTAAGAAAGTCCATTCATTTAGGGAAGCTATTGTAAGTCACCACAATTAAGGGCGTTGATTAGTTCAGGCCCTTTTTTTCCTGATGTGCTCCCAAACCTTGGGATTGAAATGGCTGACACTTCCTACAGAAACAGCATATCAGCACGTGTAAACACACACACACACACACACACACACACACACACACACACTCTCCACGGGGGATATATAAAAGAGGAACCTGGGCCAATAAAAGGAAAAGAGAAAGGACACTGAAGCTAGAACATACAAGTGTCAGTTCGACTGACTAATCAAAGAGTGAGTGTGCAACGCCAGACACATTTTTCTTTTGAAAGGAGACAGAGAGGGATAGACTTGACTGGAAGACCAGTCCTATGACAGTTTCAGCAGGCAGACATGTCGCCTGGCTGCAAATACAAAAGCAGCTTATACGTACAGATACAGAATACTTTAGTTTACATTATACTAGAAAAAATGTACATGGTAATATTAGTTTTGCACAGTTGACACACTGAGAAACAACATTTTAAATTTAAGAGTTAAGGCTTGAACAGGACAAAAGCAACACCATGTTTGTGTGCATGTGTGTGCGTGTGTGTGAGAGAGAGAGTGTGTGTGTGTGTGTAGTGCCAGGATCAAAGAGCACTATGGCTTACTTTCACTTGAGCCATTTGCAACCCCAAATTCTATTAAACTCAATACCTACTGTAGGGATGCAAAATGGCTGCCACAGAAAGGCCACTAGAGGGAGCTGTGAGCAGATGCTGAGTGTGTTTGCCTCCCTCCATAAGCTTTAGGCTTTAAGGTGGTTTTGGTTCATACTAGAGCCTCTTCCTCTTAAAGTAGTCAGCATACTGCCCTCCCAGGCCTTGGGAGTGCTGCCCGATGTAGGCACCATCTGATGATGTAATTTCCTGCACTGCCAGCTGAGGGTACTCCCTCTTATGGCCCCGTGTCTGGTTCTGAAGAGACAGGAATGAGAGAATAGGGAACAGTTAGAGGTGGATAAATGGTTTATTGCAGCACTTAGGACTTAGCACTTAAAGGAACAGGTTCAGCTGCTGTTGCACAAGTTGTAAAGTCACTTGTCAGGTCGTCGCTGATGTCAGATGTCTTGTTTTTTCATGACACTGCAAACTCTTTAAAAGATGAGTCCATCAAATTTCTGTGCCTTTTCGGAAACTTTCACAAGTCAAGAAAAAATAACTAAAAAGCCAAATAGTAAACCCTAGACAAATCTTAAATTTAAATTAGGCGACATGCATCATAGCAGAGAAGCGTCCAAAAAATCACTGATTTGGGATCAAATTAAACGCATAACTTAATGTTACATTGTTTTTGTTATTTTATACTGTTTGAGTTTTAATGCAATCACAAAACTCAGTACTTTATTATTTTTATTTACTTATCTATACTATATTTGTAATTTCCTATATCCAGTTCTAATTGTTATTTAGAAATACAACCACACTTTTTCTTGTAATTGTTGTGTTTAGAATTGTTTCAATAAAGAGAGTGAGAGAATTTGATCTAGCTAACTTTACATGAAAGTGGTTAAGAACCAATATCTGTACATGAATTTAAGATTTCTTCTCTTATTCCTCTAACTTAATACAACACATTTTTGAACATAGGTGATGCAGATTTGGATATATGGGATGATGAATATGACATTATGTTTATATATAAGATAAGATATATGTTTGATATTTTGAAGTATTCTTTTGTACTACTGCTTTTCTCTGTGTACCTTTTTCTACGCATTTTATTGGATTGTTAATTGTTTTTGGATGTTCACAGGACAGCTCGTCAGGCTGTAGGTGTGCATGTTGTATTAATGTGGGTGTGGTTTCCATTTTTCAAGCATTCTGACCTGACGAAGATCCAAGTAGGATGGAAACGTTGTCATTATTAAACTTTTGTGGCATGAAGTACGAGTGCAAGCGTTACCTTTTTTCATTGAAGTTTGTTAACCCCTTAACGCAGACTGTCGCATCACACCGCTTCTTTTCAGACTGCAGCTGAGATAGTGTGTGCATTCCCCCAATGCCTGTTTATGCATATTCGATACGTACCTAGGAACCTTTTGCGAGTATTGGTTTCTCGTTAATGCCTGTTGTCGCTAATTTGCATCATACCTACATCATACCTGAATTTATATCTTTTCTATGTTCTATAGACAAATTAAAAAAACTCCACTTAATTTAGCATCAGCTTGAAAGAAACTAAAAACAAAAATAATAAATTTTCTTATGTTATTGTAAATAAATTCAGGCATCAAGGGGTTAACAACCATAAATTGAAGTTTACAGAACTGAAGTAAATTTAATGCTGAAAATCCAAATATTAAAATACTTTAATTCTTCTCCATTATGGGGATTGTGCTTATTCATGGGCTTGTAGTGCTTTTGTTGACTTGGTATTCTTTTGTTTTTTGAGTGGACTGCCTAAATGAGCTTCTGTAGTAAAAACAAGTGCTTATCTACAAACTACTTGTTTAAATTTAAAAGCTGGACACCAAACATTGTTTTCTGGTGTGTAGCATTTTACTGAAATGAGTGCATGCTTACTGATGAGAATACTGTCTACAGTATGTTTTCATCACTATATTGTTAGACACCTCCAGCTGGAAAAACTGAAGATGAACTTAAATATATGGAAAAATAAATGTAACGAGTTGAGGAATTTGACAGTAATGCAAACATCCTGTGTTTGTGTGTCTAACAGTCTAAAAGGTGTTAGCTCAAGTAAGGGAGGGCCACAGAGGCTGTCTGTACAAACAAATGTAAATCTTTCTAGAGTCAAGGTTTAGCTCAGGCGTCTGGATCACGTCTGCTCACTTCATCATGCTCTCTGTCTCTCTCAGAGTCCTCTCCTCCTCTTCTTTGCTTAAAAGTTAAACTGTGAAGACAACATTAAAGGCTGTCCTGTAGCTCTATTGCCACATCTCAGGAAAAAAATGCCACACCAAGCTGTTAATAGAACACACTATCTCCATAGTCTACAGTGGTTCCTAAACTCATAACAACAAAACAAGCAAACATTCATGGAAAGTCTGACAAAATGAACAGAATCTTGTGTTACAGGGAAAAGAAAAGGCTGCTTCTGTCTTTTTTATCCTGTTAATCATGTCACAACCTGTATGAGATGAGTATGTTGTTGTTCTGTGTGCTGGTGCTGAAGGAATGTACATTACACTGAATTTATCATGGAGGAAGTGTTGACTTTGCATTAACAGCAAACAGCATCAACAGAAAATTAAAATGGAGGCATATCAGAAAACAGCTGTTGCTTTTACTGTGAAGCAGCTACAGTAAAGCGAAGGGTGATCCTGATACTCTCAGAGATTCAATAACTCATTCTTTAACACAAACACCAGTGTTATGACCACTACTGACCACTCACACATTACATAGTTACAGATTTTTAAGATAATAGTCTGTACTAATATTTATTATAATGTTTTTGCCTTTGTGTAAGGATTATAATTACACATAAATGCATCCAGTTCTGAATTATTACTTTAAAGTCAACAAGCTGAACAGCGATCTTCTCCCTAAGCTCCTCACAGTCAGCATCTGCTGCACACTAATATCAGAAGTCATGGGGAAAACACTAAAGTAGATAGCTGCAATATGAAATGTTTGGATTTTGTCACCTGGGCTGAGCAAACTCACTTTAGACTGTCAGTTCAAAATGGGGGAAAAAAATGGGAAAAGACAACAAAAAAGCCAAAAGAGGTTTTATTGAGCTTCACTCACAGATGTATTAAAAGTGTCCCATGCTATATAAGAGTGTGAAATTTCTCACATAGTAGTAGGTGTTCCAGTCAGTGGCGGCAGAGTGTGCGTGCGTGCCAGGGGTTGCTGTGGCTGCCACCGGGTGTGGTGCCCCGAGGAAGCCGGGCATTAAAGGCAGGGTGCTGTAGGCTGGGAGCACGGCAGCAGCTGGTAGGACGGCCGGTGGAGGGGCCGCGCCATTACTGACCGCGTGCAGAGAGACTCCTAAAGGCTTACACACATCTACCTCCTAGAAAAGACACACACACACACACACACACACACACACACACACACACACACACACACACACACACACACACGAACAGTAGGTGGCAAGTCAGTTGTTAAGGTGGCATACTGTTGTTGAAAGCACCTCAAGATTTCACAAAGTGACTAAGTATTTTATTTATTCATTCATGTTAACCTTTGTGCCCCCTGGTGGCTATAATGAGATATACCTATGTATACAGACGACACACTCAACATCAGTTCAGATTTGTTTAATGCCAGGAAGAACGTTATGTCCAAAACCCTTCGTATCATTTTCTCCACCAACAGTGAGCTTAGTAGACTGTGACAGTAACTCTACTCTACCATGCAACAAAATCCATGGGTGCATCTTCAAGCCAACACTTCACACCCACACACACCCTCCAGCAGCAGATAAACCTGGAACTGGCTGCTCAGGGTGTGTGGAGATGTCTGGTATCAGCTGCTTGGTGCAGAGTGATGCATTCCCTCTAACAGGGTATCAGTGTCTTAGAGAGAGGTCACTCTCTCCAAATAAATGCTGCTGCCCTGAGATCATTTACACCTCATCTGCAGGACAGGGTGCAGTTTGACTCAAATAATCAAGTTAGGTTTTAAAGATGTTCTGTTTTATACAGAGCCCGCCAGGTATCATAGATCAAATTTTCTGATAATTTGTAGAAAATAATTAGTAATTTGTATGCTAGGCATAATAACTTCTGCCAATAACTTAGCAATTCACAGTCTCAAACTAATAATTTTGTGCCCTCGAAAGATGTGCTGTCAGAACAGTGGAGTAAAGGTTTAATGTCTCTGAGGGGTAAATTGTTATGCAAACAAAAACAACAGTCAGTAAATATTTGATACAATAATAAATAAAATGGCAATCTATACATACATACATATGCAGCTAGTCATGTCTGAATAAAGCCAGCTATGTTATGTATTTAATTTCTGAAAAAGTGTGTGCTCTTTGCTGCCATATGTGACAATCTTGGGTGGCCCATTTAATGTGGACATACTGTGCTCAGAGTTTTGGCTGTTGAACACAATGCTGCGTTGTCTTTTACCATACCAACTTTACCTTTTCACCCTCAAATTAAAAATGTGTATTCACTAAATTCGAGGAAACAAATTACTAATATGTATCAAACTTTTATCCCCGACAGATGCTAGGTTAACTGATGATGATGATAACTGAAATGAGTACCTGTTGGAACTCTGTATGAGATTCTGAGTTCAGACCTTGAGGGGGTTTTGTCTCTTCAAACTGCTGTTTACGAGTTGGTCGTGGGGATTTATGGTTAGAATTTATGCTTTGGTTGGGGTTAAGTATGTGTGTACCTTGGTGGCGTAGGCCTGGTTGGCTGTTGCAGGCTGGGAGTAGTACTGAGTGACCGCCTGCATGTAGGAACTGTAATCCCCGTAGGTCGACACTGGTGGAGCCTGGTACACAAGAAGGTTATTTTACAAATGCTGAAGTTTTCATTGTATTTTTCTAGTGAAGAGTTTTGATATGCATCATTTTTATTGTTTTTTTTCCTCTCAGAACATATTCTGAGCTGCCCCCACCACCAGAGGATCCTGCGTTCTGTGACTTTAAATGAACAGTGTCCCAGTGTGCGAAGCTATGATCCCACACAGTTCCAAATGAGTGTGTGTGTGTTACCTGTGTGTGCTCCTTGCTGTAGTCTGTGGCCGTGCTGTCCTGTGGAGCAGCAGTGGTGTAGGTGTGAGCTTGTGCTGCTTGGTAGTGCTGGTACCACTGCTGCATGGCCTCCTAAGACACACACACATCAGCAAACATCAGGTGAAGAGTGGCTGGAGCAGACAGATGAACGTTTGCTCAGTAATTTTCTTGTCTTTGCCGATTTTGACTCCTTTATTTCTGTTTCTCTCTCTTTCTTTGTCATTCATTAACTATTGTTCCTGCAGACGGCCCTCCCCTGTTACTCTCCTTTGTCTCGTCTTTCCAGACAAATTAAACAAACCATTTTACTGGTTATCTAATCATGATTCATTTGTTTGGATAAGTAGATTGCAATTAACATTTAAAACAGGGATTGTATCGCGCTGCAAATATCAGATATGTCACTTGCTGCTGGAGGAGGCAGAAAGAAAGAAAGAAAGAAAGAAAACTGCCAGTAGGGAGGATTCATGACTTGTTCATAGTGAAGTATTGAGAGAGAGGAGGGGAGCAAGGACAGATGGAAAGACAGCACTCCCTGCCAAATCCTCTCTCATTCTGTCTGTCCAAATATCCAAACCCATTCTCATCTCATCCACCTCCCTGCCTCCTCTAGTCACAGCTCATTCTGTCACTGCTGCACTCATCCATCCACTCATTATGTATCAATCCAGCCATCATCTATTCAGCCATCTTCCCTCTCTTTTAGATTTTGGGCCAAATAACACTTAGCACAATGCATCTATCACCATATTTCTTCATTTGATTCTCTGTACAGTGTGTCTGTGTGTGCTGCAGTACCTGTGTGTAGGCCTGGTTGTATTGGCTGTAGTCAGTGGAGGTATCAGAGGTGTATGGGGCTGTTGTTGTAGCTGCCGCGCTGTGGGAGAAGGAGCCAGAGCCCTGGGAGACGACGGGAGCAACTGAGGTGCTGTAGAGCCCGGAGCCTGGCTGTCCTCCCTGGGCTTTACTCCCCACTGACCCTGAGCAAAAGTGGAGGGAATCATGAAGGATGCACAATAAAGTAGTTATGTTTTGGGTATTCACACTAATATAGGTGTCAACACTGCAAAATATCTCAAAGGAATACTCCAACAGAAATCTATCTGCTTGTGCCCTTGAAACTTGGCTCCTGGACGGTTTGTAGCTTGTTCCTACATGGAGGACAGCATCTGTAGTCTGTTTAGATTAACATCTGTGAATGATCCAGGAGCATGATCCCCTTCTCCAGACTTGCCCTGTACAGTATCTTCAGTATGTACCAAACAATCCTCGCTCAGCTTGCGGACGAGCTCCGTAGGTATGAAGAGGCGATTGTGTGACATAGAAGCAATGTATTTAGCGCTGTTGTGGTGAAACTATGAGTTTTTAACATACTAAACATACAGACCAACAGTATTTGATGCTCAAAATATAGATTTTTGGGAGAGTCATATAGTTTTGTCCTATTTTTCTTAATAGAGGTGAAAGATTTTGCCCATAAGCCAACCTAACTTGTTTCATGTACAAATAATGTGTTAAAAAAAATCAACTTGAAAAAAGTCAGCATCTTCATATTAGTGGAGTGATCACTTTAATTTCTATGTTTAAGCATTGAACACTACGGAATTCATATGCTTTTGCTGAATGTTTGAAAGTACTGAGAGTGCTACCTTAATACAGCTGATTGCACAAACAATAGGATAAGAGAAAGTGTTTTCCCTTTGTTTGTTGTGTGCTGGTGTGCTCACCTTGCAGGACCACCCCTGGCATTACGCTGGCCAGGTTCAGGTAAGGATTGGAGGGCAGTCTGACTTCTTTAGGAGGATCGCCCAACAGAGAGCTTTGACCAGTGCTTACCTAAAGAGAGAGAAAGAAATTTAAATGGTTCTATTCACAGTACCATTAGCAGGTCCTGCAGGTCAAAGAAAACATACTTCAGTCTAAGATTTCAGGCATATAGTTTTGGTTGTTTTTTTACAGAAAATTTAACTAATAGTCAGTCTGCCGTTCAACCTCTGATCCACTACTTTACGTCCTTTCTACACTCTCACTCATACCAACAACAACTTAAGGATTTTAATTTTTTAATGCTGCAAAGATTCTGATGAGGTGCAGAAGAGGCTGTGGAAATCTGAGAGGACTGTACTTGCCGTTAATCACACATTTTCTCCATTAAAGACACTTTAGAGAAGGCAGCGCTGGGACTAGAATCAGTTCCCCTAAGAACTTCAGTGCGATGTGATTATTTCTGTACACTGACTTATTATAGATAATGATGTTAGTATAGCAGTGCTTTATTTAAACCAGGCCTAGTGAAAGAGAGAGGAGCACAAAAGCAGATAGCCATTCATTGTGTGCAGAAAGGCATTAAGGTGAACAGACAGGCAAGCACGGGGCAGGTAGACAGGCTGACAGGGCTGAAGAGAGAAGACTGGGCAAGCGAAGAGGCAGACAGAAGTGCATAATGGGAATTACCCAAAGTAGGAGCCCCTGGGGGACTGAGACTGTTTATACATACACTCACTTGATGTGCGTGCTTGTGTGTTTTGAATGAGATTGAGACCCAATGAGATTAAATCAGGAATAAATACTGGTCCACAAGAGACAGATGGGGTAGAGGGGTAGAAAGAGAGAATAGTATAGAACTGCAACAAGCAATTCTTCTTTAAATGGAGCTGTCTATAAAATGTCACTAAATAGTCCACAAATGTGTCCTGCTTTTGATTAAAGTTTGTAAAGTGTTACATCTTTTATTCCTATATTTTATAATGTATTTTTCTTTTATTACTAGTACTAACTTGCTCTACTCTGTGAGGCTATGTCATTTCTTTATTTAACTTTTTGCCTGGGATATGTAGATTTAGACTCCGTCTGTTAGCACAATATCATGCATGTAAGTTAGCCATTATGTGCACATTTAGGATCCTTTTATAAGATTCTACTTTTAAAACAAGTCAAACCCATGAAACTAGAGTTGGCCTAATTAGTAAGCTAGCTACAGTTGATAACATCTGCCAGTGACCGTTTTAAGTCATTTCAGTTGGTCGTCTGCATGTGATGAGAAGCTGCTTGTGTCTACCTCTTTCTGAAATTAAGGACCCATTGTTCCAAATATTACTAAGAATTTTGAACAGAAACCAGTGTAGCAACAGCAACTAAGGGGGACGGGGCTTAGTGAACGGTTAATTTCTAAGAGACTTCCTTGTTTTGTCCAACCACTAGTCCAAAATACATCAAGTTCTCTATTACTATGTTTTTAAATAGAGAGAAGCAGAATGAAACACTCAGATAATAATAATGATAATAATAAAACTCATTATCAAAAATATGTGTCGATTATTTTTCTGTCAACCTGAAAGATTCAAAGAGATAACGACACACAAAAGAGATTCAGAAGTGACAAAGAATAATGCGAGATGCAGAAGTGGGGTTTTATAGCCCAGCGGTGTTCTGTGTGTGTATTTGTGATCGCTGTGCTCACCATGTTAGCCAGGGGGCAGCCATCTGAACTGTTGTGCTGGCCTGTTGACGTATAAACTCCTCCAGGGGGTATAGGTTGAGGCGGGCCAAGGCCTGAGTTACTTATACCCAAGGAATAGCTCTGTCCCTGCAGATGGGAGCTCATCATGGTCCCAGGAGGAGCTGGCTGCCTGTCACAGGGGGTGGAGGAGGAAGAAGAGGAGGAGGAAGCACAAGGGTTTGTGGAGATAGAATGGGTGCTGTTTTGTTCTCCCCCTCCAGCTCGACCTTGGAGATATGGCATCACACCTGCTGCTGATACCACTACTGTGGCATTGTGGGTAGATGATGGCACTGACTCCTGGCCCAACTCTGTAAGTAGAGAGAAGAGGAGAGGAAGGGAAAGAGAAGAGAAGGAAAGAAGAAAACGGACGGGAAGGAAAGGAATGGAAAAGAAAGGAAACAAAAAGAAAAAGAAACATGAAGAAACAAAGGAGAGGAGAAGGTAAGAGGAGAAGAAAGGGAAATGAAAAGGAGAAGAAAAGAAAGCAAAGGAGATAAAGAAAAAGGAAAAAAAAGGAAGGAACGGCATAAAAGACAGCCCAATGTAAAGTAAAGGAAATTAAGTGAAGGGAAATGAAAGCAAGGAGAGGAGAGATGCCAGATAAACACGTGAAATGACTTTCACTGATGACCATCAGCGTCTCTGTCTCCTCTGGGCAGAGACGAATCATTCAGATGGCTGGAAACTGAGAGCTCAGCCCGACCATCTCTGTAGAGCCAGCTGTAATATTTGAGAATGGCTTTCCTGCTCATACATCATCACTTATCATGTTTATTTATGGCTTTGCTCCACACTCCCAAAATTTCACTCACTCCAGGGTTTAATAAACACAAATATGTACACACACACATACACATATACATATACATATATATATATATATATATACACACACACACACACACACACACACACGCAAAGAAAAACATATACAGACACAAAAGCAGGACCACGCAGGATTTAAAGATGCACAAGGTGAATACACACACACAATCACACTTATTATAAATCCAATATTGCTGTGACAAATGGCCTCCACAGCACAATAAAAGAATCACCCCTAAAAGCCTTAAGCTAACAATCCCATGCACTGATAAAAGCCTCACATTACAGACACACACACACTCACACACAAAATTGCAAACTCATTCACACTATCAGAAGAACACACGCTCATACACAAATACATCCGCACACATACACACAACTGTTTGTGTTTGTGGATACACAGACTGTGGTATATAATTTACATTTAAAACAACACAGTTTTTCTCAGCTAGAGATCGGAATTGTAAATGTGCCGCAGTTTCCTAGATGTGTTGTGCAGTAATGTACAACTGTGAAACATTCAGTAATCTGCAGAGGGACATCTCTGACACCTGACACTAACACATTGTGATTGGGAGTCATTTACGTTTACAAGCATATCACACTCTTCTTCTGTGTTTACATCCTTTTTTTACACCAATTATTGTTCAAGAACCAGCTGCTTTTCTTTCACTTTTAGTAAGAAGAACGAGCATTTTTTATTTATTTTTTTTACAACAGAGAGAAGTACCTGATATATGCAAATACTCTCTGGGATACTGAGGTATATGTACACTTCATGGCTTGAAAAGGGTGGTCTCAGCTTGGGTTTATGTGAGCTTCATCTTAAAAGTAAAACTTGGTTTGTCTTGTGTGTGTATATGAAGTTACATACTCGTACAGCTTGCTTATCTTAGCATCCCTAACAGGATATTGACTTTGAGTTGAGGCACATTCAAGGTGGCTGTCGAGATTCAACCATGAGGGTAAATCTAAGAGGTTCTGTTTTTGGTGGACGTGAGAGGATGAACTGCTTTTATTGCACCTGCTTTACCATAGGTCTCATTAGTTTGCAGTAGTTACACCAAGTAGTTTCACCAAGTAGTTTGGCAAGGGCATACTGATACTCAGCCATGCTTACCTGTAGGAGAGTCTCCCAGGAGGCCTTTCCCCAGCGACACAAGACCTGGAGACCGCAGAGACAAAGCTTTCTGCATCAGCAGCCTGGACGGGTCTCCGAGCAGACTGGAGACCTGCGGAGGCAAGAGGAGGAGATGGAAGAGCATTGTGTAAACACAGAAGGATAAGGAAAACAGACGGGAGAGGGGAAAGGTCATCAAAAGAAAATGGGAGAAGGTGGAGAGAGAACAGATATGACAAGAGAGATAGGAGTGAGCGTTCAATTATCATGCAAACTAGGGATGGGTATCGCTACTCGGTATTGACTGAAACAGCCCAGTATCGAGTAGAATCAGAACGTCAGTCAAACTAGTACTTCAATCGATACTTTTTGTAACCAGATCATGGCAAATAATTACTATTTGTTTGATTTTACTTCCAGCCAAACACACAAGCAACACACCGAAAGAGAAGAGCACGCCTTTTTTCCCCCTTATGTGCCTGCACCATAAACTGTATTAAAAAAGGCCTGCATGCGCCTAGTCCATGATTTTAACAGCCCCTCCACCTTCGGCTGTGGTCTCAGGTATATTCCTCACTGTTGCAATCTTATCACCACAAGCTTGGCTTTCCGTTGGTTTCATCTTCTGGTATCATTTAACACTTCTCTGTCCATTTTTATTTGCTATTCATATCACCTGTTACTGATTCATCACTGCGTTCCATCTTATTAGTTAAATGCTTTTTGTGGTGCAGCAGCGATCAGCTGATTTTACTCACGGAGCCGCTGGCTGCAGCTGCTTCAGGTGTAGTTGGTTTGATTGGCTTTGGCGTGATAGACCCGGGTTCAATTCCCCACTGTGACACATCCGCCAATGTGTCCCTGAGCAAGACACTTAATCCTAGATGCTCCAGAGGCGTGCGACCTCTGACATATATAGCAAATGTAAGTCGCTTTGCATAAAAGCGTCAGCTAAATGAATAAACGTAAATGAAAGTTATTGAAATTTTCCGTTCAAAAAATTACCTTGAATTCGTTTCCCACAAAATATTTGGTCACAAAACTATTTCATTCCTCTCATTTAAATATAAAAATTTTGCAAGCTATATTCTTTCCCCATATAATACTACCCATGAGGATGAACTGATTATAGGACGAGGAGGGATCTGATATAATTTCCCAATACGTTTAACAGTTATTTGAAACAAGAAAAAAAATGTAATAGATAGGCTAACCTTCCTTGTCCATAACAACAATAAAAATAATAATAGGCTGCTAATCAACTTCTATGCTTTCAAAAGGTGGCATTTTATGCAAGGTATCGAATGAAGTAGGCCTACTCTATTGGTATCGGTATCATTTTAAAGGTACTGGTATCATAAAATTAAACGATACCCAACCCTAGTTAAGTCATGTGAAATCTCTCTTCTTTTTCGTCTCCTCTCTGCCTCTGTGTTTCCAAAACGTCTGGTGTGTATCTCAGTCACAGACTCGACACGCAATTTTTATCGTAATGCGCAGATTTGATTGGCTGAGTAGCATCACATGAGACGATTGGAACACATGCAATTGGTCTGTGAGTTTCCTGCGCTGCTAAACCAGTACAGTAAATGCTAGAGAAGCTGTGCGGGTTAAAATAGAAACGCTCCGTCAAGAGGTAGTAATTCTCCAATTAGTGACCTCTGCATTACACCTACTAAATTGCGTGTGCATTCTAAAATATTGCACATGCAATTATAGTACCTGTTATGGGTGATTTACTAAGAATTATTGCGTAGATGACAACAGGAGCAAACACAATGGAGGTGGGAGTATTTATATGAGGGTTTTGCATGTTTTAATGGTTTCCGCCATGGAGAGTCGGGAGGGAAAGCAGCCGCAGCGTAAAAACCTTGGTTTGTTTCGTTCAGTGCGTCCCGAGTATGTGGAAATCGTATGTACCTGCCTTGGCCAGCACACTCCAGCACACATGGAAAAACTGATTTGGGAAACCCCAGCAGAAACAGATACAGTATGCTGGAATGACAGACGCGAAGTAATGCCAGCAGATCGTGCTTCATCCAGCCAGAGGGAACAATCACCAACAGTCAGTTGGTGATCGTTCCTTCTGGCTGGATGAATTTTACGCGTGATCCATGCACTACTGCAGCTGGGGGCTCTTTGCTTTCTAAATTCTTTTATCTCACTGAGAAAATAAGTGAGATCGAAATGAAATTTGCTTTATTGGCATGAATGTTAATTAAACAGCATTGGGGTTTGCACCTTCCTTTCAAACGTATTAAATACAGAGGCAGTTGCACTCACGTGAAATAGTGTTTAGGCTTGGTAGATCACATTGCGTGTAGTAAAGAAATGTATTTGCATTTTGTGTCCCAAACTGCATATTCATTAAGTACAAAAGTACTAAATTAACAACAGGTGCAATCTTGCACTTTTGAAAGACGTCATCATGCATGCACACCCTTAGTAGATCAGCTTATGTGCTAATTTGATGGTGTTATCAAGTTTGCACACGTTTTTACTCACACAAACCTTGTCCTACGTCTTGCTGATGTCAACAGGAGGCCCAGCATCAACTTCCAAAGTTATGCTGATGACACACAGCTCTACATTTCAGTGTCCCCTGAAAACCAGTCGCCATTTTTAACTGTATTTTAGTTATCAAGTCAAGGGTGGCAGGGATTTTCTACAGCTCAATCAGGACAAAACGCAAGTACTGGCCATTGGTTCTGATGCTCAGAGAGAGAAACTCAATGTGAAACTGCAAGAAATGTCATTAAATCCCTGTGACAAGGTGAAATACCTGGGAGTCATCATTAAATCAGACCTCAGTTTTGCGCAGAACATTACAAACATTACTAAGAGAGCTATTAATCATCTTAAGAACATTGCCAGAGTGCGACCATATTTCTCTCCCAAGCCAATACAGAGACACTTGTGCATGCTTTTATTACCTCCAGGATGGATTACTGTAATGCTGTGCTTTCTGGTCTCCCAAAAACTGAATACATTTCAATTGCAGCTGCTTCAAAACGAAGTAGCACGTGTGCTGACTTAGGACCATAAAGAGAGCACACATTAAGCTAATTTTAAAGTCTCTGCAATGGCTACCTCTCTGCTTCAGAATTGATTTTAAGATCATTTTATTAGTTTATAAGTCTATTAATGGTCTTGGTCCTGAATATTTATCAGATTTGCTTTTATCTTATGAACCTTCCAGAGCCCTTAGGTCCTCTGGTAGTAGCTTTCTATTTATCCTTAAAGTCTTGGTGAAAACAGTAAGGTTTAACTATTATTATGTTATTATTAGTTAAACTGTATTATTAGCTAAACTGTATTGTAACAAGTAACATATCATGTTTACTCATTTATTTATAAAAATATATTTTTATTCTATTTTATTCTCCTGTTCCTTTATTCTTATTATCTTATTTTTAGTATTTTTTTAAATAATTCTTCATTATTATGTTTCTTTATCTTTAATACCTTAAAGACCTTACCTTACCGTGTTTCCTCATTACAAATTTGAGTTTTATATGGTAGTGGCCATTTATGGTAACTTTTCCTTGCCTCATGTTTTTATTGCCCTTCATTTTAAGTGTGTGTGTGTGTGTGTGTGTGTGTGTGTGTGTGTGTGTGTGTGTGTGTGTGTGTGTGTAGGTGGGTCAGGGTGGCATTACTGTCACTGTCTTTGCTTTTATAATGTGAAGCACTTTGTGTTACATGGCTCTTATATGAAAAGTGCTATACAATTAAAGATTGATTGATTGATTGATTGATATGTATCCCCTTACATTACAATAAGTTAGAAAGCTAGAATAAATTATAAGGAAAAGAAAAGGCCAAACTGGGTCAAAAGAGGAAGAATAAAATTTACCCAGTATTCTCCTTCTCTTTATTCTGAATTGTCATCTTCCAATTTCTAACATAAAATATTCCAAACATCAGTCACTGTGACTTTTAACTTTCACTCCAGCAATTAAAGAAAATACCAGAGACATTTTAAAATATGCAAATCAAGAGGTGGAGGGAAACACCTCAAGGTCTTCCTTTAAACAGAAAAGCAGCAAGGTTAGGTGATTTTGGGGTTGTTTGGTTTCATTATGCATCAAGTACTGTAGAAGAAAATGTAAGGGCTCATACGAGCAGCAGCACATGCCCACAACGTGGTATAACCCTCACCACTAACCTATGCAAATTATAAAAACACACACACACACACACACACACACACACACACACACACACACACAGAGACAAACAGGTATCTTACACTGCTGATGCGTTTGTCTTTGATGTGTAGAAGCTGTTGCTGTGCGAGCTGCATATGCAAGAGGTTCTGAAGGACTAGTCCGTTACCAAGCATCGCATTCTGCAAGGTAAAGGAAAACAGAAATTATTATTATTATTATAACAAAGACATCAACACACACTAAAAAAATCCCACATCTGTATTTTTGTGTTATTGGTATCTTATGTTATTGTGACCTGGTGTGCTTTTCCCAATGTGAGCAGAGCTGTGGTGAGAGGAGGTCTGAGGAACGGCAAGCTGGCATGACGCCCGTACTTCCCTAAGAATACAGACAAACAACAAATAAAAAACATCAATCAGAGCTTTTCTTTGAGCTTGAACTTTCTTTTCCAAGTTTTGTTTCCACTAATGCATTAATCAATCATTTTCTCAACAGGCATACACAGGCAAGATTATTAGTCAGACAACCGATCCATCAGTCATTTACAGCACATTTCAAAGGATCACACAGCCTTCTGTTTTATAAGAAGCACAAGTAAAGCAATATCGGGATATTATGTTAGCATACAGCAAATTGCTTCCTTCATAACTTTAAATTACATTTTGATGGTGAAGACAGTTGAAAAGAGACTCAAACAAACAACACCATATCAATAGAGAAAAGAATAGCAGAAGAATGCAAAATTCAAACTTCTTCAAACAGTCTGTCTTTATTAAGTGTCAATGGTACTGACAGTTTCCTCAAAAACAACAAAAACTAGCTTCAGCAACTCACTGGTTGTTTTTCACAATTCATTTTTTTTTTTCTGTATCTGTAAAATGCAAAAATTCAAGAGAGATGTAGTAAATTGTGTTGAATAACTGATGAGGCAGTTAAAAGAAAATTACAACATATTCCCTGTGAGGTTACAATGTAGATCTATTTGTCATTTCTTTATGACATGGGTTGTAAAATGAGATTAAAGAGCAAATGTCTACAAAGAATTATATAACTACATGCAGAAATAAAACTATTTTACATGGAGTATGGCGGTACGGCAGTGGTTACTTCAAGTACACTTCTAGAAGTACCAAAAGTACTCATTATGCTGAAAAGCCCATTTCAGAAAAAATGTATGATCCTATTACTGGATAATAATTATTGATGCATTAATGTGTAGCTACATCTCTTTAGTGTTACAGCTGGTAAAGGCTGTTTACATTTACCCCAGATGCAAATTCAAAAAATGCACTGTGGAATGTTTAGGGTGTATACGTGTAGCCTATGTAAATAACTACTCTACTGTTTTATTTTATATGTTACCATATTTTAATAGGCCTACACTTAATATGTTGTGTGTGTAGCATGAAGGAACTACACAATTCATTTCGTTATGCGGCCTTGTGCTGTATAATGACTAATAAACTACCTAGTACCTTGGGTGATTTTAAATACTTATGCAGCTTTACCTTAAACTATAATATTCTAAATTTTTATTATTAATCTGAATCTGCAAAGTCAAGTTATCAAATAAATGTAGCAGAATGAAAGGTGTAATATTTGCCTTGAAATGCAGTGGTATAAGTATTTAAGTAAATAAACTAATATAAAATGGAAATACTCGAGTAAAGTACAAGAACTTGAGTAAATGTATTTAGTTACTTTCCACCACTGATTTCCTACAGGGATTTAATGTTGATCTTTCACCGATGATTCTGTGCTTCTTCAGGCATGAGAGACAATAACTCATTTTAGAGTTAGTCTATACTTCAGTGAATCCTGTTTTCTTTTATAATACCTTTGGTTTATCTCTTGTTCATAGTATCTCATCATTTTCTCATTTGTAGTCACCATTATTGAATTTGTTGTCTGATAACATTTTCACAGTTTCTTCTCCTTCAAGCAAAAAAACTCAAAGGCCAACTGCGGTCTTTAACTTTTATTGGAAGTGTGTTCAGCTCGCTGCAGAGCTGTGATAAAGGCTTGGTTTGTGACAAATATAATGAACTGGTTACAGCTGTGCATGTTTGTGCACAATAATTGTCATCTTTTCTTTCAAAAAAGAATCAGGTAATGAATAAACAACTGTTCCGAACTGCAGTTCATGCTGTTCAAAGTCGGGGGAAGAAGAAGTACCACCAAATGTGGTTTGTTTCAACTATTTCAACACTATGTTTGGTTTTTGTTTTAGTGGTGAATAATTGTAATTGAACCGATGTTTGACAAGCAGTTAAACAATATTTCTTTCCATCACTTCACCATCACAACAAGAAGAAGTAAGTTTGTGTTGACTGGCACTTATTGAATCTAACTAGTATGTTTTGTTGTTTTTAAGCTAAAGCTTTTGACTTACTGAGAAAACTGTATAGGTTTCCAAAATTTCAGAGAGTTTGCCCAAGTTCACACACTTGAACACATTTTCCCCGATTGGGATTCATATCAGCAAAACTGGTCACAAGGCGTCCCACACGTTCAGGTGATTACCAACCCACAGCTACACACATACCATGTACAGCCCCTTTCTTTGGCTTTTGTGTGAATGACAAGGTCTTCTCATAATAAATGTGAGCGTCAATGCTAATGGTAGCTTCCACCAGAATAGGTAGAGAAAGTTTAACATTTAATCAAGGTCCTAATTTTAGACTTTAATTGTGTGTGCTCTTCTTTAAGAGAGCTCCCCCCCATCTTCTCTTCTTCCTGTTCTCATTTGTTCCGCTAATGTCACACAATTTCATTTTAATACCTGATTAGCCATTTATCATATAATGAAGCCGTTGAAGAGGTGATTACAGTATATAGGTGGGCCTAACAGAGGGTCAGACACGTACAGTGGATCTTAGATAATCATCCAAGCCCTTCAGCAGCAGAAAGACTATTCAAAAGAACAAGTTCAGGATGCTGACTTGCTTTGAAAGATTATTCAAAATCTGCAGCAAATATGCAAATTTCATATAATATACTATTTTCAGGGGAGTGGCTGCAGTCCCCCGCGACCCTGTACACAGGATAAGCGGTTTACGATGGGTGGATGGATGCTATTTTCAGGTTGAAAGTTTTTAGCTAAAAGTTAGTAAGGGATCTGCACCAGCTGCAAAATATATAATAAGCAGAAAGCATTTTAAGAGATGTTAGCATTTCAATAAGCTTCAAATTATGATTCTGCATGTTTGTTTTTTAATAATAATAGAGTTGAGAAATGGGAGGAGCTACTTCTTGTGCCCCCTGGTCTTGATGTCAAAGGGATTTTTCCATAGACAATGTTATGTATGGATTGACAAACACTCCCAGTTGAATGAACAGTGCAAAATAACAATAATTCTTTGATAAAAGTCAGAAGGTAAAAACCTATGTACATACCTATGTGTCCTGTTGATCTCTATCTACACTCCTCTCTAGTGCACTCCCATCCATTTCAGCTCTTTATACAGTATTTCAGGGCAAGCGATGAGATTTGCCAGTAAAAGTTTATTGTACTCGATCTACACTAAGAGCCCAAGGTGTTGAACACTACATTATATATGCTGATGAAAGTCATTATGTATGATTCAGTGGACAAAAACAAATCATGAAAAAAATACTGGGTATATTACAAATTCAGACAGCGTTAAAATAATGTATATGTCATAACTTCTGCTGTTTCAGTTTTAAGAAAACAAAATAGAAAGCTGATCCATGCTTCATGCAGCAGCACTTGTTACTGTGATTCACCTCCTGTCATACCTCCTCTTTTCCCAGTGTGGTACGGTCTCATGAGGATCTGCAGGGCTGCAGGGTTGGTCATACTGGTCAACAGCTGGGCTAGGTTGGGTTCTGGTAGCAGACCTTTCCTATTAGTCAGAATCTAGAGAACAACAAAACACACACACACATACACGAGTTAGAGGAAGAAAAGTGGGATTGTGTGTGTGTAGAGTATGTGTTTTGATCTTGTCATTAAGAGTCCCTGATGGCTGTGGTAATCATTACACTAGTTTACATCATCGGAATATGTCTGCAATGTCAGCAGAGGGGAGCTGATCTGGGAGACAAAAGAAAAGAGGCAAGAAAAAGAGAGCTATTTGAGAAACAGAAAAGGAGCAGGAGGAGGAAAGGGAAGTGTGTGTGTATGTGTGTGTGTGTGTGTGTGTGTGGGGCAGGAGAGAAGTTGGGAGGAAAAAGCACAAACTTGAGAAAAAGCAGAGGCCACCTTTCAGACAAACTAATTCATAAGTTCTCTGCCAATTTTACACGTCGGCATCATGTTTGGAGAAAACCTTGAGACGGTCTGTAAAACTTGCAGCAATCTGCTGCAATATTGCAATCTGGCTGAGGTGTGAATACACAATGTTAGTAAGGACAATCTTATGACTATCTTACAAACCATATTTACAGTGTACAAACCTATCACAAGAGAAAAGCGAGTGAGACAAGAAATTAAAAACATGGTTTCAAATTGTATTTCTAAGTAAATTAAATACCCGATTCCAAATTTTTTTGTAGTATTTTTTTGTATTATTTATTAGGTGTGTAATCTACATAACAAGGACTGTGTGGGTGTGGATTCATCAGATTTTATTGACAGTGGTCTGGCAATATAAGCAAACAACCTAACAACTGTCATCAGATTTTGTTTCAAGTATTGCTGAATCCTGACTGGTGCAGAGAAATATGAGATCACTTTTTTTTTTTACACACCCTTCAAACCAGCAAGAAGAGCTCAGTAAAAACAAACCAGCAAAATTTTGTGTTTATGGAGAATGCCTTGGTTCATGTTATCATGGACAAGGGTTATATAGAAAATTGGTTTTCAGGACCTTAAAAGACTTTGCTTCATCATGTGGACAGAGATTTTAAAAGCTACATAATGTATAAAGATAGATGAACCTAGAAATGTTACAGACTCAGATACTTCAGATATTTGAAAGGTGATGCAGACTACGAGAGGAATTTCCTCTCTTACAAAGTAATGTACCTCATATAGCTTGGAAGCATCTCTTCTAAGTCAAATATGCCATTTGAAATTGATTTATTAATGTGCAGCATTTGAAGCTTTGATCCGGTCTCTTGTGATTGACACACTATGTACAAGTCATCCTTATCATTCACATTTTAAAAAAATTATTCTTTTGGTATTTTTCACTTTTATGACAGCTTTAGACAGTTAACACTATAGAGACTGAATAAATTCTGTAGAGAGAATTTAATGGAGAGAGTGGTGGGTATGACATCTAACAAAGGTACTCTGCTGGAATTGTAGCTGGTATATGGTTCAAGGTCTTAATCATTCATCGGAAGAGGAAAACAGTGACTGTACCACTGCTTCTAAAGTTATCGATTTATGTTTTCAGCTTGCAGCTCCACTTAAAACCAGCAGTCTACAGTATGCATCTATTTAGCACTGCTCGCTTTATTGTTTTAGCCTGCTTGTTTGGCTTTTCTCAGGTTTTAGTATTGACTGTGTCACAGAATGAGCATATTCTATTTAATTATGTTATATACACACAAAACAAATAGCACACATGAAAGACAGGTTTTACTCTTTTCTCTGCTGACTCGCTTTTAATTGAAAGACACACTGTTAGGCACATTCCCAAATAAGAATTCAATCACCCATTACGCTGCAAAATGTAATTCATCAGACTCAAATAAAATCCTATTGAATTAGACAGCAACAAATCAAATGGAGCAGCCCATGCCCTGGTAGATCCTCCACAGCACTAGATGTGTGTACTCGCTGGCTGGGCCAAAGACACGGCTATTTAAAACAACATTAGCAGGATGGTGATATTTCCTCCTCGTCTGCCCCTGAGCTACAGCATGACTTCAGCTCAAGTCAACCTTGTTTCCTCCCCTGTCACTTCCTGAAGAGAAGCATTACTGACGGGAATGGAGTGGGTCTGACTCCAGCCTGTCAGCAAGAGAGGAATAGGAGAGTCTGGTGCACACATACAGTATATGTATTTGTGTGTTACAGCAAGGAAAATTGGCCTGTGTGTGTGCGGGTTTTGAACAAGGCCAGTTGTAGCTGACAGCGTCTTTCAAGAGAAGAGAAAGAGAGAGAGGAGAAGGACAGAAGGAGGGGGAGAACGCTCTCATTCCTTTTCTTTCTGCTGGGGAAAATGTCATCATGCATCAGTCTGTTTGGCTACTGGAACTGAATCCAGCCACACCCACGCACTATGGAGGTAAGGAAGCCGCTAAGAAGGGAAGGCGAGAAGTATCGCGTAAGGAGAGAGATGGAGCGAGAAGAAAGGAGGAGGGAGGCGGAGGCCATCTGGTCCTCAGCATTCACACTCACATTCACTAACTGGAAGAAGGAGAGAATTGCCTCAGAGGAAAACTGTACCCAGGAGTGGGTCTTGATCTCTTTCTGAAGGTCTGATGTTTCTTTTACCAGCTGTTCACATTCACTGCAATTATCTTAAAACGAGCCTTGGGGCACTAACCCAACCTTGCAGTCCTCACTGACTCAAACGTTTTCTGTCTCTCTACCTCTCCCTTGTCCTTGTCCTTCCATTTTCTGTTCTCTTTCTCAACCAACCCCCGTCCGCTTTTCTTTCACTGTGTTTATATCTTACTTCCTCTTCACGTCTGCCTCATCTTCCTCAGATAATTTATTCAGAAACACATTTTCTCTCACATCTTTTCATCCCATTCGTAGCAATTCAGACTCTTTGACCATTGCTCAGCTGCTGCTCTGCTTTTCAACCTGTAATTTTCAACCCCTCTATCTCAAGGCTGCGAGGTCTTTACTTGCACCTTGCACCTGACAATTCTTGCTCTGTAACAGCAACTTGCTCAGCAATGTCACAGAATCCAGCTGTCAGACATATTTTCAAAAAAATCTAAAGTGGCAGTGGAGCAGTTTAAAATTTAAGAATCGGAAAGTGAGAGCCGTGGGCTAATATAATTGTTGGTCAATATATACAGATTAATAGTATTGCAGTCAGGTCTTTAAAAGCCACAAACTCACTTTTAATTGTAGCCCTCCATATGCTCAATTAGTGTAATCAGAAATATTTATCATCAGATGAAGGTAAAACAGCAAGCTGTAATGGTTTTCCTTGGCCTATGGGTAACTCATAATGAACCATAAACCTACAATTCGTGTGAAAATATAATTGAGGATTTCAGGAAAAAATTGTTGTATTTTGTGACTACAGGCTGTTCTTCCCAAATTACTACTGACATTGTGAAATAGTGCCATCATTAACTTCAGATTATTACAGCTTACTGGTAAAGCTATTTTAAAACCCATAAGAAATCCTACTAAATCTACATTTTACTGTACTGGCTTACATACTGTACATTAAATAGAAAACCCTGCTTTCTCTCACTCCCTAATACACAAAGCTGTCAGCACTCAGAGTTTGATTGCCAAAGCATTGAAACTCAGCTTGAAATGTTTGCTTACCCATGTTTGGATCTAAATTCTGTACCTGTGAGTACATCATTAATAAATCCATGTACCCATGAAAATGAGCAAGCACTGTTCCTTTTCCACAACAGACTCTGTGTGTGTGTGTGTGTGTGTGTGTGTGCGCGTGTGTGTCATACTGTGTCGCGGGCTGCAAGTTTGGTTTATTTCAGGCAGCAGGAGACAGTGGAGGAGCCCAATCAGTCTACAGAACTATAATTATCATGTCAGTGCCTCTCTGCTACCACAGTACAGTGTAGAAGGGATACCACAGCTACAAAGACTATTTAAACTATGGTGTGTACATGCATGTGCACCATGTCAAACCTCAGTATATATGAATGCTGGATGTACAATTACAAGGAGGTACTGGCTTCACAAGTAGATGTACCAGTGGAAAGTCTGGGAAGTCTCCTGTTTTGATGAAACAGTGTAAATATTTCCATATTTGAGAAAATGTTTATATGAAGAAGATTGTTTCGCCAAATCATCCCTGCAAAACAGACATATGCTCCCGCCCCTTTTTTTTTTATCTTCTTATTCACATTTCTGTCTGAAGTGCAGCTGGATCTAGTAATTTCAGTTACTGATTTTAAATGCAATGTTTGCTAACGAAAAACTAACACTGTTGTGTGTGTAACAGTATATAATAAGCTCTTCACGAAGTGCACTAAAGTCTGCAAGCTTGTTCAGGCTATGCGCTGCTATGCTCACATGGGACAAACTCTACTCAAAGCAACATATATCTAACACACCCCTTGCAATTGGACAATACAGTTAAGCCAAGCTGCTCTGCTCTTGCGAAGCCAGATGCTTCATTGCTCACCAGAAAATGTTTCTGTTCATCCAGCATTTCATAAGCCCCACCTCCAGCCCACCAGCACCATCCCCCTGTAGGTACTACTCCTAAGGTCCCCTGTGAGGCAAGTTTTCATCACTACTCTCCAATCTCTATAACAGCTTTAGAGCCAAGAAGATCATTCATCATTTGTAAGATCATTCCCCTTCATGATAAAACTGCGGCAGTTCATGTAAGTGTATAATATGAACACATACCAAAAAGGCAAGAACTGTAAAACAGTGCTATAACTATTAAAATAATAATTGTGCTTTGAAGTCCTCTTTTGGAAAACTAATATCTAAGTTGAATGAATGCTTTGCTTGGTTTATTTTACAGGGCAGCAGTTTGTACAGGTTGTACAGTGGGTGGGAGATGACATGTGTGATTTACTTGGCTTTGCTAACGGCCATGGTTCTATGGAAGGAAGCTATGTTTTGCTATGCTGAATGTTTTACGTACCTTTTTGGAAATTAGACACTGAAAGTGTAAAAATATCATAAAAAAAAATAACGAAAGTTATCCTTTGTTGTGTTGTAAGTCTTCATAACAAAACATTAGCAAAGGGGAAAGCCCTCTTGAGGACCCCAGTGACACATTTGCAATCTAACATTTGGTGGCTGGTAAACTACTGTGCTTGCCTGATAATTCTGTAGATTCATGATATAATTGTTATTACTAGTCATATTGTTATTATTAACATTACCATAAATATCTGTACCATTATTAGTCAGTCAGTCTGTACTACTATTACCTTTACTGTGCATTTCTGTGTGGATATTGTGTTGGCTGCTATCCCCTGAACCCTCTCTCCCTCATTCTTGCCATCTCTCTCGCTCTTTCCCTCTCTCGCACTCTCTCTTAACCCCAACCAGTCAAGGCAGATGATCGCCCCCACCCTGAGCCATGGTTCTGCTTGAGGTTTTCCTTGCCCGTGTCGCCAAATGCTTGCTCATGGTGGGAAATGTTGGGTCTCTGTAAATAATAACAAGCGTTATGAAATAACTGTTGTTGTGGATTGGCGCTATATAAATAAATTTGAATTGAAAAGATGAAATAGCACGATATCCTCAAAGATTCACTATTTGTGAATTAGTACATCAGTCTTTTGACAACTGAACTGGGATTCTGCATGATTTAATCCTGTGCAGGGGTATACAGTATGCATGGGTATGTGCTTATGATATCCTTTTTACTGCTGTTGTGTGCATCATACTCACCATACCCTGGGCGGCGATGAGTGCAGCCAGGGTGCTTCTCCCTGAGGTGCCGGGAGTGCAGAGTGACAGACGGACCTCCTGTCCTCCGACCAGTGTTCGGTCCATCTCTATCAGCACAGCCTCTGCCTGCTCTGCGCTCTCATACTCCACCACACCGAAGCCTCGGACTGGGCTGCCTTCATCCTGAGCAAGCTGGAAGATTGACAACAGAAAAAAACAATAAAAACAAATCAGCATTAATTTATGATAACTTCCTTTTTAATTAAGGAAAAAGCTTTTAACAGAAGGAAGTATCTCATAATACTGACGGGTGAAAGTAGCTTAGACGTGATGGCTCTTGTTATTAACATTTATTTAACAAAGTTCAGAACCTTTAATAACACAAACACATCTGAATAACAGTATTTTTTTCCCCCATAAATTTGTGACTTTATAAAACTCAGCGAGAATTTAAGTTTTTTTTTTCTTGTACATTTGTGCATTTTTTGTGTGCAGCAAACAGCAAACATTAAAGCTATGTCTGAGAAGTGAATAAAATTGTGTGTGTCAGAACTTTTTTTTTCTTTCCACTCCCATTAATCATCTCATGGCCCCTCAGATTTATTCCTGAGGGGTTCCTAATCTGGGGGCCCAACCCCCAGATTAGGAACCACTGGGCTACAGTACAGTACATGTACTTTGATACAAGTATTATTTACACTTATTTAATACTTTTGTACTTTCAATTAAGTAGGACTTTGAATGAACATTTACTTGTAAAAAAGTGTACATCTTCCACCACTGCTCACTGGAGATGTTTATGCTCAGGAGCAAGTGGTCCAAATGAAAATGATAACCACTGTGGATGTATACAGCAATAGCAGTGGTGAAGAAACAAGAACTATGCACTAACACAAAACATTACATGAACCACTGAAGCCACTGGGAGAAACAGATATCTCTACCTGATCTATGATGTATTTTATCTTGGATGATTGTTAAATCCTGACAAAACATCTTACTCACTACACCCTAATGTCTACTGCCCATTTCTTTCCCTTTCAGACTTCACCAGTTATCTGCAGGAATAAAAAATGAATATACCACTATAGACATTATCACCAAGAGCTGTTTTAATGGAGTAAATGTGTTTCAGAGTGTCTTTTTTCTTCACTATGCAGCAGCAAATGTACTGACTGATAATATTAATCCTCTAAAATAAGCTCTGACAGACAATAACTGACATAACTGTGTTGGAGTGGAGTTGAAAAAGAGAGCTAGTCTCAACTCCCTTTGTTAAAAAGGATAGATTAAAAATAACATGATGTATGCTCATCCTGCACTGCTCCAGGTAGTGACCTTCCACAACTACAAACATCAGTCTTGTGTAAAACCAACCAAAAAGGGGACTGATCCAAACCAAATATTCTCCTGTCCAATTTAATGGCTACTACTTCCTATCATTGATCTTCATGATAAATAAACGTACCTTGTACCTCTTGTACCTTGCATTTCTGGTCTTTATCCAACATGGAAAGTTAATGGAACAATGTTTTCACATTTTCTTTAAGGTTACTGGTCAATAAACAGACCTCTCCCGGGCACACAGCACTACTGACCAGTCCCATTACTTCTGAAAAAGACAGACTTTTCTGTCATAAGGGTCCAGTTCCGTTTGTGATGAGCAGCTAAATAATGCAGGCAGGCTAATAGCTTAAAGCTAATGGATGGTATTGGCTGGTAAAAGCTAATGGCTTATGGTTAAAACAAACCACATGACCTAATGTTAGCAGTGGCTGAATTAAATTGAAATACTGAAAAATGACATGAGTAGTGCTTGATTTATTTTACCGCTCAAAGGATATGTCCACTATTTGAGACTGCTGCACAGATCACATGTACCTGATCTATTTAATTTAGGTCATACTTAATTATATTTTTTTGTAAATTTCTATACAAGTGACAAATTGTAAATTCTGTTGAGACACTGTGGTAAACACTCAGTAGAGATAGGTTGGTAACTTGGCCATGTTGATATATATGCCGAAAACAGATTGTTGCAGATACTGATATATCTGGAACAATCTATTTTGGACTTGTATTAGTGAAATGTATTTGTACTTTCTCAGCCTCAATCAAGTAGCCCTCCACTTCCTCCCTCAGTCCATCCCCCCACTCATTTGTCTGCTGTCCCTCCGGTCTAAACAGGGGATGGATGGTGGGAGGGATGGATGGTGGGAGGGAGGGTGGGAGGGACGGAGAAAAACAAATGTATGTGTGGAGGAGTAGGTCGATAGGCTATTATCATCGGCATACATTAAGCAAATGTATGGAAATAACCTGAACCACTCTACCTCTTGTGAAATGGATGGATAGATGGAAGAGGGGGAGAGGCTGGGAGTAAGGAGGGGGTTGAGAGAAAAACGAAAGGAGGAGGAGGAGGAAAGAGGAGTGAAAGAGAACAACATCAGTGATTGATTAAGTGAAGAGAGTGAGGGAAGGTTGATGGAGGATATGGGACTAGAAAAGACAGGAGTGAAAATATAAAAACGTGCTAATCATTATTTTTGTGTGTACACACAACAAATAAGACCAGAGCAGACGTGGGTAAATCGCAAATACATACATTATATATTAAATTGGATTTAAATTAGATTGTGTGCAAATGGTATTCAAACTATCATCAACTACGTGTACGTGTTCATGTGTGAGTAATGATGTGAAGACTGACTGAGACTTCTCTACTCAAATTGTTCTCCAGCTACACTCACTTTATAAAATATTCAATCGTTACTGAGATCTGCACAAACAATTATGTAAATCTAAAGCAGGCATGTGCCTTCTGTGTTTTGTATATGTCAGCTGTTGTTTGGTTCTCTCCCTTTATGTCCACGTGTATCCTCTGAAAATACAAATAAATAAATTTTTGCTGCTGTCTTATCCAGGCAGGAGACAGTAGCTACCATACAGAGTCAACATGTAATGTTCATTGTAACAACAAAGTAGCATTGACCATATCAACATGGTTTGAGGATGACAATGTATCACGTGTCATGTGTGCAATGTTTCACTTGATGGTGTTTAATAAGAATTCAGAATCTGTACAAAAGTCACTGGTATTTAAAAACTGTACTGACAGGAAAGAGCCAAAGCAGAAAATCAGCTGCGGCAGTGCGGGTGCAGCATCGGGGCCTGTGTGGCAGGGCACATCATATTTTGAGGAGTATAATGCCAAACTGGTTGTTAAATTGAAAAAAATTTTTTTTTTTTGACAAGCCCTTTAGTGTTGCGGATATCTTTTACTTCATTTTGTAAAGTAAGGATGTTGCTCTACTGTGTCCTCAAGGTATAAGTTAGAAAAATTAAATAGTAATTAACTGCATAAATTTGGTACTTCAGCCTTCATTCTGTAAATTATCCGGGATATAAATCAAAAACCTCTCCTGCAAAGTATAATTACCTACATCAGTGTAATTAACAGAATGTTTTCCATGCTTTTCACGTAACAGGTAGTGAAGATGGAATAACAGACTAACCCAATTGCATCAGTCCACAGTATGATGTGTAAATCACATCAAGTTTTCCTGTCATGATGGATCCACTTATGATCACTCTATATTTTATTATTCATATAATGGATATCATGATTTAGGCTAGACTGACTGATGTGAAACTGGCATTTATATACAGAGGCTGAGGCATCTGTGCAAACTTTGTTCAGCTCGGTTCTTTCAACAACATGCTTATAAACTATATTGCCCCTTTTTTTGGTAGTTATAGTGGTGTAATGAGGCCTTCACTGTCCACAGTGCTGAATATCAACTTTATGTATTGTACACGAGAGAAAGATTGATTTCATGTACATGCAGAGTAATAAATCTAACTTTCTGCATAATGTTGATAGCATTATTCTTCGGTGTGCTGGAAATAAAGCTAAGCTAGCGTATTTTGTTACATCATACTCTCTTGACTTGTACTGAAACATTACTTGCCATCCCAGGTTTTGACAACATAGTCAAACATCTGCCAAATGAGTCAAGTTAAAGTGCAGTGGCACTCAACTTGAATTTTAGCATAACAGCAGTTGACAACCCCTATTTTACTTATACAGTATGACAACCTGCCATAGAAATTCTTTCATAGAAATATAAGACCGTATATGCAAATTCTTCTAGGGGTTTGCCGTTAATAAACCTCATATCACAAGACATGCTAAGCCTAGAGTTATCTTACCTGCATAATGTATCTCGGTAACTTGATGTGTCGAGTTCAACTTTTTTGCATTAGACACCATATTAATTAAATATTGGTTTGCCGAGTGTGACTAACATTTGCAGTGCTAGCACCAGCGGGATGCTGGTGAATTTTAGCAGCACATGAGGAGAAGTTTGTAAAGGACAAAACAATCAATGTGGTGAAAAAAAGGTCTTTTTCCAAAATCCAGAATGTACAGTATTGTCTCTGTATGTGAGTATGTGTGTAAGAGTGCAGAAACCAAAGATGCTAAGCTAGCTATTAGTGACAGCTCTTGACCCCAGGTCGTGGTCCCCAGCCAAGAGATGCTGACTGAGTCACTGGCAGGTTGAAGACTGTGGAACAGCCCTGTGTGTTTGAGAGTGTATGTATGTGTGCGTCTGACAGAGTTTAAATGGCCACATCAGCTGTCTGAACTGAGTGTGATGGGGTCACAACAGCCCTGTCACAGCTGTCTGTGCAGAAAGGTACATGACCTGTAACAGTGAGAAGTTTAACTGTAAAAGATATTTATGAAGAGAGTTGTATGAGCTGTGTATGTGCTTCATGTTTTTATATCCTGGTAGATACTTGAACCCAAATGCACGCTACAGATGGGGATTCATGTCACCATGGGGACAAAAAAAGTCCTCACGGTCAGAGAATGTTTTTAAAGGGTTAAGACTTGGTTTTAGGGTTCAAGTAATAATGTATTAAGGTTAAAGTTATGCATGTAGTTGTGATGGTTAAGGTTACAGGAAATGCATTTTGTCAATAAGATGGGATAGTGGAACAAATATGTGTCTGTCTGTCTGTCTGTCTGTGCGTGCACGCGCATTATACGCTGTTTTTCCTCTCGCAGCCTCTTTGGTTCATTGTTGAAAAGTGCTCATTTGTAAGTTGGTCTATCCATCTTTTTTATCAATCTTCATCCATTTGTCCATCTGTGTCTAATTTATGATTTGTTTTGCAATCCATGCTATCCTCTTCTTAGTCATCCTATATTTACATGAATCCAGAATTACTGCTGTCTTATACACCTCATTTTGTGTCCCTTGGTTCTGAGGAAAACTTTGAGGACCTTGTATTTTTTATGTAATTGACATCTTTGTTTCTTAGCTGTCGCCGCTGTGATGCTTTTAGATTGTGCTTGTCAATTAAACACTGTCGCCAGTAACTAGACATTATTGCTACTGTGGCTGTTCTGCTACCTGTTTCTTTTTTAAAAAAGCATCTTCTGGAATGACTTAAAAGTCCAACACTGCACCAGGTGTTGAAAACAGCAAATGTAAAAGCTTGTAATTAACTCACGATAGTGTGGTAAGAACTGCTTTATTCTTTTACCTGCATATAAGCAGAAAAAACACTTCAGCCCTACTTTTCCCTTGGGCAGTATATTATGAGGAATCTTCACAACAAAGAACGAGCTTTGTTTTGTTGCAAAGGCTGCACCATAATGTCAAATGGAAAAGTTCTAAATCTTTGGTGCAATATTGTATATATATTATCATGTAAATATATATTGTGTATCTTTGGAAATTATAAGCTATTTACCAAAATGAAAAAATAAAGTTCTGTTGTTCTTAACAGTGCTCTTCTGTGCAATGTGTGACCATAATCTGCGGCCCTAATGGTGGCAAATGACCAGTCAGGTGTTGCTATAGAACATGCAGGAAAATAGGAAAACGAAATAAACATGGTGTGAGGCTTGACATCTACTGTATGTAACAATTATATGTGTGCCAGACAAGAGTTACAGTCTCTGCTCAGTCTGGCATCAATTTGCCCTGTGGCTTGTAGAGTGTGTATGGAATTCTATTTATTAACCTGTCTCCATCCGTACTCCATTTCTGTAACATCCATCGTAATGTTCTTCCCTAACTGTGTTAAGTCATATACATCTTCATCCTTTTACAGATTAGTATACTACTGACTAAATTTGTTCTTTTCTCGTTTTCTTCTCTCTCAAAGTAAATGTGAGTTTTTAACTTGCACTCAGCTATCATTATTAAATTTACATTTGCAAATATGCCAACAATCTTCTTACTGTGACTGACAGTCTACCTCCCTTCACCATTTCACTTCAGCTCTCCATCTCTCCCCATTTCCCTCCCTCCCCCTATTAGGAATGACACTGTCAGCCCTCTCCTCCCTCACTCCATCCTCTCTCTAATAGGTCTGGCATTCTCAACACCGGCCTCCCTCCTCCCAAGCCTTCCTTACTGTCTCCATCTTGCTGTCCTTCCCTTTAATATGGTTGACATTCTTTACCCTCTCCTCTGTCCATTTCTCCTGGCTGACTCAAACTGAAGTGCTGCCTAGAGGGCCCTTTCGTGGGTAGCAGAATTATAGCGCTCATGGCCAAGGCCACAGGTTAAGTGTACTCTGAACAGAGGAAAAGTGACAAGAGGGCTGAGTTCCAATAGATGTGCACAGGGCAGGAAGAAGGTTTTACGGCACACTGCAGTTGACGACAGTAAGACATTAGGTAAAGAGTGTTCATAAGCAATAGATGTTTAGGAATGATGTTCTGTAAAAATAATATATGTAGGATTTTTTGCCGTTTTTTGATAATGACAGTAGTTAGGTGAAAAGAAATAAAGCTAGAGAAAGAAGGGATGACATCCAAAGGTTGGCATGTCATCGAACAGGGAATGTTGAGATTATTTGGTTAGAATCTTAAACACGTAGGAATGCCCAAATATATACATTTTTATGGTGGAAAATGGTAAACCAGACAGACCATAGCTGGGTATGTCCCTTACAACAGAGCCGGCGCACTGGGAATAACTATTTCTTGCATTGAAATCAAATGTATCCCCAGTAGTGTCATACTTGACGAGCTGACACAGTGTCTGCAAACAAAACAGCCACTGTGCTCCCAATTAATGCAAACTTTAACAAAACCTTCCACAACAGCTCTGTCATATTTGCTGTCATGCAGAAGTGTGCAAATGTTCATTTATGTACAATTATATGTTGTAAATGAGGCTGAGATTGCAACTAAAGCTGATTTCAAATTACATTCTGAAAAAGAAATACTGTATGTAAAGACCAGTGTTGGGCAAGTTACTCAGAAATTGTAATATATTACTAGTTACTTATTACTCCTTAAAAAAGTAATATTATTACTTTACTTATTACTGGGTTATAAAAGTAACTTGTTACGTTACTATATTACTTTCCAGTGTTTCCCACAGAATGACGGGGTGGGGGTGTGGGTGTGTGTGTGTGTGTGTGTGTGTGTGTGTGTGTGTGTGTGGGGGGGTATTCTAACATTGGACAGGTTTGTGCAGTGGTGTTCACGAGAGAGAGACAATGAGAAAGAGGGAGCGAGCCAGGAGGTGCTGTACGAATATATGCTCCTTAGTACAGCTCCTTAATCAAAAATGATTTTAAATATGCCTAGTAAAAATTTGGAAAATCAATATGTGGCGGTCCGCGTTGATAATAGGCTAATTATGGGAAACACTGCATTCCCTACCACCCCCCTTCACCCCCAAACAAAGCAGTCTCTCACGACTATTTAACTAACATCATATCCATAACAGCAGCAAGGAGTGTGGTTTTTACAAAGCATATAGCCTAGGCCTAACGTTTATTAACGCCACTGGCTGAAAAATAAAGCAAGTAAATCCCGACTTTTAAACAGCTGTTTTACTGCACATGTAGCCTATTTATAAGAGCAGTATTCAGAATCCAAACTGTACAACTCTCTGTCCTTTTAACCCCTTTGATCATTAACGACTGTTCTTCCCCTGACTGACACAAAACAGCAGCTCAGTGTACGAAAGGTTAAATGTACCAAAGTGCAGGAAGTAAAACTGGGTAATGTAGCGATATTCAAATTGTGGTCCAAGACTAGCTATTGTCTGGACTTTGGCCATTAGATTGGTGATATGGCCTAAATTTGTGCAATGTTTTCCTGGCGTTTTAAAGCACTGGTGTTATAGTTCAGTGGCATATTTTTTCTGAACCAATATCTACTAACTGGGACATTTAAAATGATGTTTAAAAATGAACTCATCAGTGCTCTTTGGTGGACAAACTATGTCATACAGACACTAAAACACTCATGCCCAAGACAAATTGGTAATTCTGTACTACAAGTTGTATTTTTACTTATCTCCCTTGACTTTTCACTTTCTTTTGGCCAACATATATACTGATACCGATATAGCAATTAAAGGAAGTACCGGCTAACATATTGACTTTTGTCAATATTCACCTTAGTGACAAGTTAATGAGATGAATTTATTACTTTAAATTACACATGTCTGTTATAATGTATCTACATTAGCATTATAAGCCAATACCTTCTAATGACATCATGTTAGCATTGTCAATGTGAGTATGTTTGCATGCTGACTTCATTTAATTTCTGCATCCTGTTCATTGGTGTACAGGGTTTCAAAAGCTCTGTGCCTTAAGTATTCTAGTGCAAACATGTTGAAGTACAGTAATACACACACGCACGCACATATTGTGGTACATAAAAAAAAGCTGAACCATAGGTCAAAGCCTGCTGGCTCTGCAACAGTGAAGCAACATGAGCTAAACTCCCACAAAGCATCCTGGGACCAGGATGATGTGGGTGTATTGATTTCTATGTGGGAGCGGGGCATATGGGTGGAGCTAAAACTGGAAATGCAGTAGATGACAGATACCCATTGAGTGATGTCTAAATGGGCATGTGGGGGTGGAAAGGATGTAAAGGCGTGGTGGTGGTTGGGGGGGGTGTATAACAAAGCTGATGTGAGCAAGAAAATAAAGCAGAGCAGTGGTAGGGAAGGAGGGAGTTGAAGGAAAATGTTGCTTGGTGAAGGTTGGCCAATGGGGCGCTGACCCCCGAATTTTATATCAGCACCTCTCACTTGGTGGTGTTTGATTGATAAAAGTATGTGTGGAAGGAGTCAACCATTGGAGTAAAAGCATCAAACATATTATAAATAACAGACCCTTCAGTAGTGCATGCGTGACATTATCAATGAAGAAAATGTTTACAGCTGCTGCTACACTATCAGCCTCTGAGAAAATGAAAAACAGAATTTGGTAACATTCATCTCAAACCTTGGTTACACAGCAGACATGTTCAATGAGCCATAACCTCTTGAATACATAATTTTGCAGAGCCGATATTGCTCGTACGAGGTCTGAAAACTAAAAGGCCATGTCACGTTTTTGTTGGTTATTATACTTGCTAAATTGCCTGTCATATTTGGATGTCTCGGCTTTCAACATACCATGAAAGGCTCAGAATGAATAACATTCTGTACAACACATTTTAATGCAAAGAGCTAAGGAATCTGTAGGTCTTGAACCTTAATCACAGACACACAGAAATACACACTCACCTGGCAGAAGACAGGTTTGTAGGTTTCAGAGAAGAGCTGGGTCAGTTCTTCAGAGTCACAAAGGTCGAGCGGCAGCCGGTTCACACACAGACATTTGGAGTGCAGGTTCTCCTCTTGGCTCAGCTGGTTGACATCCATCCACTGAACCATCAATGAGCGATCACCCTGAACAATCAGAGTAATGTGATACAAAATCAGATTGTTAAGGCTGGCTTCACACTCCTACGCTGCATATGTACCTTCTAAATTCTGCATTTATTATAAATGAATATGCCTTTTTTTGATATTACATATTCATCCTCTTGGCTCTAAAGTACTAATATGAAAGCTTGTCCTTTTTGCTGCACTTCTATATAAATTTTTTTCCTCACTGCTGGAGATGATCACAAATGCAAGGTCAGACAAACTGTTGTATTAACTAAAGTAAGCTGATTTTGGTGCACTAACATCAGACAAGGATTAATTTACTTTTAATACTTGTTTTATATTTTATATTTGGGTGAGAAATTTAAACCAAACTGAACTGGCAGAACCATCATTTGTATTGACTATCTCATCTCCCCTGTTTGGCCAGTTTGTTTCAGCCAGGTTTTTTGAGAGTAAACAACTCAATGATAGGATGTGACCAAAGACTCAAACGTCTCTTTCCTCTTTCTGCTCACATTTATGTTTGAATGAAATCAGGAATAGGTGGTCGCAGTTTTGTTTAGAGCAATTAAAGACATTAAATTGAACAAGATAATGTGTAACTGGCTTTGTGTTAGCCAGTAGCCCGATCCAGTATAATCAAATCCTTTGTTCCAATTAGGTAACTTCAAAATAAAATTTAAGATTTTATTAAATCAAGTAAAATCACATAAATTTAACAGCAGGCAATTCAGGCAAATTCAAGTCCAATCAATTTTGGTTCAGCCCAGGTTTGGCCGAGCAAACTAAAACGCATCTTTTGTACTCATCTGGTATTCATCAAAAAGGTTTCAAAGAAATAGGAGCCCTTCGATAGATCCTTTGTTTCAACATCTTTCTGTCTTATAGATTAATGTAGCGTCCGTATCAAATAATCAAACGTGACAGGATTATCATAACCAACCGCTTTAACATACCAGCGGTCGGCCCAGCAGTTCAGAACGGGCCCGTGACGCAGAATCCTTCTTCATGTATTCAACAAACCCATATCCTTTGGAGTGGCCTGTCAGCTCGCTGTAGACCAGGAAGGAGCGCTCGATGTTTCCATAGGCGCGTACCAGCTCCTCAAATTGCTGGGCAGTAAAGGTGTGGGGCAGGTTGGTGAGGCAGAGTAGGGAGTCAGTGGGCTGCAGCGTGACGTTGATCAAGCGTCCCCGGACAGTGCTGTGATGGAGGGAGCGGATGGCATCCTGAGCCTGGTCCCCGTTCAGCAAAGTCACAAAGGCTGGAGGAGGGGACATTATGGAGACAGCGACGAGAAGAAAAGACAAACGAAGACAAGAACAGACACAAAGAAAGAGATGCATGGACATAAATGGACGTGTGAGAGACAAACACAAACATACATTTAAAGCAGACATTCAAAAACAGGCAGTTCGTGAAGAATGCAGAATGGAGACACACAGTCAAAAAACATGCAAAAAAACAACTCACATGAAAAGCAAAGAAAATAAATGACAGGCCGAATGTGGCAGAGTGACAAAAATAAGAGATAAAAGAGAAAATTTGGGCACAAACAACCAAAATCATAGACATTCATAAAGACAGACAGATACACAGAGAGAAAGACAGCACATTAGCTAGAAAGCCAATAGGGAGCCACTATGTAGGGGGAATCCACTGTGACACACACACATACACATCTTATCTCATTAAAAAACAACAAGAGAAACAATAATGAATACTAAAAGTACAGGTAAACAATTAAATAATAAAGGCAATTTAATTGAGACACGTAGGCATTTTTCAAGCCAGTGATAACATTTCTTAGTGTCACATTTTAAATAAATACTACTCCTCATTATCATAAAGCATCTCTTCCAGTCACTGTCCAAGTTTCATGTTTGTTTTCGATTTCGAAAATAGTCCCACATGTGTTTCAGTGATACTGAAGTGTAATGCCTAAGCATTATCAACTAGTTACAAGCAGGTTGCTAGGGCCAACCTACATTAGTGATGTCTTTTTGGCTAATTTGAGCAAAGCCTCTTACCAAACTATGGAAACGTATTTTACCAGCTACCTGTGGTCCAAGCAGGGTGTGAACCTACAGGGGAGCTCGGCTCCTCTTAATAAGACACCACATGCTGTTGTTGCCATAAGTTTCTGTTTTTCTGTATCATCATGGATCATGTGTCTGATTTTACACATGATGCATGATGATACCACAGCAGGAGTCACAGTCAGTCTGTCTTTTAAATAATAATAATAATCTTTATTTGTAGAGCTTTTCAAAAACAAGTTATAAAGTGCTTTAACAAGTGTAAAGACAATAATACCCAAAAGACAATAATACAAAAACAATACAAGATAAAAGCATGAAAACATTGAAAAGACTAAAATACACGTTTAAGATAAATATAAAATTAGTAAAATAGAATAAAATAAAGGGATAAAATAAAGTCAAATAAGATCGGGAAAGGCTCTCCTATAAAAGTATGTTTTAAGAAGGGACTTAAAAGAGTTCACTGACTCAGCTGACCTGATTTCCTCGGGCAGGCTGTTCCAGAGCCTCGGGGCCCTGACAGCAAACGCTCTGTCCCCTTTAGTTTTCAGTCGAGACTCTGGAACAGACAACAGACCTCTGCCCGAGGATCTCAAGGTACGTTCTGGTGTGTATGGGACTAAAAGTTCGGAAATATAACAAGGTGAGAGGCCATGAAGAGCTTTAAAAGTGATCAATAGAATTTTAAAGTCCATTCTAAAACATACTGGGAGTCAGTGTAATGAAGTTAAAATAGGGGTGATGTGGTCATATTTCTTTGTTCTGGTTAAAAGCCTGGCAGCTGAGTTCTGGACAGTCTGGAATCGATCAATAGATTTTTGGGTTAAACAGGTGAAAAGGCTGTTGCAATAATCGAGGCATGATGAGATGAAGGCATGTAAAATGGTCTCGGTGACCTTAAAAGTTAACATAGATCAAATTTTTGCTATATTTCTAAGTTGATAAAAACATGATTGAACAAGCTTTGTGGTTTGCTGCTCGAAATTTAAATTACTATCAAACCAAACACCAAGGTTCTTTGCCACAGGCTTAATGTGATTTACTAGGGAACCAGCCATCTGCTGGGACCCAATGACCAGGATTTCTGTTTTGTCTGAGTTCAGCTGGAGGAAATTATTTGACATCCATTTTTTAACTTCACAAAGGCAGTTGTTAAGTGAACTCAGCATTCCAGGGTCTGTGGATCTGACGGGCAAGTATATTTGTGTGTCATCAGCATAAATATGAAAAGAAATGCCATGTTTATGGATAATATGTCCAAGGGCAAGCAGATACAAGGAAAACAAAATGGGTCCTAAGACCGACCCCTGAGGCACACCATATTTAACTGGACAGAACAAAGAGACATAGTTGTTTACAGACACGCAAAACTTCCTATTTGACAGGTAGGATGAAAACCATTCTAGGGCAGTACCAGTGATCCCCACCCAGTGCCTCAGTCTGTCTAACATGATGTTGTGATCAGTGGTGTCAAAAGCAGCGCTAAGGTCCAGGAGTACCAGGACTGAGCACATGCCTTCATCAGCAGACATTAAAAGGTCATTGGTGACTTTAAGCAGGGCAGTCTCTGTGCTGTGGTACTTCCTGAAACCAGATTGAAACTTTTCAAATATTTTGTTATTTTCCAGTACAGAGAGCAGCTGTTTGGACACAATTCTTTCTAGAATCTTTGCAATAAAAGGCAGTTTTGAAATTGGTCTAAAATTATGTGGGAGGGAGGGATCTAAACCAGGTTTCGTTAAAAGTGGGTTTACGCAAGCCGTTTTAAAATAATCAGGGACCAGTAGATAGGGAGCTGTTGAAAACAGAGATCAAATGGGGCCCAACAGAATCCATTACTTTCAGTAAAAACTTTGTATGTATTACATCAAGTGGGCTGGAGGACACTCTCATTTGTGATACTGTTTTTAAAAGCTCAGACAAGTCGATGGGATAAAACTGGTTAAAACTCTCTTGTTGCTGGTGAGGGACCTCTGAGTAAGAGGCCTTGGGGGTAATAGAGGCTCTGATTGACACCACCTTATTGGTAAAATAAGATAAAAACAATTCACAGTCATCATTACTTCCAGTTGAGGCACAAGGAGGGGTTGGGTTTACCAGCTGATCCACAGTCTTAAATAGAAACCTGGGATTGTGTTTATGTGTAGTAATGAGTTCAGAAAAATAGTGTGTTCTCGCATCCTTAACCATGTTATTGTAGTTAATTATTAAATCCTTCAGACTGAGGTAATGGATTTTTTCCATCTGCGCTCTGCTTTCCTGCATTCCCTTTTTAGGCTGCGAATGCTGTCATTTATTCAGGGTTGCTTACTAGCTTTAGACGTAGGCCTAAGCTTTAGAGGAGCAGTAATACTTAGTGACGACAAGCAGATATGATTGAAGTGATCGACCAGATTGTTGGTGTTGGAATCAGACAGGTGTTGGCTTTGGCTCTGAAAGAATGCGCAAAACTTTGAAACACTTTGTTCATTAAAGATGCAAGATCACACGGAGCTTGGTGAGGCGGCATGAGTAACAGGCAAACCGCAGCTAAAAACAATACATCTGTGGTCAGATATGGTAATGTCCACTAATTCCACAGAGGAAATGCTGACACCCAGGGTAAAAACCAAGTCCAGTGTATGACCACGGTTATGTGTTTGCCCTTTGACATGTTGTTTGAAGTTAAAAGAAGTGGCCATATTTAAAAAGTCAGTTGCATTAACATTGGTGGGGTCATCAACATGAATATTAAAATCGCTACAAAGAACAATTCTGTCATAATCTAAAACCAGAGTAGATAAAAATTCAGGAAGTTCTGATAAAAATCCCGGCGTTTTTGGGGGGTGATAAATTATAACAAATATGATAGGTTGCAGCCCTCCAACTTTAAGAGTGAGAACTTCAAAGGAGTTAAATTCATCACAGCGTAATACACTGTGTGGATGGCAGATCACGGTTCAGATCAAACATCATCAAGGGCCTTGAAAATAATCAAGGTCAGCAGCGGTCAGAGCTAATCTCTGACGAACACTCTGCATTTCCTGTGAATCCTTCAAAATAAAAGTCAACTGGTGTTTCAGCAGTTAGATGCATTTTTCTTTCCAGAATATCTCGCTTTCCTGAAACTGAAAAGGTAAGTTGTATACTAAAGAACAGTCATATTTCATCTTAGTTCCGAAAAGTAATTGAGAATATCACCTGTATAGAGGCTGTCAGTCTTTTCAGGGAGCTCAGAATGAGAAAAGCCTACTGTAAGTCTGCTGAGAAGGCTTTGATATTTTATGTCAAGTTACAGTCCAGTCAGTGAAGCCTTAAGAATTTCCAATAGGCGTCCTTTCCTATTGACAGTAAAACCTAGCTCAATGACAAACATACACACACATATATATAAAACTGTGTTATTAGGCTGAAGGGGAAGAACAGAGTGAATGTATATAGCAATAGAAATTAGAAGCCTATAAAGCTTTAAACAGTCTCACATCAAAACAGTGTAGCTAAAAAACCCTGTGTGTGTGTGTGTGTGTGTGTGTGTGTGCGCGCGCATAAGAGAGAGAGTTTGACTCATAATAAAGAGAAAAATTTAAAATTTTTATTTTGTATAGGTTGAGTATTTAAGAAAAAACACTATATGTGTACTTGATATATAAAGATTTAAAACAATATACACACTTAAAAAGACAACACGCAAATGAATAGCCAAAACTAAACCACCACGAAACTCAACAATGAGGGAAAACCAGGGTCTCTGATAACAGTGATCTAGATGATAAGCTTAAGTAATTCACTAATACACAATGTTCACAGTGCTGAGGTGAGTACACTGGACCCAACTATCCAATAAATCGAATGTAACTTCCAAGCATTTAACACTTTGTGGGAAAACAGCTGACATCACACCCAGGAAAACATGGATTGAAAGGTGAATGAGACTTTTCATTACCTCCCTAAATAACTTATGTTGGAACTATCTTTGAAGCCCAGCTTTCCCACTGGACCTGCTCAGAGACCAACAGTATAAAAATGAAATTGCACTGAGCAGCTCTCAGGTTTGACTATTTAAATCAGGCATTGCTGAGAAAGGGCACGAAATAAAATCTAAGTACAGCACCTTCTGGCACCCAAAGCATCAAAAGACTAACAGAATTCATTTGAATTGTAAACATCTAACTATGCTACTGTAGTAAGAACACACAGGCCACGGGCAAGGTCATCACAAACATATTTGCAAATAAAAATGCTA